AGCACTATTTAATTAGTTCTTAGGGATAAATACTATTAGGGAAACTAAAGGGGTCTTACAATAAGAAGTATAGATATAATCTATCTATCTTAAAGGTAAGGGGTAATAATAAGTAGTATAGAGTAGACTATCTAGCTTAAAGGTTAGGTTAAGATCTAATATTATAGATTAATACTTAGGTTAAATATAAACCTTAAGGGTTATATTCCTACTTGCTATATACCTAAAGATATTCTATAGTTATTCTAATATTCTATAATATGCTAATATTAGGACACTTTAGAATATTATAGGATTCTTAGAACAATATATAATATATTCTATAGTAGCATTCTACTAAGGCTTTAGAATTAGAGGGGTTATATTATTATTAGTTATAAATGCTAACCCTCTTAAAGACCTCTAGGTTGTCCCTAAGTGTTATTAATCCTTCTATCTCTTATCTTCTGCTATGTCCTATCTTAGGTTCGTAACAGTAATAAGTATAATAAGTCTAATAGAGATAATAGAGATAGTTAAGATAGGACTATAGCTATAAATAGTAGCAGCTTATATTTAATATAGTATAAAATATAATTAGTTTATAGTCTACTTCTACTATAGGAACTACTTAGAGTTATAGGTCTTTTATAGTATTATAGGTTAAATATAGTTTAGAGACTTAAAAATTTTTAAACTCCTATAGGGCCACCTAATATATTAAACCTATAGTTATAGATAGCTATACTTATAATTATTAAGTTAATTCTTTATAGGTATATATATATAGCTTATATAATCTATTATATTTTTAAAGCTCTTAGAAATTGTTATATATAATTTATAATATATAAGTGTATCCTTAGAATATACTTTGCTATAATATATATATAACAACGTTTGTGCTATAGGTAGAGGGCCTTAGCCTATTTTATAAATTTTTTATAATATAACGTACCCTATAGGCGAGCGGATTAATAGGCAAGCGAATTACTTTTGCTAAGCCCCTACTAAAGTATCCTCTATATACTAATGCCTTAACAACAACCTAATCTTAATGCGTTAAAGGAAGCTTAAATATAGCTTGTGCTTTAAGCTCTTAAATAAGACGCGAAACTCTTATAGTAACACGCTGCAGCTATCTATAATATTTCTTAAGCTATACTAAGCTATTAACTTACTAGATAGCCTTTATAAGCTAATACTATGCCTAACTTATAAGGGTTAGATAATAATAAGGAGTAGGTAATTATTAATTATATACTTAAGCTAGATAAGTAAGGATTTAGCCCTTAGCTAGTAGATATAGCTGCAATAGCTAATTCTCTACGCGCAGAGCGCAATCTAGGCCCTATTAGCATAAACTAGCCTAGTATGTTTATAAAGCGTTAACTAGAGCTTAAAGTAAAGTTTAATTATAGGTATAACTATAAGTAAGCCCTCTATAAGGATTCTAGGGTTATATAGGGCTAGTTTTCCCTAGTGCAAAATATAAAAGCTAAGTATAGTATTCTAGATAATAATATATATAACTTTAATAAGATAGGCTTTATAATAGGCTAGATCTCTTAGGGAGTAGTTATTATAGCTTTAGAGAGATAAGAAAGGCTAAAGGCAGTCTAGCTAGGCAACTAGGAGTAGATAATAGTTATATAGGGTATTAATGCTAAAGGATAGGCTATTCTACCCTTTATTATCTTTAAGGCGCGCTACTACCTCTCTAGCTAGTATAAGAAGGAAGACCTGCCCTAGGATTAGGTTATTATAGTCTCTAGTAATAGCTAGACTACTAATAAGCTTAGTTTTAAGTAGTTAAAGCACTTTAACGCGTATATAAAGGAGCGTACTGCTAGTACCTACTAACTACTAGTTATTAATAGCTATAAGAGCTATAAATTACTCTAATTCTAGAAATACTATAAGGATAATAAGATTATTACTCTATATATGCCTCTGCACTTATTATACCTTCTATAGCTACTTAATATAGGCTATTTTACCCCTTTAAAGATAGTATATAGGCGCTAAGCTAAATTACTTATATATAACTAAATTAGCTATATTATAAAGACTAAGTTCCTGCTATACTTTAAAGCAGCCTATAATATAGTATTTACCTCTAGTAATATCTAAGAAGGGTTTTAAGGTGCTAGATTAGTCCCCTTTAACCTAGAATAGGTTATATTAGCCCTTAATATAAAGCTTTAGACTCTATTACTACTACTCCCTACTAATAATATACTCTAGTAGTTATAAACCCCTAGTAATACCCTAGAATTTAGGTTATAATTAACTCTAATTTAAGAGAAGTATAAGAGGCAGCAGGGTAGCTTACTAAATTCTATTCTAAGCGCGCTTAAGCACTATGCAAAGGGGGGAGCAATCTTATCCTATAAGCTAGTTTTAGCTTAATAGGAAATTAAGGAGCTTTAAGCAGCTAATAAGGCTGCTATATAATAAAAATTATATAAAAGAAAGCAAGTTTAGAAAGAAGAGACCCTAATAGTTAAAGATAGGCAGCAGCTAGCAGCTCTAAAGGAGTTTAGGGCGCGTAGTAATAGAAAGAGGGCAAAGAAGTAAGTGCGCACTTAAGAGGGCAAGCTAACCTAATAGTGCTATAGAAGGTGTAATTAGATAGGACATAATACGCAAATGTGCAAGATTAATATAGAAAAGGTCTCTAAATAATATTCTAGCCTATACTATACTATATAGAACTAAAGTATAGTATTTTAGGCTATAATAGGTTAAGTTTTAGTAGGGGCTTAGTAAAAGTAATTTGCTTGCCTATTAATCTACTTGCCTATAGGGTACGTTAATATATATATTAACTATAACTTTTATACTATAAGTAGAAGGCTTTAGCCTATTATATAAAAATTTTATAATATACCTCTATTTTTATACTTTATTACTAAAATTATAGAATTACTCTTTCTAATTTTATAGAAGATTAGTAGTCTAGTATAGTAATTATATAAATATACTCTTAGCTTTAAAAATATTTTATAGAATAGTTTACTATAATAAGTATTTAAAAAGTTAAATATAATAGGTATAGAGTCTTAGCCTGTTCTATAACGTTTAATAAGATAATATACTCTATAGGCAAGTAGATTAATAGGTAAGCAAATTACTTTTGCTAAGCCCCTACTAAAACTTAACCTATTATAGCTTAAAATACTATACTTTAGTTCTATATAGTATAGTATAGGCTAGAATATTATTTAGAGACCTCTTCTATATTAATCTTGCATATTTGCGCATTATGTCCTATCTAATTGCACCTTCTATAGCGCTATTAGGTTAGCTCGCCCTCTTAAGTGCGCACCTGCTTCTTTACCCTCTTTCTATTACTATGCACTCTAAACTCCTTTAGAGCTGCTAGCTACTGCCTATCTTTAACTATTAAGGTCTCTTTCTTCTAAACTTACTTTTTTTTATATAATTTTTATTATATAGCAGCCTTATTAGCTGCTTAAAGCTCCTTAATTTCCTATTAAGCTAAAACTAGCTTATAGGATAAGATTGCTCCCCCTTTTATATAGTGCTTAAGCACGCTTAGAACAGAATTTAGTAAGCTGCCCTACTGCCTCTTATACTTCTCTTAAATTAGAGTTAATTATAACCTAAATTCTAGGGTATTACTAGGGGTTTATAACTACTAGAGTATATTATTAGTAGGGAGTAGTAGTAATAGAGTCTAAAGCTTTATATTAAGGGCTAATATAACCTATTCTAGGTTAAAGGGGACTAATCTAGCACCTTAAAACCCTTCTTAGATATTACTAGAGGTAAATACTATATTATAGGCTGCTTTAAAGTATAGCAGGAACTTAGTCTTTATAATATAGCTAATTTAGTTATATATAAGTAATTTAGCTTAGCGCCTATATACTATCTTTAAAGGGGTAAAATAGCCTATATTAAGTAGCTATAGAAGGTATAATAAGTGCAGAGGCATATATAGAGTAATAATCTTATTATCCTTATAGTATTTCTAGAATTAGAGTAATTTATAGCTCTTATAGCTATTAATAACTAGTAGTTAGTAGGTACTAGCAGTACGCTCCTTTATATACGCGTTAAAGTGCTTTAACTACTTAAAACTAAGCTTATTAGTAGTCTAGCTATTACTAGAGACTATAATAACCTAATCCTAGGGCAGGTCTTCCTTCTTATACTAGCTAGAGAGGTAGTAGCGCGCCTTAAAGATAATAAAGGGTAGAATAGCCTATCCTTTAGCATTAATACCCTATATAACTATTATCTACTCCTAGTTGCCTAGCTAGACTGCCTTTAGCCTTTCTTATCTCTCTAAAGCTATAATAACTACTCCCTAAGAGATCTAGCCTATTATAAAGCCTATCTTATTAAAGTTATATATATTATTATCTAGGATACTATACTTAGCTTTTATATTTTGCACTAGAGAAAACTAGCCCTATATAACTCTAGAATCCTTATAGAGGGCTTACTTATAGTTATACCTATAATTAAACTTTACTTTAAGCTCTAGTTAATACTTTATAAACATACTAGGCTAGTTTATGCTAATAGGGCCTAGATTATGCTCTGCGCGCAGAGAATTAGCTATTATAGCTATATCTGCTAGCTAAGGGCTAAATCCTTACTTATCTAGCTTAAGTATATAATTAATAATTACCTACTCCTCTAGATTATCTAGCCCTTATAAGTTAGGTATAGTATCGCCTTATAAAGGTTGTCTAGTAAGTTAATAGCTTAGTATAGCTTAAGGAACGTTATAGATAGCTGCAGCGCGTTGCTGTAAGAGTTTCGCGTCTTGTTTAAGAGCTTGAAGCGCAAGCTGTATTTAAGCTTCCTTTAACGCGTTAAGATTAGGTTGTTATTAAGGCATTGGTATATAGAGGATACTTTGGTAGGGGCTTGGCAAAAGTGATTCGCTCGCCCGTTGATCCGCTCGCCCGTGGGGTACGTTATTATAATTCTTATACTCTATTAATAAAATTATAGATCCTCTAGAATCTTTGAATTCTATTCTATCTACGGTTCTTTAGCGTATCTCTAAATCCACACCCTCCATCTCTCTCTTGTGCCACAGCTACAGCAGCACACTTCCCGGTTTTGAACCCACAACGTGCTGAAGCGCAGTCGGCGTCCGTTGTACAAGCCCCTGTGATGAACTGTGTCCCCGCAGCGGACGAGGTGCTACTTGGTGCCACCCTCACAGTCTTGAACGATGGCGTTGCAGAATTAGCCTGCCCAGCTTGGCCGTTCAACGAAGTTCCACCTGTTATCGCTTTTGCAGCATTATCGTTCGGCGAAGGATTACCAAAACCACACCCTCCGTCTCTTTCTTGGGCGACGACAGGTCCGGCACATTTACCGCTTTTGAAGCCACAGCACGCAGACGCGCAGTCTAAGTCGGAAGCACAGGGACCAGTGATGAACTGTGTGCCTTGAGCGGCAACATGTATAGAAACTAGCCGCATTAATACGAGATATGTGCCGTGGAACGTCGGGCACTTACTAATCAACAAAGCGAGAATCCGAAACAAAAACGTCATGATATCGCGCATATAGGAAATTTCTGTGCTCAACCAGAGAGTATAGAGTCCTCCAGACTGATAGGCCAATGATACGGGATTTCGAGTCAATATCGAGTTCGAGACTAGTGTGGTCTTGCGAGGAGATGCCTGAGAAGGACACAAGGCCGACTTTTATATCTACGTGTGGTGGCAGCACTTCCACATGTTCTCTAGCTACGTTCTTACTGTTCCACAAATGCGAAGCGTGGGTCTGATACATCGTTTGACATTTGAAATCAAGAGCGAATAAAACACCAACAGCTGTCGCTCAAGGCCTTTAGTCGAGACTTTAGAGAATTTGATCGCCTACCAATGCGCCAATCTTGTCTGGAAAACAACCCATTTCAAGGGAACACTGTCAAGAATCTACGATGATAGAACGTGAACAGTTTCCGAGACGTTTGAGGTTGGGGGCGCCAATGAACGCTTGTCTCACTTCAGGTCGCTGTTATGGCGTGGATCGTGGCAGTCCGAAACTGGAATGGTTTCCGAAACTTCTCTGGCTAAAGTTTCCGAACTTCCTTGTCCCATCTGGAAGAATGCTGCCTACCTGTGGTTGATTTCTGGTAGCAACCCGAGCTCATCGGTGCAGTATGGGGTGAAACATTGCCCTGCGTACTATGTGCTTCCTTGAGCCTTGAATAATGGTAGAGTTGAGACTGTCCCTACAGGAAGTGTACAAGAGCAATAGTCTGAGGTCAAGCAATCGCTGAGAAACGTCTTGTATTGCTCCTATTAACCTTGCTGGGACACCCGTTCCAGTGCGTGCGCCAACGCTTGTCAGGTGAGAAATACCAATGCAACTCACTGATCGTACTACGGAGCCAGACGAACTATAGAGCCATGCTCTTAGGGCGTCAATTACTATCGCTACTGCTGCTGCTGCTTTCGTCGTCACTGCTTTCATCATCTTCATCGCCGCCTCCAAGACTTGCGAGTGGCTTTCCCTTTGTCAGCCTGCCGAGACTCATCGTTCGCGGATCAAACGCTCTCTTCTGAGTGGTGATTTGAGCGGCTTTGGTGTCTGCGAGCTGTTCTCTCAAGCTGCGGAAGCCAGTATACCGCCGACGATCGGCTGCTTGCAAAGATACAGATTGGCTAGACCGTGGAGTTTGAGAAGACTGTTGCGAAGGAAGCGGAATCGGCGTTCGCATTGCCGGATGGTTGATGCCGGACGCCGTCACTTGGCTCGTTTCTGGAACCGCAGGCGTTGAATTTACAAAACCAGCCAAAGGAGGTGAGGAGGCAGGCGCGGCATTAAGACTTGATTCAGCAATTGGTTCAGCCTGCAGGTCGGGCATCTCGATGTCTTCATCTTCTGAGCTGTCTGATGAGGACTCGCTCTCGCTCGCACTCTCGTCTCTGCTTTGAGCTGGCGGCGAAGCAGCTCGAGAAGGCGTCAGCGATGCATCGTCTGGGTCCCCTTCGCTCTCCGACGCGTCTGGAGTTGGACTGTGGCTCAAAAATCGTGCTGGTCGCCGCGAGACGGCGGGAGAAGAGCGTGCTGATGCATTTGCACTGCTTGAGTGTGACCTGGAAGTATTGTCTTCTATAGCTGTACTGTAGATCTCGTGCTCCGCATGTCCTTCATTCTCTAAATCGCGAGCAGCAGCAGTCGCTGAATGATCCACGCAAACGTCTTTGTGTCCATCGCTTGTGTGATTTGTATGACTTAAAGACTTGAAGTCCCATGATTCTGTGCTCCAAGGAGCAGCGAGACTGGAGTCTTGTCCAGACGGTGGCTTGTCTTGGCTCTGCGAAGGGGCGGTCGGCGTGTCATCCATTGTTTTTAGCTCGACTGATAATTTGGACTGATCTAACATCTTGTCGACAGGTACAGCGTCGCTGTTAGGTGGTTTTGTGCCAACGTCGACTCGACCGGAGCTTCGTGATTCTGCTGAGCCACTTGCTTCGCTCTCTGTCACTCCCGTGGCGTGCTTTGGCGACTTCCATTGCTTTTCATCCTTCGATGGTGATGTAGTAGTGCTCGACATTGCGAGTGTCTTCGCCGTCACGGAGGCGCTACTGTTGTTTGCATTATTGTTGCCGTTTGAGAGAGGTGAGCTTTGCAAGCTACTAGTGCGTCGAAGATGGCGCACGTTTAGGGGCACAGGGACTTCACTTCGCCTTGGTGTTGGAGCTTCCATAGCACGGGGAGATATTACCGACGACCCAAGTGCTTTGGCAGTTGGTTTTTTGAAAGCATTATGACCCTTGGAGTTCTTTGGTTTCATGGATGTCGAAACAGTGGTAAGTGCTAACGGTTGGTTGGCGGGAAGAGGTAATTTCACAGTAGTCTTGATCGGTGTACTCTGCGCTGTTGAAGGATGGATAGCGAGTAGAGGATCGATACCTTCGGTGTTAACAACGCCTGGCGTGGACCTATTCAATACGGGTATGCGCACCTCAGGAGAGGTTCTATTGCTCTGGTCTTGACTTCTGATGCTGCTGCTTCGTGTCGGTGTGCTGGCTTTTCCTGGACGCTTCGGCGTGTTTTGAGAGGCGGCCAGCAATTTTTCCAAGCGCTCCATGCGCGACACAGTCTCTTTGCCCAGCACTTTCTCGCCGCTCGATGGATTCACAGTGGAGGGTGTTAGTGTCTTGCGCTTCGGCCCAGGATTGTTCACTGGCGTTGTGACAGCCTTGGGCTTAGCACCGCATTTTCTACTCGCAGGTGTGGTGACTAGTGAAGCTCTCGATGGCTTCTTCAGACTGCCTGGCTTGGTAGGCTTAGCGGCGGTGGTTCGCGCAGGGGTCTTGAGGCTGTTGGGTGCAGCTTCAGCCGCGTCGTCAAGGAACGAGGCCGTGAGATCTGCGGCGTTTCCGTCGTCATCGCCGTCGTCGCTCGTGGCAAGGCTCGGCTGCCCCCGGCCTGAATCGGGTCCTTGATGTGGCGTCGATTCGATGTCATCAGGCCGTGTCCGCTGGAAGGCGCGGGCTTTGTTCGTTGTTGCAACAGGTTGCGCCGTGACCGCGTTCGTTTTGCTGGGCTGTAGCCGCCTCGCCATGTTCAGGAGATGGGCACCCGACCGGGGCGAGCGGCCATAAGTCTTGGCAGGCTTGTCTGGAGTGGTTTTGGTGTGCATGAACTCGGGGGAGCTGGGGACTCGGTAAACGTCTCGGCGGGGGTTTGCGACGGGAGCGGGCGCAGGCTCCACAGACGAGAGCGGAGACTTGTGTATCGTCGCTTCGGGGGACTCGCGCTGGGGAGACGCTGCGTGGGTCGGGACAGCGGCGGGCTGCTCGGTCTGCACAGGCTGCTCAAGCTGGCCAGGCTCCGGAGACTCCTGCTTGACAGGTGTTGGGCTGAAGGGCGCCTGGCCAGTCTCGGTGCGGCGCAGCTCAACCAGTGACGCGCCCGACCTGGACCGCGACAGCCGGACCGGCAACGGGTTGCGCGGGGCGTGTGTTTCCAAGGCTGCTGCCGCCTGCCGCACCTCGGTCGAGGGCAGCGGGCGGTCCGGCGACGGGTCGCGCGGGTCGCTTGCGCCTGGGCGCTGCGACTCGACGCGCCGCCGCTTGTGGGCGCCGTCGGCGGCGTCGTCCACGTCGGCGTCGTCGCCTGCGCGCTTCTGGGCGCCTGCGGGTCGCAGCATGGAGCCCGGCACCACCGACGTATCGCGGTAGACAAAGTACGGGACAACCTTGATCAGGTGCATCTTGCGGTCCGGCTCGCCCTCGAAGATGGCGCCCACCGTGTCGGTCATGTCGAGGTCGCAGTCGTACGCGTCCTGGAGCTTCTTGATGGCGAAGGTCGCGGCCTGCTGCGGGCTCAGGTAGTTTGTCTTGTACCGCTGCTCAATGTCGCCCCAAACGGCCGCGAATGTGTCCTCCAGCTGCACGGGCATGGCAAACTTGCGCTCCTTGAACGCCGCCAGTGCTGCGTCGCGGTACTCTCCGTGTGCGTTTTCCTCGGCCAGCGCCTCAACCACGACGGTCAAGCGCATGCGCGCGCCCTGGGCCGCCATGACGGGGAAGGTGCGGTGGTGTCGCGGACAGGAAGGAAGCAGAAAGTTCAGAGTGGAGCCGCCTCGCTTGCACCCCGGTTCCCGCACCCACCGCTGCATCGCTCCACTCACTCCACCGGAGCATGCTGGAGTGTCTGCGGCCACGCACGTCGCCATCGCGCGTCTTCACCTCACCGCGCTCCATCTTCTGCAGGTCTGTGGCCGTCGAACCCGTGGACAGCCCACAGTCCCATCGGTACCCATGTCGCCGATGACGACATCAATGGCCTCACGTGAGCACGCGTTTCTAGACACGAGCTTGACGCCACCTTAACGCACGTCCAGCAGCGTGCTTCGGCATCGTCGCTCTCACCAAGCATGCCATGAGTATGTAGATACATGTTGATAAACACATTGCCTTCCACGTTTTCCACATCACAGGCATTGTGCCCTCGTTTGACCCGCTGCCCGTCTCGTCCCTAACCAACACCTGCCTTACCGGGACGGGGCGGTTCACGGTGAAAGGCCAGCTCCCGCGCACTGACCCCAACTCTCAAGTCGCCTCTGCTTCTCGCAAGACATTTTTATCATCCCACATCTCCTCTGCCATCCACACGTCTGACACCGTGACACACACCCAATCAGCAAACAGCGACGTCAACATGGCCAGCGGCTCAAGGAAACGCCGCGTATGTCTTCTTAGTTCAAGCTTGCCCAATCATGGCTTACCGCAACAGGTTTCTCGCTCTCCAAGCTGCCTGGAGTCTGCTAGAAAACTGCGTCGACAATCTGCTAGCAACTCCTTACAATCGCAACTCGATACATCTAATCCCTATCCAAGCACAGCAAAGTCCGTGTTCCGTGGCTGTCACGACCCCTACTTCCCTCTCAGCACTAGAGGAGATACAACCCTGCCAACAGGTGATGATTACGTATTCCGCATTCAGGTCCTCTCAACCACCACCAATCTCAACGCCGACGTGTTCAAAAAAGCGGTGCAAGGTCTGGTCAAGATATGCTTCCCACAGAACGTCTTGGATGAGCTTGGGATCGAGGTCGTTACGCAGCACATGAGAGACCAGGATGCACCCGAGCAAAATATCGTTAAGATGGCAGACATCTTCCGCGCCGAGATGATTCATCGAGTAACATGGATGCTAGCGGAATACCTCGACTCGGCAGGCAGGGTTGAATCTAGCGTCAAAGCCATCATGGCCGCCAGTGCAAGTCTTCATGGCGCTAAAATTGGTGAAGATGTATTGAGTGGCGTGACCGAGAGCCTCTCCAAGCTTAGGGAGCACATGTCGAGCGGATCGACAGCAAGGCTGGCGAACAGTACTGATATGGAACTTTCGTCCTTGAACATGGCCGAGAGCGATGCAATGGCCAGTAATGACAACTGTACTGTAGTCACGCAGCGCATGGATCGTGTTAGATGCACTGGCATCGCTCCTGAGGATCCCTCAGAAGACAGTATGCCTCTGGTGTCACCTGCTAACAAGCACGGGAAGAGAGAGTGCCGATCAAAATCGACACCGCAACTCCAGTATCCCGATGCAGCATACAGAGAGTCAAGCCAAGCTGCCGAGCAGATGGACCAACTTGTGCCAATCGAGCAACCATGCCGAGGCAAAGCGAGCAAAGTTTCAACCTCCTGGCGCTGGAACGTGCAAGATGAGATCAGCATCGATGACATAACAGAGCATTTCAAAAGAACAAGCGACTTGTTTGCCTACCACGCCCTGCCAATTGCCAGGCAGCGACTCGGGACGCTGGTAAAACGCAAAAAGCTGCGCAAAGACATTGAGGCTATGCTTGCAGCTCTTTCCACGACCGAATTCGACCAATGGGTCGAAAGACTTCGGAAGCTTCAAAATGGCGATATGACGATGCTTGAGAGGTCTCCAGCTCCAATCATTGGTCAAGATGCGGCCCGGATTACAGTAAAGTCAACACCCACGCTCACGCCCAGCAATCAGACGGTACGCCGCCGTCCGAAGTCAGACGTTCGGTTTGCGGTTAAGCAAGAACACAATGTGTATGAGAACTTTCGTGAGGCATAGGCGCCTTCTCGGTACGCATCGAGAGCTGACGGTGGCATGCGTACTAACCGTTCAGTTCCCACAAAGGGCTTGGCCCATCAAGAAGCTAGAATCGAAAGTCAGCTGGGAGTACAGACAACCCTTAATCATGTCAGTAGTCAACTCGAGTAAATTCAATGGCTCTAACCGCTCACAGTCAAGTCGTTCGTTTTAAGAGACTCCCATTGTAGATCTCCTGTGGGGCCAAAAGGAATTTGGAGAACATAATCGTGCACCCGTGATTCGCAATGTAACAAAAAGTCTCAACTCTTAAGTCTCAGCAGAGGTAGGCAACGAAGATTTATGTTCCAAGCTATACTTATAGGCTGCACTGTGTCGGTATAACACGTCTCGATGGAGCTACCCTCGTTCAGACAAAGAAGAACCTTCAGGCACTGCTACTTGGCCCAGAACTCCACTGCTTCCTGACCTTCACTTACGTTAGAACTCGATTCGTCGTGGAATGCAAACTAATGGGTTCTTTCGAATCTGACTGCATTCCCTGAATTCACCACCTCGAGCTTTGTCTTTGTCAACCTTCTACCTGTAAGTAATGTTGTTTAGCCGATTAGCACGCTGGTACTAAAGTGTCTGTCTAGAGCCTTACAATAGTTGTAGATGTTTTCTTTGATTCACTGAAATCATGGACTGTGTCGTCCGATAGCATCATTTTGGACCATCTTGTGCAAGAGCTCAAGGCGAGGAACTACCCCGAGGAAAGTCTCGCTTTAGAACCGACACCTTGGCTTGAGCACGCTAACTATGACAGGGACCTGAAATCCCCTTCAACATGGATTGCGTTGCTCAAGAAGTCCGCACTGCTTTGAAACACAGGGGGTATGACGGCGTCGTCGTGCGTTGATCCGGATTCCTTGACCTCAAGTTCTCAGTCCTTGTGAAGTCATGGTGAATGATCTCAGTACATGCGACAGTTAGTGGGACACTGAGTGGATGTTATGAAAGTTCACTCGGTGTTAAATGCAAGCATGATCAATATAATCTCACTAGATACATTCTAATCTCCTGCCTGTTGAGTAGGTGGTGTAAAATCTGGATGGGGCAATTAAGAGGCGGAAAGACAGAAAGAACCTTAAGAATGCTCTTCTGATATCCACAAAGTACAAAGTCTTACCTTTAAGTAACTTTTCGCACTTACTAGTTGCGAGCTTGTGTAGTTTTAGACAACTGGTTGTAACATCACACCCTATAATTGTATTTTACTTATAAGTTCAATTGCTGCGTTGCTCTAACAATACGTTTTCAACTAACGACAAGCTGACAAAACGAAGGAAAGATGAGAAACCGGGTATGTCTACATGACAGCAGGCAACATATATCAGGTTTTAAAGACTTCACGGAGCCAATGCACAACTGTCGCATCAGAAAAGCCCTACTTTGAAGAGCTATTCTAGGGGTACTGGTGCAGTTGCGCGTAGCTACATTTTCGCCCTATTTTGGCATCAACAACAGATATGTATTGTTAAGAGTCACGCTGATTGTCGAGGTACAGCATATTGCCTGTGGCGAGCCAAGCCACCTATCAGAGACGTAGCCATCATGTGCGACCATGGGGATTGGCCGATGAAAAGGCATTCCTACACCTTCCTTTGGTCACACTCCCCATCACGGTGAGCTATGAATTCAGAACTTAAAACTTGATCAGCGTACCTTCGGCTGGCCCCTTTTCGCTCTTTTGCGTCCAAACACTTCAGCGTTGCATCATGACCCCCCCATACACGTAAGTCTTATCTCGAACCCACAGTCGCGACATTGCCACGTGCCCGTGTCACCTCGTGCGAGCCAGCCCTGCGCAAGCGCGATCTTACATTGTGTCATGTACAACATCTTCTACCAGTATTGTTGGGACAGCCAGCCTGAGCAAAGTGCCAGGTTTGTGCCCCACACCTTACATCTCCGCACTGGAACAATCTCTCCCTCGATCTCCGACCTGCGTGAACGAAAAAAGCATGCATGACTACCCGGTTTGCCTGAAGCTAGATGGTAGCCCAAAAGTGGGAATGAGGCCCATTCCAACGAAAAGCGCCTCTGATACGTGAGCCGCGCAAACTGAGACCCCACCTCAAAGCGATGCCAGCGTAACCAAGATCCAAACGTATCGCCAAGGTTCGATCTCGTATCGCAAAGTTTTAGATCGTGGCGTGTGGTCCGGCTAAACTCCAGATCTCGGCCATTCCCGTTGTACCAAAGATGCTTAGCAAGAGGCATGCATCTTACGTACATATGTAGTTCGGCAGGAGAACGACTTTCGATGGGCGATGCTGGGTTTAGAATAATACACACAAAACGATACGTCCAGAAGGTCCCTAAGAACAGTACCTATTCAGTGAGAAACTAGCATCAGGAATTGCGTCTCTTAGTTCCCAACATCTGAAGCTGGGTATGCAAAGACAGCTGCACGACGCAAAGTGGGGGCGAAAGTCATATTGCCATTCATGTTGACAGAATTACTGCGGGCCCTTGCATGCGTGTCATCTCAATTCAGCTAGAGGTACGCTGAAAGCGCTAGGGTTGAAATGGTTTTATGTTCCGCAGTGACTGTAAGCCACAAGAGTGTTGAAATTGAGTGGACTAATATTAATAGTGTTGCGACATCTCATCCTGGGAAAGGATCCAGCTCCTAGCAATAGCCAGCCTCAATCTATCGCAAGTTCGTCATCAGGGACGACCGAGTTGCTCGCTAATATTGGAGGGATCGACTCCTTACCTACTTATGCAGGTGCAAGACTTACACAACGTCCGGGAGTGTAATCCACCCAATGAAGATGGTGCAATCGTGGGTTGCTTTTTGCCGTCAGCCGACCGCGCAGGTTCCGAGATGCGCTTATCGTGAGATCGGAAGGGACTGGAGTCAATCGTTTTGCTTTTGCCGACGAGCAACTGACTTGTTGTTGCCCGTAGTGCCAACACCGTCTTCACTCGCAGAGCTGACCAAAAGTATGACCCACGAATCAGAGAACTCAAGAGCGAACCATTCGAAGCTGGTGGCAGATAGCACAGTTATTGGTCACAACTGTAGTTGAGGTTGGGGATACGAACCAGCCAACCGTCTTGGAAGGGTACCCGAGTGTACATACCTACGAAGTGTCATTGAACGCCTGAGCGTTGTGACGCTTCGTGGCGTTCAAATCGCCCATAACAACAGGAGACGGAGAAGCACCTCGATTGGTAGAGTCATGTGACTGTGACAAAACTTAGCGTCCAGGGTCATTGCGTAGGTACTTTCCTTCACGCGCCTGTACCGCGGTAACGACATTACCCTGCGTGGATCTCCATCCCGATCCCGCACGTCGAGCGCAACATGACACGTCTGGAACTATCGATCCGGCCTGTTGCGTCCGCGGAGGGGCGCTTTCCCGCAAAAGGAACCTGTGCGCGTTACAGCATCCGAAACACCGAGAATATACCTTACATGCTCGAGTCTCAACGCAAGCCACAACTTCGAAGCCTCGTAAGTGATGTTTTGTCGATATGGCACAAGACGAACCACTGTCTCAAGCTCTCATCCGCGATGTCGCACCCCTGACCTTGCACTGACAATTCTCCTATGGCTATTACTCGTGTAACCACGGTGTTCCTCAGGAGTCGTTAGACACGGGTGCTGCCTTCCGCTGCGGAAACCGAGTCAGCTCCTCATCGCGATCAGGACAAGACGAGATGAGCTGAGCAGGGGAAGGCGAGGACTTTCCACACACTGCAATCACCGATCGGTCAATCGCAAAACGTCGAAACTGGGGCATGGTGTTATCCTGCGTCCAGACGTAAGCAGCAGCATGTCACTGCCAGCATCCGCGCAACCCGTCGCCTCGCCTTTCTTTTTACTTTTCGCTAAAAGGTGGTTGAGCAGGGTTGACACTTGCGCGGCTCCTGGGGGCCCTCATTCTTCCAGCTCACAGCACCGACGTCGCACCGAACCTCGACCCCACCTGCGATGCCTTACCTGTTCTGGCAAGTGGTGCCCTTTCCTTGTCAAGTTAGGCCCGTGATAGCCGCCTGCTAGTCGCTCGCAGATGCACAACAATTTGCGTGGCTTCCGGAGTGGCGAAGTCAGATCAGCAGACAATCTCTTTGTGCAGGCTTGGTCGAAACGCTTGCGCATGGTATGATGGCCTGATGACCATGAACCGTCTGTGCGCAGTCCCCACGAACACACTGATGCACCTGCCATGCCAAGATGGGGAAGCGGCCAGACAGCCATGTGTACGAGTCCTGCCACAGGTCGTGGGTCCTTACCCTTCCGTTCCAGACCGAAGCAACGAGGTGAGCGCTGGGCATTTAGTTGTCTGATGTTTTACATGCTCATGCACATCGAGGATGTCGATGTTGGGCTATTCGGACCCTTGGACCGATGTTAATTCGGGCCGCTTCCGCGGCAAGGGCTGACGTGGCTTCGACAGCCAAGTCCTCCTGACAATGCTCTGCGAACAATGTTTCAACCTCCCATTGAGCAGCAGTCTGACTGTCGGCAGCGTCACTCGAGTTATTTCTGATATTATCAAGTTTGTTCGGCTATAATACATGCCATCTCAAGCAAGGTTCGCTCGCTCGCGCTAACTCCCTGTAGCTGTGAGCGTGTCAACGTCACGCTGGGGTCCTAATCGGTACCTGTGCGAACTCGACGGGCACTATCACTTCACCAACCAAGATCCAGGTCAGCACGCAAACCGTTAAACCACCGATATACTTTGCGGCCTGTCGCTCATCGGCACTATATCTCCCCAAAGCGGACCTTCTTCCGCGATCGACGACTGTGAATATCCGTTAAGCTGGGGCACCCTAAGATTTCTGATGCCGAATCACCGTGACGCTGGAATCAAATTAGAAAAGCTACTGACTCTGCGCAAATATGTGAACGTAGATCGACATAGCGCTCTCAGTTCGAACGGCAAGCAAACTGGTCCTGTCAGGACTTCTGAGCGAAGCAGCTCCGTAGGCAAGCAACTTCTTGTCTCAGGACTTGAACTTGTTGAGGATAACAACGATCACCACGGTTGATGTTGGTATAACAACTTGATACAGCGGCTGCATCACTGCCTCGAGATGCCGGATGTTCTGGATTTGCTGCCACACTGACCTTACTGTGGCCTGCATGCGACAAGCATGCCCATGACCCCTTTATGTGTTGCTCAGGGAATCGCAAGCTCTCCATGTGTTTTGCTACGGCACCATCTTGTTCCTAAACTCAAATGTTCTGTTTTCGAAAACTATACTTTCCATCTAGTTGGGAATGGAGCGTGGGCAGCATCTTGTGATTCGTTACAGGCTCACGCCCAGGTGTTCTTGTTCCGGGTAGCCCCGTTCGACAACCGCCAGCACTAAGCCTGCGTAAGCCAAGGCGCTGCAAGGGCGGCTTAGCTGCATGCAAGTGATCATATAGTGCGTGTTGACTGCCTCCAGGCGAGTCGACTAGCCAGCAAGAGCAATCCTTTCGCCAGCTGGGCAGAGCTGCTTGATTTGAAGAAATGATCGTGTTTCATGATTGATGGCCATCGAAATGGCGCTGCTCGGACTGCTTATGCTGAGTCGCACGCAACGGCTGCCAGCTGCTGTTCAGGAGACGCAGCCAGACAGCACTTAGCGCTGACCCGCTCCAGGACCTTGTAGGTTTCGTTTACGGGCCGCTTTGACGCTGGTGCTGGCGCACGACCACCCTTCCGCGAACAAGCTGGGTCCACCCTCGGTTCCGATACGCGCATGAATAAGGTTCATCGCAGCTTGAGAGAAGATAGATCTATTCCGTATCCCAAGTACTAAGATACAAGAAACATGGTATTCAAACTTGGGCATGTGTGATAAAGTACATTGTGCAATATGCTAGTGGAGTGCTGGAAACGTTTCAAGTGTGGAGTGTCTAGAACGCGGAAACGTGTACATCGTCCAGTAGAGATACATAGAGTTGTCGAATACAAAAAACATGTCTAAAAGCGAGAGGCACACGAGATGCCGATGTAGAAAGAGGCAAAGGTCGGAGGGGCTGGCCAGTGCAGTTGTTGCGAGGACAGCACAATGGCGTCACGTAGAACTACGCATAGACATCAAACCATGGCGCCATCCCATGCTTTCGTCTCCTAACAAGCAAGATGAATTGATGCACGTCCAATGACGATCCTGAAATCAAAAAAAAAAAGCAGTGGGTATAACGGATGTCCTTCTTTTACCAACACCAACACCAACACCAAGCCAATATGCAAATGCAAAGTCGTGAGTCAAATGGAAAGGAATAATTCGCTCGAATGTGAACGCTCAGGACTCATCGGGCTTTCGGGCCAGTGGTGCCGGGCTCGTGCTTGTCACTCTTCGCTGCTTCGATGCGGGGGGCAACTCATGTGGAGCATCGGACTTGCGTTTGTTGGCTGCATTGCCATTCGTTGAGCCATCGAGTTGTGAGGCTGCATCTGGCCGCCTGACTGCGTCGTCCACGGATCCAGTGGAGTGTGGGCTCATTGGTCGGTAACAATGACTGTGGCGCCATTTCCACTCTTCGTACGCAGCATCGGCCTTCTTTCTTTGATCCCGCAGCCTATCGATCATGCTGCTCGCAAGTCTCATGTAGTCGGCATTGTTCTCTGCAGGAGCAATAGGGCCTTGGTCCATATCAGGGATTGGTCGTCTCCAAGCTTCGTTGCAACCCACACAGCGCTCTACAGAGGGCTCACGATCAGACCGATCTCTCGTTTCCCTTGTTTCTCTGTTAGCTCGCGGGTGGGGGTCGACATGACGAGTGCTTCCGTTCGCTAGTGATGCAAGCGACTCATCAGTAGTGGAAGCGGGCGTAGGAGAACTCCTCGGCTGCTCAGGTTCCGCGGCAACTGTTGGTACAGTCGGTGGCGTAGGTGGTTCATTACGAGGTTTTTGCGAAGGCGACATATTTTCGGAGGTGTAGTTGGCAGCAAATCTCACGTTGTAGCGTTGCTGACGAGTTCCAAAGTTGTTTTGCTGAGTAAAGAACTGTTCTGGTAAAGAAGACGGTCCAGCGATGTTGGGTCGTGATTCAGCAACGTTCTTAATGTCGAGAGGAATACTGCGCTCTGTACTGTGCTCATGTGATCTTGGTAATGCTGCTAAATAAGGAGCGGTCGAAGACACAGATTTGGAATGCTGGCGAGAGGGGAGCTGCGGTCTTGTTTGGCTTGGATAAATTTCGACCTGGTGCGGGGCAGGAACGGGTGCATAAGCCGGAGTGGATGAGGCAGACTGGTAGGAAGTGAGAGTCGGACTCGGCAAACGTTGGCCTTCCTTTGGGCTCTGGTGAGAATAAGAAACGTTAGGTTTGGATAATTGGGCGTCGTTGCCCGCCTCGAAGCGGTGCTGGTCAATGGCTGAGTCTTGGCGCACTTGCCCTGTCGAATGAGAGGCGTTTTGCACGCCAGACGACAGCGCCGAATGCTGAAGCGCTGGGTCTGGTTTACACAGCTGTTGACGACGAAAGGTAGGCTCCTGATAGACCCTAGTTGCACTGTCTCTTGCCACAGCTGCCGTTGATGGTGGCCGTGGTTCTGTGGGGCTGACAGACATGGTCAGCAAACGGGGTGCAACACCAATGAGGTTCACGCTACTCACCTGACCGGAGGGCTTGTCTGGCGATGGTTCACGGCACTCCAGTACGACGAGGCTGTCGTATTGGCGGTAATAGTGGGTGCGAGGGAGACAGCAGGTGGGGCAGAGTGCGCAGGAGAGTAGTCCTGGCGGTGGTACGCAGGATTGATGTTGTTTGCAGAGGGCCGTGACGAGAGCAGCTCAGCGACGCTGGGAAGCGTTCGCGCGGGAGCGGAAGACTCGGTGTGCTGCGACGATCCGTAGGCGCGGGGATCGCGAGGCCAGTCGCCTGCCATGGCGGGCATGAGTGCTTTAGAAGTCGATGACAGCTGCAGCGAGCGCAGCGTTGATATGGAGGGCGCGTGAAGACGAGGTCGCACAAGAGGAGGAGACGCAGTCTTACACGGGCAGGCGCGAAGGGTCTAAGGTCCTGACATTCCGTGGCTCTGGAGTCTCCGCTCTTTGGACGATGGATGAAGCACCCTGCCAGCTAGCTCTTAGCAGGCTCCAACAGGCATGCTGGCGCTGCGCGGACGCCTCATTGTGGAGCATGCCGTGTGCTGGGTCCACAGCCTGCGAGGTGATTCTCCCAAAGCTGCAAGGCATACTTTAGGCCGGGTTGGCCGGGCTAGCCTGTCTCCAGCGGCGACGGGAGCATTCGAAGCGCATCCGCGCTGACGAAAAGGGTATAGATCGGGGAGGGGTGGCTAGACGAGCCATACCGCTTGCACCAGCAGCGGCACACGGATAATCATACCGAACCTTCCCTCTACAGCGAAGCGATCCCACGGCCTGTTCCCGCCGGCCACGCCACTGCATCGAGTCGCCCTGCGTGCCGTCGCCGTACTGCCTGTCGCCGCGTGCAGTGCCCTCGCCTCCCATGCACCTCCTAGTCGAGCGAGCATCGCACTGTTGTTACCTACGCACGTTGATCGAGTCCATAGCTCACACATGCAATGCGAGCAGGCTTGTCCTCTGCGCTCGTTAGCCGTGCAGCCAGTTCGCTCTGCGCCGTGCAGGACCATCTGTTGCGCGTCACGAGGCAAAGCAGACCAAGCCTGGATATGGACACTGTACACACTGCACAGTAACAGGCCCTCATTTCCCTTGTCCCTCGTCTCTAGTGTCCCGTGCCCGAGCCAGCCCATTCGAATACTCGACCACTATAGTACTCGACCTCGATCTGCTGCCCAAAACGACGTTACCAGCGAACCTCCACTCCGTGCGGCAGTAGCCGATGAACAGGTGCGACGGGACGCTCCGAATGTCAGGGGATCGCTGGGTCAAGCAGCTTCCGTCTCAGCGTCAGCTCCATGACAGCGAAATTTACTCTGTGAGCCCTGGTCCCTCAAACGCTGCTGATATTCCCGTTCCCCAGCGCAAACTCAGTGTGGACAGCCCCTGCCATCGAGATCACATCCTGCTACCAGTGCTGATTCGTTCTTTCCTACGCCGCCTATTCAGGCTAGTGCGCCTGCCTACTCCAGCTTGGCTCCAGCTGGCGACGTTGACATCCAGTAGTCCGTCCCGAGATTGCGCTGCCTCCACCTTCACCGATCACAGTCAGAGGTCAGCAAGTCCAACCCCGGTCGGTTGTGTGTCCTGCGTTCCATCGTATGTGCCGACATGGCCAGCGTTGCGTTTCGGCTCGCAGAGCCTGCTTTGATTGGCCCACGTCCCGCTGTCGACCAATCATCACTGAGTTGTGGGTCCTGCCAGCAGCCTCCTCAACAACGACTCCACGCCCGCTGCAAGACATCGAGCCGTGTTCACTCTGCAGCCTTTTCTGGAATGCAGCTAGAGCGCTTTGATCCTCTCTTTGGCCACTGAGAATCCCATTTCCAGCTTGTGTGAAGGACGAAACGCCATGCCAGGGACCGTACCTCACTTGCGCTGCTTGCTACTTCCGGTCAGTTGCATGGTGGCATGCCGCAACACAGGCAACACGTCCCATGAGTGGAATTTCCTTCGCCACTTCCATGCGAGCATGATGAGCAGAGGCGACCCACCATGCCTGTCTGTTCTGATGAACCAAAGCAAATCACCCGACTGCCTGTCGCGAGACCGATCCGGTTCTCGACATGGTCTGTTACAATCTTGGACACGCAGGTGACACGCGAGCTCTGCAATCCGCCATTTCAGCTGTGGCTTCTTGAGTTTCCCACGAGTTGCGAAATCCGTGTTTATCATCTCCACTTACCGGGCGGCATTCCGACGAGTCTACACTTTCCGGCCCGAACGATCACATCCGATGTTCTCTCGGAATTCTGTTCGCGAAGTCTCACAAGACTTTCTTGGTGTGACACAAGAGCTTGTAAAGTGGAGCGATCAACATCCGCAATGTACCTGACACCATCATACAGCTGTCGGTCAGCAACATCACTTTGGCGGACAATATTGCCTCGTACAGGGCAAGGCCCGATGTGCGCATTTGCAATGTACCAGCGCAAGCGATTCTGGCTTGTACCTTATCATAAGCGCGTCTCACGGGCTACCTCCTTGTATTACCATGCTGATCACGTCACTGTAGGGGACCGACTACATGGTCCGCCATGTGATGCTGAAGCTAAGCCTTACGTAGGTAACGACCATTCATCGTCTCTCTCCTCGGAAGTGCTTCCCCGACCATGATGCAGGGATAACCCGCGCTAGTCAAAAGGTCACGGCTTGATGTATAACGTTACGCCACCAATCAATCGACAAGTACGGTTGCACAAATAGCATGTTTGGCCCACAATACGATACCCGCATGAATTGTCTTCGAAAGCCTCGCTTAGCCACGCATGCGCAATATTACCCGGAAGCCCCAAGCTCTCAGGCATGAAGCTGCGGCACGTTGCGGCAGTCCCAACGGGCCAACATCATGCCGCTCGCCCTACGATATATGGGTTTGCGCAGCAAGACTGCTGCATCCAGCAAGCCTGTGTAAGCGCGGCTATTAACAATACATATTCCTAGGCCACAGCGCTCGAGCTTGAGCGCTCTGAAGTTTGTAGCACGCAACGTACTCTGCATATGATGGCCGTTGCCAATGGGTTTGAATTCAAAAGCCGGCTTCTTGTCACAACACAGTTGCTTCATGGTCGCAAATCAATTCAAGATGCTCAGATGGCAACATCAATGTTGCTGATTTGAGTCGCGACAACGTTCGTTTCCAAGAATGGTACAATGTAATACAGTTGTGTCATCTGATCCTTGTTCTTGTCCGAACCCGACATTGACGTTGACTTTCACGCTATGCGGGATAGGCATCGGGCGTCGACGGAGCCTTGGTCTTGTCGCACAAGTTGTGCAGTTGCAAAGAGGTGAGTGAGAGTGCAAGTGATACCGACCAACAGACATAGAATTACTCGACCGCTGTTGTTTCGATTGATTTAGAGCGCGAGCTTTCCTTCCTCCAGATCAAGATCGGTAGGTAACTATGATCTGTGTCACATTCGTCTGGCCTAACTCGCTCGCGGTATGTCAAGAAGATAAGTTCAGCCGACCACTTGTGCATCTGTAGTATCCCGTATTGTGCCACTTCATATGACACCAGACTCGAAATGAGATTCTCAGGGACTTTCAAGTCGCTGCTATCATAGAATACGCACCGACTCAATGTAGGTACTAATAATCATCACTCCATGGTCGATGATAGAGAAACTCGGTTTGAAACGGCTCACAGCGTGAGTTCTACCAGGACTTTTTGGATGATGTTGGATAAACACTACACACACCAAGCTTCTTCTCTGTAATTTTTTGGTATGCGACTATGACGTAAGCGGAACAACCCACGTTGGTGATGTTTCATCTTCCACAGTCCTGCCGATCTCCGGAACTCTCCGAGCCTGGAGTCCTAACATCGCAATTGTAGAACACATCTGCACACAAACCTCGACGCAACGTACAATGCCGCCTCATGAAGGGCTCGTTCACCAGCAAGAGTATGACTGGCGAGACTCCAATGTCGAATTAATTAACTCAGACATTGACCACAAGGTCAAGTATAAGTCGGCGGTCAACGAGCCAGCATGGAACAACAGCGTCATTGGTGACGAAGCAGGCCTATTCATCTGGCGCATCGAAGACTTCGAGGTTGTTTCTTGGCCACGCGAAAAGTACGGCAGTTTTCATGAGGGCGACTCGTATATCATCCTCTTTACCGAAGAAGTCAAAAGCGATACAAAAACTCAGCTGATTCACGACATTTTCTTCTGGCTTGGACGCGCCACAACACAAGACGAAGCCGGTACCGCGGCCTATAAGACTGTCGAACTCGACGAATTCCTCCACGGCGCAGCAACGCAGCATCGTGAGTTGCAGACCTCACCCTCGGACGCATTCTCTGCTCTATTCCCACGTATGAAAATTTTGCGTGGAGGTGTACGTTCTGGCTTCAATCATGTGGATTCCAGCATAGATCCGCAACACACAGATACTTTGCTCCGCGTCTTTAAGCACCCTGGAGCCAACACAGGACGCGATGCTATCCTCGTGCATGAGGTCGAACCCACGTGGCAGAGTCTGGACGAAAACGACGTGTTCATTCTTGACAAAGGTGACAAGATCTTCGTTTGGCAGGGAAGAAAGTGTTCGCCAATGGAGAAGCTCAAGGCCGCGCAAGTAGTCAACGACCTGACAATTGCCAAACATAGTGATGTAGAAGTATTGAGCCAGGAGGAGTCGAGGAGCAAGGTTGTTGTGGACTACCTTGGCGGTCAGCATCTGGAGTTTGGCACAAGGTTCGAGTGTGCGAGACCGCTATCACCCGCTACAGAACGGAACGTGAAGAAGCTGTTCAGAATAAGCGATGCTAGTGGTCAACTTGCATTCGATCTCCTAAAAGAAGGCAACGGGATTGACAGGGAGGATTTCGATGAGAATGATGTGTTCTTGCTAGATGCCGGAAGGAGTATCTGGGTTTGGGAAGGTAGTGGGGCGAGTCAGAGGGAGAGGGCGATGTGGCTGAAGACAGCGCAGACGTATCTTGCTATGCAACCTGACGCAAATCAGCTGGCTGTAGCGAAAGTCAATCAGGGAAGAGAGGGGAAGACTTTCTGGGTTGCTGTGGAAGCATAGGGTTGTTTTCGAAACAGTGAGTGCTTGGTGTATATCATAAGATTACGGTCGAAATGCTCATAATGCCAAGTGATGACGATGCAATTCTTTCATGGAAAGCCTGTTGATCATGCTGGAAGACAATATGTCAAGTACGACTTATATGTGACAGGCCTTGTCAATGTTCAAGAGAGTGCTGTGGCGTCCACCGAGATGCATTTTGTACATTCTAGAGTTGCGGCCATAGCTATATACATGGGCAAGGATCAGGTAGTTGGAATTTTTCAACTGCCTCTGACATGAATGCAAATTTTGGAGGTTAGTAAAACACCCCTCTTTTCGCCTTCATATCTATACAATGCGAATCGCTGACAAGCATTTGGATGTAAGTCATACTGTCTATATCCGCGGAATTCGAACACTCAACGTATTCTCCTGGACAGGTAAGGTCTCGAGGCTGGTCAACTATACCGTAGATTCGATTGAGTAACATTGAACTAATCGGCTGTAGCGAAGACCGACACCTCTCCTTCTTAGCATAGTTGAGTTCAGTCTTTGGGCAGTAGGCGTTAATATAATAAGGTGCAATCTATACGAAATTAAACCTAGATACCACATGAGCGGTGATCTGACTATGTGAGCCCACTAGTAGCAACTAAGAACCACCTCTTTCTGTACCATTCATGGCAATGGCTCCGAGTAGATGGTGTGAGTTCCTGAACCTTGCGTCGGTGCGAAGTAAGTGGAAGTGCTTCTATTTCATAAACAGGATTCGTTCCCCGCTCACACCTTTTCCTCACACTTTTGTGCTTATGTTCGCTGAGATCTTTCAGACTCTACTGAACATTTTCATTTATTGAATTGAAAGGCGTGAGTTGCATAAAAGAGTCAATCGGGTGAAGGCAACAGCTTGTAGCACGACAAGTATCTTTCTCCAAAGGTAACAAGCTTAAGACTTTGCCTTTCCCGGGAAAGAAAAGAACGACTGGTTTTGATTTGTACCAATGAGACGACGGTTACAGAAAGCCTCTCTGACATGAAAATGTGTCAGGCGTATCTGTGTTTCGTATTTGTGCCTTCCAACCTCGACTTCCTGTGCGAGATACGATCTTTCACACTGAGCAATGGCGAAGCAGTAGACGGCAAGCAGAGTAAAGTGTAATTTGGAGATCTTCAATTGGAAAAACATTGCGTCTACATCCATATTTTGGTCCGTCTCTGGCAACATAGTTATCTGCTCCAGGCACCATCATACAATTGCCGCCAACAACAAGCCGACCTCGATCAGCTCCCTGCATCTTAAACCCACGGAGACCGCCGGCAATAAAAAGAGTCGAGTCTTCAATGGAAAAAACCCTTCGTAGTCAACAGTCGTCGATAGGTTTGAGAGAACTGAATACTCACCACAGCCTGGAGGTCTGCGACGAGATCTTGGGAATGTGTTGCGGGCGTACGAAGTAGTGCAGATGTCTAAATCGTATTGAGAGACAGTATTGCTGATGGATCAATAACCATAAGGACGACCTCCGGCACGAGCCTCTTTGGCGTCACGCGAGAGCCGTTCGTAAAGCTGCGCGAGATCGGGAAAGGCAACCAAGGCCTCCTGGGCAGGTTGGGGGATGTCTGCAACGATCTTATCCCATCCGTTGTGACGTTGGCAGATGACACGAATAAGCTCCTCCATACAGTTGAGTGTAGCCTGGATCATTCTGTAAGACCATGCCAGGTCAAGGAAGCCCCGAGGGTTCTGAAGGGACTGCGTGTACGGGTTGATGAGGACAGTCCAGTCAAAGTTGTGCTGAGACACATCGACAGGAGTAGGTATGTGCTGGTCACTGCACTCTTTGCCTAGTTTGTGGAAAGACGTCCACAGCTGGTCGAACTTTCTGGCAAACGGGTTAGTCGGTGTGTCATTGATGGCGCGGCTGCGATCACGTTGACCCTGGCGAAAGGCCGTTTCTTGGACTGCGACAGCCTCAGGAACACCGGCAAGAGAGAAAGCTTGAGGTCCCTGATGGATGTTGCGAGCGCGAGAATCCGAGTTCAAGGATGAACGGCCAGTAGCGTGAATAGCTCCATTGCCGGCACTGCGAGTAGCGTGGTTGGTGCGAGTGGGGGTACCGTTCACACTGAGGCCGAGTGCACGAGTTTGCTCTGACAAGCTGGACTTCTGAGTATCGAGGTCAGTCAAGTTCAATACAAAGCGGAGATGTGAGACTCACAGGCTGCTGTGACGGCAATAACCCGCTAAAAGTCCGAGCCTGCGGACTGAACGATGATTCTGGGGTCTTTGCACCCTGCCTGTAAGCCATGAAGGAAGCGGAGCTGGCAGATGCTGGCAGTGAGCCTGACGATGAGCTACTTTTGTCTTGTTTAGGACCCGTTGCTGCTGCACAAGGAGTGCCGGCCTGAGGGTGCATGGCGGTCGTTTGGTGAACGGAAGTTGCGTAGCTACACAAGTACTATAGATTGTTCGTGTTAAGAGCGAGCTCGAACTAATGTGCAGGTGATGAGACGTACCTGATCGTTTGACATGGTCTGACCCGTCTCGAAATGATTGACACAATCAATATCTTGCTGCAACACAGAGGAATCGTGGTAGCTAGCGTGGTGGTTTGAGTTTGGCGCCAAATATGGAGCGCTGTGGTAAGTGAGGATGGGAAGGAGCTACGTTGTTTTTGTTTGTAGAAAAGGAAGGCACGAGACGCGCCGCCAAGCCAAGCGCGTCGGTCGAGGAAATAACACAATCGCCTATATATGTACGGCAGGTATTCTAGACTGTGGGGCAAGCACGTTTGCAAGCGAAATGCCATGACAGGAGACGAGGCAAACGCAATCGGACCTCTCGTGAACGGCAAAACCAACTTCGAATTCGCAAGGATGGCATGGAGAGCTCAGAGGAGATCAAGCAAATATAATTCTTGGACTAGAAGAAGACGATCTACCACCTCAAATAGGTCTGTGAGTATCACCACCGTGGGTGACCGCGGTGACGCTTTGAATTGGGCTGGAGTGAAAAGTCAAAATCGATGGAGCTTTGGGAGAAGAAGCATTGCCCAAGTGCGAACTTGCGCCGAGTTTCTGACATCAGCTGGCATGGATCTCTTCAATATCCTCTTGTTTCAACCATCGTAGTGCGCTCAAAGAGTAAACAGCTCACGTTAGCTGAAAGTTACCGACCTTCAATCTACGTTCTCCAGTTCAGCAGCCTCACGAGCTTGGATATACTGGTACTTCAGCCGAGCCGCTTTGAGCTCTGCCTCTGCAACCTCAAGTTCAGCCTGTAGCTTCTGGACCTCGAGAGACTCCTTGGACGCGTTCACAGCATCTGCAATGTCAGAACGAGCCACCGCACCTGGTGTACCTGAGAGAATGGAACGAGGGCGCGCGCGTATTGGGTCGGAATGAACATCGTCGACATCTTCCTCGTCGGAGGAGATGGTCCTGGTGTTGCGGCGTCCTGGAGTGCTCCGTTCGGTAGGTTCGAAGGTTTTACGGCGCTTGTTTGCGTGCTTCTCTTTACGAAAGAGGGTGCCGTCGGGGGCGCGACGAAGTCGACCTTCTGCGCGACGTCAGATCTAGTGAATCTGTGAATTGGAAATAACTTACGCTTTGTTGGAAGCTGCAGGCGTGCCTCGTAGACCTCGTGGTTACGCTTGTGGCCTCGTAGAGAGCCCTTCGGAAGGACTGGCTCATGTAGCTCCTCCAAATATGAATCGATGGATGAAACGAGAGACTCGGCCTCGGATTCTGGTTCTGGTCGATCGGGGTGCTCGTACTCGTCCTTGATCTCCTTGATGTCGGCTAGTCGGCACCATGGATGTTTGTCTCGGTGTTTGTCGATCTTCGCCCTGAGTCGGAAGTGAAACTCGTCCAAATTCCCACCGTTGAGACGCGCGATAGACTTGAGATCCTTCAGGAACTGAACGCCCCAGTTGCGTGGGTCATTCTCAGTCTGGTTCTTGATATGATCGCGCCGCTCACAGTCCCAGGCACGCATGCGAATGTCGACAGGAATAATCTCGGGGACCGACTGCACATGGAAGTCGGCGGCAAGCGCAGGGAGAAGACAGTTGACGAGGTCTTGGGTGTCTGCGTTCAGAGTCTCAAAGCGCCCCATCGTGGCCGATCTGTAAGAATACCTTAGCTTTGGTGGACGATACCAGCATCGTCTTCAAGTGGGCTTGTTGCAAGGCAGATGTTCTTGAAGATGGAGAAAGCCGACGAGATCTCCTTCGAGAAAGGCCCTGACCTATGGCGAATGATGCACCTTTTGGTGAGGACCCTACCGCTCTTGCTGGAAAAAGAAGAAAGGAGCAGCGGTAGAGAAAGTTGTATGCGCTTACCGTTGGAGCGAACACGGGAGCTCACTGACGCAGTGCGAAGGCTGATAGCAGACGTGACAAGTGAGAGAGCTCACTGAGCAGCTACTATATATATGTGCCTCACACGTAACTAGCGTGAGCGCGCCTTGAGGCTCCTGGTGGGGCACGGTTGTCCACGCAAGTGAAGGTAGGGCCAGGCGTCCATTGTGGGCAACTATCTTGGAAAACAACAAGTGCAGGTCTGAAATCTCTTGAAAAAGTATCAAGGGGCTAATCAGTTGGCGGCAACTGCTTTGTGAGACCGTGGATCACTTTCTCCGAACAGTGATCATGAACTGAGAGCTGGAAGGAGACTGCAACTTATGGTGACTTTGAACGATAATGACCAAGACACAACGACCTGTCGAGGACTCAAGGTAGTTCTGAGATGAAGCCGTGATGAAAGCAAAAGCAACACTGAAGATTGTGATATTGAGGTTTGGAGCGGAGTCTGTTCCGGCTCAAGATTCCCAGGTTCTCGTCAAAACTTTCCCTTGAAACTCCTTCTCCTTGTTCGAACCACAAGCCAACGTTAAGGTCATCTCGAAGACTGCCAGGATACATGGCGCAAAAACGCGTGCATTCAGATTCTGCAGCGGCATTGCCTGAAGTCTTCCACTCTGCCAAGATTGACGAGCAAACATCCTCGTTCATTGGTGCTTTCTCCCCTAGTCTCTCGACGGCGGCCCTACAGCGGCTCCCGGAATTTCGCACGCACGGCGACACATAGAATTGCAGCATGGCGCAAGCCTTCTCGTCAGCAATCGTTGACACCTTCCAAGCCCCTGTTCGACACCGGCCACGACGATGACGGCGAGTCATGGGCAGGTGGCCGGCTGGCGCGTGTTTTGAACGACACGCAGGCGTCTGGTACCGTCGTTGTTGCGCGCTGGTACGGAGGCCAAAACATTGGTCCAATAAGATTCACGCATATTGAGAGTTGTGCAAAAGACGCGATCTGGAAATGGAAGGTTGCTGTATCGGATGTGGGCAAGGAGGAGGCGAGCAAGAAGCAGAAGGTTCATGATGAGACGGAGAGGAAGAATCTGATTGAAGAGCTAACGCAGAGAGATTGCAACATTGTAGCATTGAGGAAGTTGTTGGCTGAGAAGAAGGCGAAGTTGAGTGGCGAGGAGATTGCGCCGTCCACACCGCAGAAGGCGACTGGGTATGGGGTTATGGGGTTGGATGTGCTGAAGAGGCTAGACAAAGCAAGAGATGCGACGATTGCTGCGATTCTGAAACAGATGGACAAGGTAGACGAAGATCTGAAGTTGTTGGACGGGTTAGACGACGATGCGCTTGATGAGTTGGACGATGAGGAAAGCCAATCATAATCAAATTGATCTGAGCTGTAGCTAGAGTCCTGACAATCAAGACAAGCAAAGAAAATGATCGAATGTGATGCAGACTCATCCCTCAACGACATTGACAAGCTCCTGACTATTCCAAGCGTCAGCTGGTTCTTGCGCAGAGTTTGGGCAGTGCAGACACGCCGATTGTGGCCAAGGGAAGGCTCCCAAGGCTCCCAGGCGTCTGAGTGGGGGAATGCTGGATGCGCGCTAGAGCACGGTGTCACGAGGGCATGCAGGGCGCTAGCTCAGTCGAAAGAAACGGAAGTGGGACATGTGGTGGACAGTGTACAGTAGATATACAGGTATGGACAGGCTCTAATGGCTCAGGTTCCAGCGCCCCCTCGTCAGCCTCCTCATCAGCAGCTTCCGCCCCTTCTTCGACCGCAGCCTGTTCAGGAAGCCGTGTCTCCGCTTGCGCACAAAGTGCGAGGGATTGTATGTGTCGCGCGGCCCGCAGCGGATCTGCACGCCGGCGAAGGCGGGCGACGCCGAGATCTTGCCCATGATGTCGAGCGTCTCGGGGGAGCGTGTGGCAGCGGCGGGGGCGCCGGGGGCGGCGAGCGTCGATGGCAGCGACGCCGGGGCGAGCATGGGGCGGCGGGCGCTGAGGAGCGACATGTTGCGGGCGCTGCAGCGGTCAGCATGGCGGCGCATGCGCGACTGGGCCTGCACGTACGCTTGCGCCATGGACGGCGTGGCCATGGCCGGACGGGCGACGGCGCGCAGACAGCGGAGGGCGTTCATCTCGGCTCAATGGCTGCGGCAGGGCAGCGTCCCGCGGCGAGAGAGGCAGAGAGGCGGCGGAGGCGGCCGGGCAGTGGTGCAGGTGCAGTGCGGCTCGCCCTGGTGGTGCGTGGTCTGCGGTCGGTCTGCGGTCTGCGGTCTGCGGTCTGCGTCGTGTGCGCGCCAGAGACCGCCAGACCTCCGCCTGCTCGCCGACAGAACAGAAAATCCGCGCTAGCCCGTGCGCGAAAAGTACTGTCGCACTCGCACACCCACACCCTCGCCGGCTGGCAGCGTGCACCACGCCTTGCATCTCTTCCAACATGGTCCCCGACGCGCCCCCGCCGCACCGCCTCGTCTCGAGCAAGCCCATCAGCATCGCCGCCGCCGCCGCCATGCTGCAGACCTACATGGCCAACTCCGAGGCACACCCGCACCTGCACCCCGACGCCCTGATCACACCCACCGGCGTCACCTTCTCCTCGCACGGCGGGCCCACTGGCGGCGTCGTCATGCACAACCTGCGCCGCATCGCAGCGGGACTGCGCGGTGAGGTCCTCGAGCCCGAACCCACCCCCGAGCCCGAGGAAGACGAGGGCGCCGCGCGGGACAAGGCGTGGAAGGCCAAGAAGGGCAAGGGCATCAAGACCACCTTCGCGGATGCCGACGCCGACCCCGCCCCCGTCGAGATCGAGTGGCAGGACAAGGACGCCTATGAGCGCGAGCAGGGCGAGTTTGAGAGCGGCGACCTCGGCGACCGCACCAACGTCGTCCAGGAGGGCGCCGCGCCCCCCGAGCTTGCCGTCGAGGTCGAGGCCACAGGCGAGAAGAGGAAAGGCGGCGACGCGAAGCTGGACAAGGACGCAAGGAAGAAGGCGAAGAAGGAGCGAGATGCGCAGAGGAAGAAGGAGCTTGAGAAGAAGCGCAAGGACGCTGCGTGAGCTTCGAGCCCGAACATGATACCACGAGCGCGGCGTTTGGGTTTTGCATATGTCTACTGCTCTATTGAGAACCACTGGGGAGCGCATACTTCGCCCTCCAATCCACCCTTCATGTCCTACTCCTACAACTCTCGGTCCGACGCCTTGACCGCCTTGTCCTCGTCCTTGGCCTTCTCCGTCAGCTTCTCGTTGCTCGACCAGTTCATTGCGCGCAGCCGTTCGGTCAGGATAGGGTGCGAGTGGTGGAAAGACGAGTAGAACCAATCAGCGTCCATTGACGACAGATTCTGGATCTGCAGCTTCAGGAGGGAAGCACCGAGCTCCGTGCGGTATCCGAGGTCGACGGCAAATGCATCTACCAGAGTTAGCGGGCTGCCTTGGGGGTCGGCACAGGGCCACACGTACCAGCTTCATACTCCATCTTGCGGGTCCAAAAGTTCATGCCCAGCTTAAAGAGCGCGTCCGTAGGCGACAAGATCTCGTTGAACAGAATAAATCCAATAATGTTTGGCTGCTCCCTGTGGAATCCAAAGTCGGTGAAGAGCGAGCGGTTGTCGATGAAGACGGAGAACAAGGCGAACGTGTAGAACAGGTGGGCCTGCGCGATGAACAGCAGCCTGGATGTGTGGTTCATCTTCCAGTGGCCCAGCTCGTGGCCCAGAACAGCCTCGACCTCCTTGTCCGAGCTCTTCTCGAGCAGCGTGTCGAAGATGACAATCTTCTTCTTGCCAATCCACGGCAGGCCGGTGAAGTAGGCGTTGCTGTGGGCGCTGCGCTTGCTGCCGTCAATAACCTGCAGCTCCGAGAGCGGGAAGTCGAGCTTCGACGCGAGCGCTTCGACCGAGTCCTTGAGCTTGCCGGGCTGGAGAGGCTCGAGCTTGTTGAAGAGCGGCACAATGAGGATCGGGTAGATGGTCATGCCAAGGATCTGCACAGCCAGCATGAAGACCCAGAGGTAGTAGAAGAAATTCTGGCCCGTCTTGCGGATAATGGCCAGGAAGGCGCTGCCAATGGGGATGCCGAACGCAAGCCCGAGAGCCTGGCCCTTGACCATGTCTGTGACCCACGTGTTGATGGTCATCTTGTTGAAGCCGTACTTCTCCTCGAGCACAAAGTGGTGGTAGTACGAGAAGGGCAGGCCGATGAGCGTCTCAGCCCAGGTCATGAGGTACATGAACAGCAGCGATCGCGGAATCTCGCCAGAGAGGCTGGCGGGGGCATAGCGGACGATGAGCGAGCCGGCGACGCTCCAGAGGATCGGGTAGACGTTGAAGTAGATGGTTGCGAGGTGCTTGGCCTGGTTGAAGAGAGCCGACGCGAAGCTGAACTTGGCCTTTGCGCGGCCGTATGCCTGGGCTTGTCAGCAGTTGCTCTTGGTCGTGCGCGGCAGAGCGCCGAACCTGGGATTTGTCAAATGTCTCGCGGTCAATCTCCTTGTCGAGTGCCTTGGGGACCGTGGTGCGCTGCAGAACGCGGTACTGGCGGAACAGCAGCCAGTTCTCGAGCGCGAATTCCGCGAGCGAGAAGCCAACCACAAGCTTCCTCCACGGGAAGAGTGGCCGGTCCAGCAAGCGGGCCAGGCGCTGTAAAAATGCCTGGATCATGTTGCGACAGTGTGTGGTGGATGAGGCGGCGGCGGCAGCGGCACGCGAGTTGAGGACAGTTTCCGCCGCGGCTGATCGTGTGCCATGTGGAGACGCCCCCCGGCAGTGGCGTCACTCCGCGAACGCGTCCCGCCCACCACGACAACGCGTCGACAGATCCACACAATCGACACAATCGCCATGCACGGCACCAGAGACTTGGACGCTGCAGTCTGCTGCTCTATCGCGCAAGACCACCTAGAAGCTGATACGAACACCAGTCACACGATTGGCACCCATGGCACCAGACTTGGAAGCTGGAATATACTGCTTTATTGCCCAAGACTACCTGAACGCCGGCCTCCTGTCCCAATTTCTAACCTTGCCTCTAAAGCCCACTTGCCTCCCTCTTCGCCTCTCACCCCTCACCCCTCACCCCCCACCCCCACCCCTCACGAGTCGAAGACCGCCCCGTACGCCGGGATTCCCCTCGCCTCCAAGTCGTACACCACCTTCGTCGTGAACTTCTTGTTGCTGATTATGCACACTGCTTCAGCTCCACTCTCCTTCCACAGTCTGTACGCCATTAGACTCATATCCGGCTTGCCCATGGTCCTCGTGTTGTGGATGACCGCATTGGGATCTGTATCCAACACGCTGTCAACAATCTCCTTCCCAAACGTCTGCTCTGGATTCGGTGCCGTCCAGAGAATACGAGCAGGGACCTTCTTAGCCAAGATCACCGCCAGGCAAGGTCCGATGCCTGACCCGGTAGCCACAAGCACCACCGACTTGAACAGCGTCGCAATTCGGAGGACGCCGCATGCTGGAATCCCACGCACCCAGATGTGCGTTGGTGCCCGCTCTATAGTGCGCCCGGTAAAGTCGCCTGCACGGCTGACAATCAACGAAAAGCCAGTCGCGTTGGGGTTCTTGAGCGTCTTCGGGTTGGTAATGGTCGCAAACCCGTGCCAATCGATCAAGGGCCGTTCGGCAAGGCGCACAGCCGTGCCAACAACCGGAGTCGTATAGTCGAACCAAAGTCTTACTGCATGGTTGGATAACACTTCAGAGCGTACAGGAACCTTGCGGAGATGCAACCAAGGGAAAATGATAGCCGCTGTAGCGATACCCAGGAGCCACAATGAGGGCGAGTTGAGATATGCCGTTGATGGTGCAACACTAACATCCTTGAGGTCCTTTGTGGCTAGGACTGTTTGCGCCCAGAGAAGGATAAGCGCAGTCCAACCACCAAAGCGGTGACTCATCTCCCAGATGTTGTGGTACTTCATGCGTATGGTCGGGTGTGACATGCATCCAATGGCGACTAGGAGCACCATAGCCAGATACGACAAAACGAGTACTGCTGTGGAGACACCTTGTGACGGCAGCCCTGTGCTCACCTCCACGGTAGCTGTTATGGTGAAAATCGAAAAGAAGATAGTCGCAGCAATCGCGCATCCACTGTGGATCCCTCCAATGTGGAAGATTCTTGCGCAGTGTCGGCGTACTGCGAGTGGGAACCAAGTTGGCACTGAGCAGAATACCGTGAAGAGCAGGTTAACCACCGGCTCCGAACGCATAAGTACCGCTACGCAGAGGTTGGAGGCAGCGGCTGTGGCAAGATGCGAAAGTACGCGCTCGCCATATCCGATCTTGCGATGAAGGATGAACCCGGCAACAGCCAAGTTGGCAAGGACGACAATCGAAAGGAAACGGCGGTATAGGATGAAGGCTCGATGGCGAAGCCATCGTTGACCATGGAAGCCGTGCTTCGGGGGCAGCGTGTCAGGCACATCAGGTGTGTCAAGACCACTTTCGATGACAACAGGGCCTTTCTCTACATCGACGATGCTCTTCGACGAGTCAGAAGATGGCGTTGAGACTTCCGTCTCAATGACTCCTGGCTTCTTCTCCAGATTCAGCATATGCTCTTGAAGCTCGGTGTGAACGACCTCTTCCGAAGGCGTAGCCGTGTCGACTTGTGTTACGGTTGATGTCGTGACCATGACAGAGTCAGCCCTCGCACAGCGTTCCGCAGCAAGCGTGCGAAGTGTGGTTCTATCGACTTTACCATTGGCCGTGAGTGGTATTGCTCCAACAAAGTGCCAAGTCGTGGGTACGGAGTAGTAAGGTAGCACGAGCTTGACTGATTCCACGAGGTCCGCCTCAACGATGGACTTTGTAGCCGCATAGAATGCGTGCAGGCTGTTATCAATTTTCAAAGCGGCAGCTCTTGCGATTCCATCAAAACTCTCGATGGTAGCCGATACACCATCAAGCTCTACGCGGAAACCCTAGTACATGTTAGAGTCTGCCCAGTTTGAGCGAGCTACTGACTTGCCTTGATCTTGACCTGATCATCACCTCGACCAAATGTCTCCAGAGACCCGTCATCTCTCCAGCGCACAATGTCATTCGTGTTGAACATAACAGAACTTGGGGACGATTAGCAAAGAAACCAGCCAGGGTGTAGAGACTCACCCATCGTTTCTAAATTTGTCGAATTTGTACCGTTCAGATGTCAATGCAGGCAGGTTGATGTAGCCTTTCGTCACACCCGCTCCGCCGACCCACGCAGAGCCTTTGACACCTGGCAATACTGGATTCTCATCTTCGTCGAGAACGTAGCACGTCGTGTTTGGCAAGAGCCGTCCAATCGAGAGAGCTGCACCAGGCGTGTGTCGGTGCGCAGAATTGAGGATCGTAATCTCAGTTGGACCACAGATGTTGTAAAATGTGGTCCCCTCTGCCCATTCGTCTGCAAGACTTCGGTACATCAGCGCGAGTCATGGTCCTAGTAGCCAGAGTACAATCATACCTTTGAGGGCAAGGCTCGCCGCCGGTGACGACAGTCTTGATGTTCAAGTAGTCCGCCCTTCGATATTTCGATAGAATAGAAGGTGTCGAGATCAATGTATCAATCTGGGGTCTCGTCAGTCGTAGAGTCAAGAAAGAACATGTTGAACAACCTACCTCTTTGAGAGTAGCTTCCCAGCGTGATCCTCTCATATACAGAGTTCCGCCATTCATGAGACAAGCCAAAATCTCCCATGCACCCATGTCAAAAGCGATGCTCAGTACTGACCCGACTTTTGATCCATTGCGAATTCCCAGGTTGGCAGGCTCCAGCAACAAAGCATTAGTAACATTTGCATGTGAGACATCGACACCCTTCGGGATCCCTGTACTTCCTGCGGAGCATGTCAACTTCGAGTCTCGCAAACCAACGCGGACAGTGAGACTCACCAGATGTGTATATAGCGTAACATCCCATAGCTCCGCTACACTCGACAAGCGGCCTTCGCTCTGATGCGTGCAGAAGATGATCTCGACTCAGCAACGTGATGCTAGTTTCCGCCCTCGCAAACTCCTTGACTCGGTCATGGAATTTTGGCAGACACAGTACCTGTCGTGTTGCCGTGTCGTTGAAGATGTGAGCTAGCTGCTTGTCCGATGCGACGCCTCCATCAATTGGTACATATTGACAGCCTGCTTTCAAGATTGCCAAGATGCCAATCAGCATCTCCAGCGATCGTTGCACAACAAGGCATACTCTCTCATTTCGTTGCAGACCTGATGCAAGGAGATGATTGGCGAACTGATTTGCTGCCGCGTCCAATTCTCGGTAGGTGAGAGACGTTTGATTGAAGACGGCTGCAACTGAGTCGGGATTTGTATCGACTGTACTTTCAAATGCCTCATGAACTGTTGAATGACGAACGGGTTGACGCGGTCCCTGTCCGAAGTTGGAAAGAGTGATCTGATCTTGAAGGTGGAGACCTGATAGGCCATCAAGAAGCTTGAATGATGTCATGGTCGAGTATCTGTAGGAGATGGTAAGAGAGAGTCAGACCCTGAATGAATATCTCTACACCTTGGACTACTCTCTTATTTATACGTGAACTTCCATGTATATCGCGGCCTTGACGTAGTCGCCGCTAATGATCAACGCAAACTCCCTCTTCGTGTCGCGCATATGATCGCCGAATTTCTTGCATGTTGGCATCATTGCTTTTGCTGGGATATAAATTGAATATTTCAACGCCTTATTGTGATACATAGCATCGTCTAGGTGGAGTCACCCTACAGGGATGACCCGCTACAACGATTAGTTGGAGCAAGCTGAGCTTTGTCATACTTTACATACGAGATTTCGATACGCCATGTATCCTCTACCAGCGTCAATTACTACCCGAAATAGGAATAGGTACAACGCCTGTTAGCCGATAGACCAAGGCAACGTACCTATATACTGTTACCAGCTCATACAACGATGTGATGGTGCCTGAGGCATATATGAATGGGTGCCTATACATCTGAGCCTGGAGTGGAAACCTGAGCGATTGTTGGTCGTCTTGAGGTGACTGGTCCAGAACCAAGTTGTATCGCCCCGTACGTCTCGGATTTCCTCAACAATTGGTTATAAGCTCATAGGTCAAGTCAGCCATATCAAGTGTCAACGTTGAACTCATTCGTCTCGTGGTACATGTTGGTGATGTGGATGCATCGGGGCATGCCGAGGTGGTGACTTAGAACTACGAGAATGACATGTGCCTGGAACTGAAATTCGGTAAGGTTGGTAACAAACCAGATGTAGTTTACTCAATAGAGTCGTTCCGCGCTATGTCATATATACCCATGCTAAACTGGACCGTTCTACCCTACTTGTGCCGGTACATAGCAGCTCGGAGTACTGCCAATTAAGCAGTTGTAGATGCACAGATGCTCGGCACGGCATTTCTGCATGGTATTCGGCGGCACACCACGAAGTTTCGGACATAACGGCCTTCTGATTCGAGTCAAGACGGATGATCTTGCTGCAACCTACTGCAACGTCAAATGCAATACCCACTTCGGTAGTCTGCATATAACACCAACTTAACCTCAACGACATCACTGATCTCAAGTCGATCGCAAGCAAGCACATGTGAACACTGTCGAGACAATTTGTGGGCACCCACCCGTTCGGACACTAGCTCAGAATTTGGTTGCTGAAACAGTAGTATTACGTCTGACGGAAAAGTTTCCCTTCCGGTAAGACGACCGTACAGGATCCGGGAAGCTTCAGGCGTGTACAATATGGTATGATTCTTCCTGCGATGCAGTGGGGTACGAGATCAGCAAGGATAAATAGACAATATCAGCCTTTCTCCAGCCTGTGAAATATTGATCCCATTCAACACCACGCAAACCCACTGGTACAGACAGAATGACACAATCTGGCCTCATCATAACAAGCAAACAAGGTGGTATTGCCCAATTGGAGCTAAACCGTCCGAAGAAGCGCAACGCATTGTCGCAGGATCTGATAAATGAACTCATCGAGGTGTTGCTCCAATTGGACAAAGACAGAGCAATACGCGCTGTCGTTCTCACAGGATGTGGACAGGGGCCTTTCTGTGGTATGCCAGCTGCAGCGCTTTGATAACGTGCCCACGCTGATCCTATGCAGCTGGAGCAGATCTAGGCGAGCTGGCCAAAATCTCTACAGCCGAGGCGTTCCAGCGTGGGTGGTTGAAGGATCTAAACGACGCTCTCGATAGCTTTCGCACGCCCATCATCGCAGCAGTGAGAGGATTTGCTGTGAGTGTAGTATTTTCTGGCTTGTATGGATCGTGGCTGATGGTCGCAGTTCGGAGGCGGGTTTGAACTAGCATTACTGGTAAGGAGTGTCCTCATACCGGATGTTGCTGAGCAATCGTTGACCAAGACGCATGTCCTATAGTGCGACATGATTTTTGCCTCATCAGATGCCAGGTTCGGATTTCCAGAAATCAGTTTAGGCACCATCCCCGGCATGGGTGGCACGCAGCGGTTGACGAAAACCGTTGGAAAGCAAAAGGTAATGTACCGTTCGGGCCGTATCTCGACACCGGGAGATTCTGACTTTGCATCTACTTTCTGGGCACTATACTGACTCGACAGGCCATGGAACTGATACTGACCGGGCTGCCCGTTACAGCAATGGAAATGGAGAGGCATGGCGTCGTCAAGGTAGTGCCAATGGACAAAGACGTTCTCCAAGAGGCTCTTAGTGTTGCTCAGATCATTGCAGCGCGTTCAGCACCAGCTCTCCGACTCGCCAAATCTGCAATCAAAGCAGGTAGGCCCATCTCCAAAGCTCCTTGCGAAAAGCTAGCAACTGACGGGAACAAGCCGAGACCACCACTCTGAATGCGGGGTTGGAGATCGAGCGAAGCTCGTATTTCAGTTCGTACGTGCCCGTTGATACGATCCAATCGCTAATGTCGCTGATGTGCACCAGTTTCTCGTTCCTTGATTGCCAGGAGGGAATTGCAGGATTTCTGGAGAAGCGGCCAGTCACCTTCCTTCAGGAGTAACGGGGATTCAATATGGTGCAGATATTAGCCTTCAATCTGACAAACGGAGCACGAAACGTGATAATTTCGGTCCTTCTCGTATCCTGTTGGACGTGCCATGTCGTCGGTTACCAGGGCCGGGCTGGACCTACCGATTGGCGGCCGCATAGAGCGCGCGGCAATTCGGACGGTCCACTTCTTACTGTGTATGTGACGGAGCCAGGCCCAGGGAATGTGTTGCTTGACATCGACGATTGCGGACCAAGAGGTGCTGCTAGACCTGCCCAGTGTGCGTTGTTCCAAGTGAGGCTGGTGGTGAGGGGTTGGGAGAGGCGATTCGAGTTGGGATGGCGCGCGCGTGCGATGCCGACCCCACCAAAGGCTCGGAGAGGAAGGAGCAGCCTCGACCTTATCAACATCTGCATCAACTTCCAGACCTTCGAGGTTGGTCATCGCACTAGACCTGCTCGTTAGAGGCTGGCATCTGCATCAAGACAGGGTTTGAAGCTCGGCACTTGTTTTTGTGAGGTAGGTACTTATCACGGGTCCGATAGTATGTTGCTCGAACAGCGGGTCACAGCACATGAACGGGAACACCCCCCAAGATGGACACTAACATGTCTCGATGAAAGTGCAAAGAAAAATTGTAATGTTGCGTCGCAACTTCCTTCTCGGGTGGTGTGCGATTTGAGTAACTCAATGAAGAAACCCATCGATACAACCTTGCTTCGAGGCAGCAGATCAACGGGCTGCTAGCTTTGGGACAGCCACTCGAGACGCAAGCAGAGCAGGTGTAAAACTTGTCCTTCCCTTGCTGTGCTAGAGCACGCAGCGGTCGGCGTCGATAAGGTGCTCACGGGCGGTCATGTCGCAATGACATGGGCGGGCCTCCAGGCTGTACAATTTCTGCTACTGCAATGCAATGGGCATAGTCACATGTCAGCTATGTCGATTGGTGCACCCCAGCGGAATTCGAATGCGAGCTCGTCAGTCAAGGGAATGCGGCCAGCGAAGGTACCAGCGTGGCGAGTCTAATTACGATTATGAGAACAAGCTGTCAGATGCTATGGCCAGCTGGAAGCACAAGGATAGAACGACTTGGTATCCGCGCAGATTATCATAAAATCCTCAATCACTCGAAGCCACCTCTTGGCTCGTGCGCTATGTTCCTGATGTCCTTCGTCTCAATACGTCCCATTCCCTGATACATGTCATGGCGGTCGATATAGCTGTTTGCTGTAGTGGCCGGTACAACGTAATCTTGCATACCGTCACTGCTGACTGTCTTGATTTGCTCAAGATCGTTCTGGTCGAACGTGGCCCTGTTCGGGCTGTCAACTGAAATGGCCGGACCTTGTTGCTGTTCGCTCTCTTTATGGTCGATAGATAGCTCTTGCATCCTTGAATCCAGGTCCAGTGCCGGGCCACTTGGGATCTCTCCAACACTCTTAGAGCGTACCGGTTCTAGGCCATGGAAACCATCGTCCTCGGCGGATATATCGAGAACCTCGTTCTCGGGAACCGAGAGGGAGCGTGCGGGATCTTCAGGAAGGCTGTTCGATCGTTCCTTCTCGTGCTTGTGGCTCTTTGACCAGGACTTGAACTTGAAAGCGCTGAGCCAACCGGGTCGCTTTTCCTTCTGGCTATTGTAACTGTTCTTTTTGCTGTTGCTTGGGCGCCTTACTGGCTTTGGCGGATTCAAAACGTTCTCGGCAGCGAGCTGAATAGCTGTCTTTTCTTCTGCGCCAACCGAGCCCTTCTTTTGGGTCTGCGTTACCTCAGGATGGGCTCGTATCTCATAATCTGACTTCCGTCGCGCTCCAGCTGCACCGCCTGCAGGTATGCCCAGAGAAGCGCGGCGATTGGCCAGGGAAGTCTCTTTCAACTCATCATTGATGTATTGAAGTGCTGTGTCAGCGACTTCAAGGTACTGTGGGTAGTCGATCTCGCAAGCCTCGCGGATGAGGCGTAGTTTCTCCCAATCTTGTTGCACAACAGGCCCTGATAGCTCCGGGTGCCATGCCATGGAACGAATATCACTCTTCATGCCTCGGTCGACCTGCTCATTCACGCCGAAAAGGTTGATCAGCCCATCTACCTCGATACGAACTGCTCTGACGAATTCGTCGAATCTCGTAGTATCTTTCACAGTCCAGTGCGTGGTCGTCATGCTCATGTTTCGTTTGATGTTGGCCCTCGCGCCACTCTGTCGGACGAGATCTTGAAGCAGTCCATACTTTTCACGAAAGGCCTCCATCCGATTTGTGTCCAACGCTGGGTGCTCAAGCATGTTGAATCTCTTGGGGCTCTTCAGGCCATACTTTTCCATCAAATCATCTCGCGATAGATGGCCTGGTCGGCCGGCAATTTCGCTCAGTGCTTTCCTGACTTTCTCGTAGGTCGGATCGTCTTCTAGACGAGAATCCCTGACGCCAAAGTTGACTGGAAGATGTGGGTCGGGGTTCGTGAGTCCAGGATGGCTTGGGATCATGTGCCTGGCGATAGTTGCAGGTGGGGCTGAGATGCCAACCGCATCGCCAAAGATAAGCAGTCTGCCCTGTTGCACACCCAGCTTGGCTAGCGCAACTTTCTGCGCATGATCGCTCTCCTTTGACGGATGGATGAGGTTGAAAGCTTCAACACAGGTGCCAAACTGCGTTGCAAGCGAGAAAACTTTGTCTAGGATCTGTGCTTTGGTTGGCGCCTGCGCATCGCCTTCGATTCTTTCGGTGGTTGCTTTTGAGCTCATTGTGGGGCGGGGTAGCTAAAGCTTTGCAGCTAAGCGCGACCGTGTTAGATGAGAGAAGAATTTCGAGCGCAATTGGTGAGGAAGAATTGGAGTTTGAAAAGTCAGGTACAAGAGACAGAGATGGCTCTTCAAAAAGTTAAGGCAGTAACTGTTGAACCTGTGCGCATGACGTCTGAGGAGCTGTTCCAGGCCTGATCAATGGCTACGTCGAGCAAGTGTGGCGCAGATTTCACCCAAGAAGCGCAGGTGCGGGGTCGGAGCTGATCATCACCTGCAGGCTTTTTCAGAGCACTGCAATTCGTGAGCTTGGTGCTACATCTCCAGACAAGCTTCGTTACCCTGATTACGCCTGCAGATTCTCTCGTCACCGCCATATGCTGTGGCGCGACACGTGTAACTGAGGTTGGCCACACTCTGTCGGTTGTCGGCATTGCCTTGAGGAGGCTGGCAAAGGATTCATGATCTCGCATCGTAAACGCTCTCCATACAGCACCCTCCAATCTGCCAATGTTTGCCAAGAGTGAGCGAAAGAAAAAGTGCGTTGAGCTGGCAGCCGAGAGGCCTTGGATTGGCACCAAATGGGTGCGGCAAGTTTGAAAACGAGTATTGAAATAGAAGTGGACCATTTGGAAGGAACAAGTACCGAAAAATAAAGATCAAGAAAGGGTATCTCGCAGCAATCAAACCAATTCCCACTGGTTGGTATCAGTGTCTATAAAAGCAATCCGTCGTCGAAACCGTAATATCATCGCATCTGCAAACCACGCCCTAATTCTCCTTAAATATATGAGGCTCAGATGTGAGAGTAAGGCGCTTTCCCATGGGATCTGTCTTCGCTGACACTCCCAACAGTACTCTGGTCGCCGTCAATTTGCGTCTTTGCTATGTCGTCGTCTACGCTGAACTCTTTTCGGACAAAGATGCCGCTTGGACTGCGACCGCGCACCTTGACTCTAGTTTCTCTGTTATGGATGGGAGCGCCGTGTCCGCTGGTCACAATACCCTCTTCGCTGTCGCGTTCAGGATCCATGATGGTATCGTCGGCACCTTTTCTGCGACTGGACACTGCAGCTGATGCATGTGGCTTGTCACTACGCCATGTGAGATGAATAGATCCATCTGCTTTCGACGTGTCTTTTCGTGAGCGGCCAAAGACAGGCCCAAACAGCCGGACGAAGGGGCTACGAAGCATTGGCAGGCAAGCGCAAACGATGCCGGCATTGGCCTCGATGACAGACCAGATAGTGGCTGGAACGGGGCCCCAGGTAGGATCGGGATCGCTTGCAGAAGCTGCAATTGTAGTCGCGCGGTAGATAGACGCGAAAGTGACGCTTGGAGCTGTTAGTTGCATGCTTGAAGAAAGGACGTTCGTACTGACAAAACACCAGTACCGAAAACCAGGCAGATACCAAGTTTTTCTGTACGGCCCATTGAGAGCTTTCGTATAACGGGTAGGGGCATTAGAAGTAATGCAAAGTCGGTCGAGATCTGGGTGCTGGCATACGATATCCACCACGGCTCATTCTTGGGGTGGAAGTAAGCATTGTTAAGTGGCAGTACATGAACATGTATGGCTCACCTTGAAACATTTAAAGGGTATGCTCCGGTCCCAGAATGCAGATACAGGCGTGCATTGGAAGATTGTTGCAACAATGAATGCGAGACTTGACGTAATAATCCAGACGTTCATGACATGGCAGGCAACCCGAAACGAGCTACTAGAGACGGCAAAAATTCGATAATAGAGGCATGCGATGGAGATCTTGTTGAACATGAGGACGACCTTGTACACGATATGGGCGCCATAGAACCACTTGCGTGCGGTCATGCGAGTGTCTGGGCTGAGCGTGTTCCAGTGCCTTCCGTAGCCATACACAACGGCTGGAGATATTGTCAGATCCGCTATATGGCTCTCGCCCTTGGTTAACGCCTACCTTGACACTCTGTTAGAGACAAAAGGCCTGAAGAGAGTAGAGCCGCGATGATCATATAGTCGTCCATTCCCAGGCCGCTTCGTTTGATCAGTCTCTGCGTTAAGCGTGCGGCCACAAAGATAGCTGCAATCACAACCGCGAGCACTGATGTGAGCCACAAACCCCATCCGCGCTGCACAGGGCCTTCAGTCCCGACGCCAACATTAGGCACCATCTTTTAGGGGATGGATTTCAGCTTCAGAGGTGTAGGGTACCGGGAGTGTGGTAGATGTTCGATCCGAAGGAGGCATGAGAGGGTCCTCTAAGTATCAGGTAGGCATAAGCTCACGCATGAGATGTAGGAATCCTTCACCCTTCTGCGTAGGCGAGGTTTACAGTAGATCGATTATTGGCCGGAGTCGCAGCGGAGCTGCGGAGGCTTGCAATACGGTCTCTCGGACCTGTACAGCTGGGCAGCGAATAAGTAGCGATACCCGAGATGGCTCCTCTTCGTTCCATTGGCTGTTGTTGCTTCCCCGGAACATGGCCGTGGGCGGCAGGCTGGTAATATGCCCCCAAGTGTAGCATGGCGCAAATCGGCAAAATCACCGAATTGAAGTGCTGCATGATATCATTAGATTTGTCGATCAGCATGAGCGTTAATCAGTGCAATTGAGACCTCTGCTCCTTAAATCAGGATCTGGCTTGTTCGCTGGCTGCAGTGCTTCAAGCCGAGTTTGGTTAAAAAAAAAAGCATCTAGCATCGCCTCAAAGTCCTTGACTCGATGATCGGGAACTGGCGCTGTCAGGCAGCTGTTAAGATGGAGAGGGGCGCCGGGCCAGGAAGCGAAAGCTTCCGCGACAGTGGGAGCTAGGAGAAGCCTCCGCGATGCACAGACTCACGCTTACCCAATCAAGGATGACCGACCCGTGTTGACAAGAAATGAACCTTGGAAGTGCGTGTTCACGTCGTCTAAAACACTCCTATTATTTGCTTTCAAGGCGCAAAGTCACTCCCGAGATACTGCCTAGATGTACGGCGTACTACAATGGTAATTCAGTGTCAATCAACTACTTAAACCTAGCGATGTAGCGATGCAAACGCACCCACTCGATAATAAGAACGCCTGGGCTCATGGCTACCAGCATCCGCAACGCAGGTACCGCCAAGTGGTAAGTGGCTTGAATAGGCCGGTCCCACATGTATGCTCTGGAGATGTATTGGTCGACGCCAAGATGGCTCAGGGCCGTCCCTTCAAGAGTGCAGTCTTCCCGCCTCCACGGGTTGGCCGAGCTCAGCACTGCTGTTTCAATTTGACAATGCAGCCTCTTATTTTGACAATCGCTGCTGTCGCTACCTTGCTCAGCTCGGTAGCTGCAGGCCCAGTACAGTCGACTCGGGTGCGAACAAGTACTGGTGGAACTATCGTCGGACACGGAGCATCGAACAAGACGAGCGTTACCGAGTTCTTAGGCATCAGATACGCTGAAGCACCAATCGGCGAGCTGAGGTTCGCAGCTCCGAAGAAATACGTGGCGCCTCGAGATTCCGTCTTCCAGGCTTCTGAGTGGGTATGATCATTACTTCTCAACATAGCAGCATCTTCATTGTGCTAACAAGAGTAGTCAGCGTATGTACAATGAGGAGACCCTCTTGACTAGTTTTGATCTGAAAATAGCGACTGCCCTTCGAACAAACCACCGGTGAGCGCATTTCCCAACTTCACACAACCCTCTGGACTGCGCGTATGGAAGAATTTCGCCGCTCAGAACAGCAACCCCACGTCTGAAGATTGCTTGAAGCTCAACATTTGGACGAAAAATCCCGGCAAGCCCCAGGCGAAAAAGCCAGTGTTGGTATTTCTTCACGGTGGACGTAAGTCTTCTATGCTAATGCAACAAATATATTGCTCACCACTTGTGTAGGATTTCAGATACCTGGTCCTCACAGCCCGCTGTATAACGGCCAGTATCTAGCTGATAGCCAGGACGTAGTCGTAGTCACCCCCAAGTCAGTTTCTTGAAAGCCTCATCGTAAATATGTATTGACAAGAACAGCTATCGTCTCGGTGTCTTTGGCTTCTCAGGCGCTCCTGGTGTCGAGCCGAATGCCGCGCTCAAGGATCACCGTGCTGCGGTCGAATGGATACGTGACAACATCTCTGCATTTGGTGGCGACCCATCTCGCATTGTCATCTTTGGTCAGAGTGCTGGAGGAGCAAGTGTTGATTACTGGTCATTTGCTTGGAAGCGAGACCCTATCGTTGCTGGGCTCATTCCGATGTCGGGAACATCACTGAGCTTTTTGCCAAACACACCGGACTATGCTCAGACTCTGTGGTATAACGTCTCGCAGACAGTCGGCTGTGGTGGGCCCAGTGATGATGCCGCCACAGTACTCTCCTGCGTACGATCCAAGGAGTCCTCCGCCCTTCTTGCTGCTGCTGCTAGGGTACCTGCGCTCCCTACACAGGCACTTGGGCAAGCAACTTTTCATCCTACCGTGGACAACGTTACAGTCTTTGCTGACTACCAGCAATTGGCCGCTTCTGGAGACTTTGCCAAGCTCCCACTGATGGCCGGTAATACTGACCAAGAAGATGGATGGTATCGAATTTCGGGTTGGGCAGCGAAGCTCAATTTCACCAACGCTCAATGGGATCTCTTTACGGAACGCGGATTTACTTGTCCGGTAGCTCTCTCGACAAAGTACAGGGTTCAATACGGCGTTCCCACCTGGCGCTACCGTTACTTTGGCGATTTCGATAATCTTCGCCTATACAACTCGAGTGCAGGTCTGAGCCCGAGGGGCAGTGCTGCCTATCACGGAGTAGACCTGAGTGTTGTTTTCGGAACCGCTGCTGATAACTCGGGTCTTGCCAACTCTGCTGCAGAGGATGCTACAATCAAATATGTTCAGGGCGCGTTTGCCGCATTCGCCCGCGATTCGAAGAAGGGGTTGGCGCAATACGGGTGGCCCGCTTACAAGGAGACCGGTTAGTATGGTGTGCAGGTTCCAATGATTGATACTAATGATGAGCAGGCAAAACTCTTGTTGGTCTTGCATACAAGAACAATCCACGACCGACATTTTTCGAGGCAACCACGTACGACAAGGCCTGCCCTGCAAAGAATGATCCGTTGCCTGCACGTGGAGCGTTTTAGGGCAAGATGGACGCGATACTTAATGTTTATAGTTATAGTACCTAATGGAAAGCCCTTATGCGCATACCAATCATGTTGCAATGTCTCGTGCCTAAGCGGCCTCATACTTGTGTATCTTATAACTTACATGGGTTGAGTGCGCGCCACTCTGTTCGCACTAATGAACTGTAGGCTTCGATATGAGCTCAACTGAACTTACACTGATTTGCGGACTTGTTCGTGTGCGAGCGTTTCATTGGCCAGCAATGCATAGAGCATTGGTTATTACCGAGGAGTCAGACCTTAATATGGATAGCCACATATTTGCTAACTACTTGTAGCAGCCATGGATCACAATCCTTGGTAAGTGCTATTGGAGCATGTGCAATAGGGGCTGAGGCAAAACCCCGCCTTCGTCTTGCATGCCAAGTCAATCTTTTCTATAACTCACGAGCGGTCTGTTATTGTAAACACACAGATACCGCCCAACAAGAGCTGGAACTCGGACACGTCCACAGAAAGCGAGCTTCACTTGAGCTTCAGTTATGAATGCATCAATTGGCGCATGGACTTTTAGTCCACTGCTCACCGAATTTCCGGCCACTGTGTTGCCAAACATTGGTTTCTGGAGTGTCAGCAATGGAACTTGGGAGTATCAGATCCAGCTCGCATGGCCCCTGAACTGGACCACTACACTGGAGAGTGCTACTGTTGAGACGATGTAAGAAAACGCACTGTTCCTCGATCTGTTATGCAAAGCCAATACGAATTGATCTACCAAGGTACGTTCTCGATGGTAACGCTCAAGGCCTCTCGGCAACCGAAGCCATCCGGCGTAGACGTCCCGTCGAATTCAACCAACCCGACACGATCGTTGTATCCATTGGCTACCCAGAGAGCATCGAGGACTCGCCTTACAGCACATCACGCTACAGCGACATGCAGCCACCTGTCTGCGCCACCTGTCCACGCCCAACACAACCTGGCGTACCTTCCAACGCCGATGGACTCATCACTTTCATCGAAACCGCTCTGCGCCCGTGGGTGCAGAAAACAGTGTTCAAAGAAGCGAATTTCAACCGGGATGCGCTCTACGGTCATTCCTTTGCTGGCTTATTCGTACTATACGCTCTCACAGTCCGCCCTGATCTTTTCGACACATATCTCTCTGCCTCGCCTGCTCTATATTGGAACGATGACTATGTCTTCAACCAAACAGAATTTCTCGCGCCTCTCCTCACTAATGTCACTTCTGCAAGCAATAACACTAAGCCAGCATTCCAAATCAGTTATGGCGGACTTGAACAATTTCCCAAGCAGAGGAAGAGGGAATCCGATGAGGAGTTTGAGTTCAGGAAGAGCATACTCGTGCCAATGAGGATGACCGATTTGTCCGAAAGGTTGTATGCAGACCTGGCGAATAGTTTGGTGCTGAGGAATGTTGACCTGAATGTGTTCCCAAATAGTTATCATGCAACAGTTGGGACTGCAGCGTTTAGTGACGGGATTGATTACTTTCTTGATTGGTAGGTGGTATCGACTTTGGAGATGATGGAACAAGAGCGAAAATTCCATCCATGGCGAAGAAATCAAATGTCCAATGCTTCAACTAGCGTCTCATCTCAGAGATCCAAACGCTCTAGTGAATACCAGTACCCTTCACCGTGCTAAATAGGTCGTCCTACCGAACCAGCACACTGCAATTGAGGTCCTTTCTATCCACACTAGGAATTCCGGACAGATGTAGTGTCAATTTCAGGTCACCCACCAAGCTCTTCAAAACGTGCGCCACACCTTGCTCACCACCTAATGCAAGACCATACACATGCGGTCTCCCTATCAACACACAGTCCGCACCCAAAGCTATTGCCTTTACAATATCCGCGCCATTACCGACTCCGCTGCCAAAGAAGATGAGGAGCTTGTCGCCCACAGCGTCTCTAATGTATGGCAGCATTCCGACACTGCTATTCCCACCATCCTGTCGCCTCCCGCTATGATTGCTGACAATAATCCCCTGCACGCCCACTGCTATAACATTCTTTGCATCGTCCACCATTTTAATGCCCTTGAATGTGATGGGACCATCCCAATGCTCTTGCAGGAACTTGATGTCTTCTCATCCCTTGCTCATATCGGGGGAAATTGTACATATCCACTCCGGTGTTGCGGTTCTCAGCTTTTCCTCAACCCCAACGCCATGACGTTCCTTAAATTGCTTGTGAAATGTAAAATCTGTAAGTCCGCGCTCGACACCAATGCGATCAGAGCGCAAAAATGGGTTATACCCATTGTCCATATCTGACGGCCGCCAGCCAAGAATATACGTGTCCAGTGTTATAGATACCTCACGTACCCTTGGGCTTCTGAAGAAAGACGTGCACATGCCAGCTCTTCCCACTTGTCGGCCTGAAACGTCAGTACCGGCCGCTCGAAGTCAAGACCCGGATTGTAGATCTCCAACTCGTACTGGTACCCATCTTGCTTAGGATGGTGATCGGCGAATCTTGTATGAAAGGGGTTTCAGGCATGTTAACAGCAGCTAGAGATGGCCGATTAGGCACAAGTGGAAGATTATGAGTATTTTGAGGGGAATGGAAGCTGTCTTGCGGTCTACATGTAACGAACAAAGTGCACCGTGACTGAGTTCGAAATTCACGACAGCATCATGGAGCTCTTCCCTTGCAAAGGCTTGGCAGCAGAAGCTGCAGCGGCTGAATGACTTCCTGAGGCTTAGCAGCTGATCAGTAGGTAGCCTTTGCTGTTCTTGGGAGCTGCTTCTCATGGTGGTGGGGTAGCGGGGCGATGACATCACTTGTTCAGTATCTTATCGAGCAGGCTTTGCGGCACCATTAGGGGCGGGCAGGCAGGCGGTTTTGAGAAGAGTGATTGTTGTACGACACCGCCCGGGCGTCGATTGATTGGGTACTCGCCAAGCACATATCATGTCTATCGTCTAAATCTATGGTTCATAGCAATCTGCAGTGTTGCCAGATGCGAAACCTATGCAATGCATGCCCCAGAACTCCATCAATGCGTGATAGAAAACAATTCTCGCCATCCCACTACCTCTTAGTAGCTCACACACCCACCGTCAATCTTCAAGCTTCCTCCTGTCATAAACCTCGAGTCATCGCTAGCCAAGAAAGCAACTACGCTGGCGACGTCGTCGGGCTGACCCAGACGCGGTAGATTGGTATCTTCCCTGATTTCTGCCAGGTGTTCTGGAGTCCAACCTTCCTTATAACCGGGAGTTGCGATGATGCTGGTGTGGATGGTGTTGACACGGATGTTGAACTGGCCCAACTCCTCGGCAGCCGAAAGTGCAAGACCACGGACAGCAAAGCGTGATGTTGAGTACACGGCCTGATCAGGGAACCCACGGAGACCAGCAATGGAGGATCTGAAGATGATAGAACCACCATTTCCAAGCACACGCATGGCTGCTGCAACATGCTTGACACAGAAGAATGCTGTAATTTATATTAGCATAGTGGCCGAATCGAAGTTCAGCATGAATTGCTTACCTGACTTGACATTGACATTCATAACGTGATCGTAGTCCTCCTCAGTCTGGTCGAACATGCTCTTTGCCTCGTCTCGTACACCGGCGTTCAGTAGGGCAATATCCAAGCGGTCGAATCTCTGTAGCGTCTTCTTGACGCAAGCCTCGACATCCTCTTCTATTGTCGCATCTGCAGCAATAGTAAGGAGTCGTGACTCAATGGGCACTCCGGTCGGCAGAGCTGCTCTCAGTACTGGGATGGCTCCCTCGAGCGCTGGCTGATCAATGTCCACGATGGCAACAGTCGCACCCTCAACAAGCAAACGCCCTGCAGTTTCAATGCCAATCTTTCCACCTCCGCCAAAGATGATAGCGACCTGGCCATCAAGTCGTAGTCGAGAGAGTGGCTTATTCAGCGCCATGCTGGTGGGTGCGCGCTCCATTCCAGGTCGAATAGTCTTGTTCATGTTCGGTACAATGATACCTGAGCTGGACCTCGAGAGTGACGAGTTCACTGAGTTCTGGCGACTGGGGATCATGATTGTGGTGATTTTGTGAAAGCCTTGGGCAGTTTTGTTGTATGAAGATATTCCGTGGCGTGAGCGTCGAGCCGTTGGTTGAAGGAGCTTCTTTCCTTCCAATACTGTGATCGCACGCGGATACCTTCCACGCCATCCTTATCAACAATCAACCCATATAAAGGCATGACGTATCGGAGACCCTAGGCAGAAGATTTTGCACCGGTGTAACGCCCCGTTGCGGCTCTTGCAGCTGGTTGGATCCACTGCCCCAAATTTTCTGGCCAATGTTCGTCATCGCCGGACTTTCGCCGCAACTCACAACACCGCTATGCAAGCAATAGCGGCGGTTGATGCACACACGATGTCCACTGTACCCAGCTTTATTGATGTCCTGCGGGGTGCTCATTTGCCCTGCTGACTCTGTTATGGGGTTATGGCGGGGAAGCAATAAGGGGGAGTCCAGCGTCGTCACTCTTTCGAACCGCGGAGCTTCCGATGAAGCATTGTCCCAGGCTCGGAACGATAGCCGAATACCTTCTGGGATCAGAGCATTTGGGGCGGTGTGAGATTCGTTGCTGGAAGTGGTGAGTTGGCCAGGCATCATGATGAGTTTGGGTTAGTCGGTCAATGTGTTGGGCGCAAGCTTTTGAGTCTGACAAACAAGGAAGGTTTATGGTAAGAGGGCATACATGGTTCACCCAATCATGAACATTGCTACGCTTTGCTTTGTTACTCGTAGTCCTATAGACACGACAACGAGCGTTGCTCTGATAGTACCTTGACCACCCTATCAAATCACTTGTCTCTCAAATTTCGGAAAAAACGGAGCATGAGACCCCCAAGCTGACCAACTTTACAGGGTACATAACTTGTAGCTATTGTGATACCAAAAGCTAGAATGTGAATAAGAATTGCCTACATTGTAGGGAACAAAGCATTCTATAGAGTTCTTGGTATTTTTCCTACTTTGCTGTCATGTGGTGCACTTGGCTCACATCCTCAGTCCGCCGTTTATTCTGCAACGTGAGAGCTCGTAGGAGCAACACCAGTTCGCGAGTCAAAAACGGACGACGCTCCATTCCGAAAGTGAAGAGTTCACAGACAGTATACTCCTTATTCCACCTTGCCTGGCCTGCCGTCCCCTCATTCTTAATGGAATGACTCTGACTTCGTGCTCGATTGTCACAACCACAACCGGACTGTAAAGTCTTCAACTGCTTGAGCAATCAAACTCTGAATAACGGTTGGATCCTGAGCCCTATGCTAGCAATCCGGTCTGTCGAATACCTGGTTGATCAGGAGCAGGATGCATACGTCTAGAACGGTGACAACATCGCGGCTTTGGTGCACGACTGGTAAGCTTACATGCGCATGTGATGCAGTATCTTCGCCCCTAGTATCATATGAAGATCTTGTGATAGGATGTTGGCAATAATAGTGGGCTGTATTGCAATCTACGCATGTTGCCCAAGATCCTTTGATCATTCGTGAATTCGGCTAAGATGCCATGGCGGCGATGTAGTTTGAATGAGCTTACGGCAGCTTTCATGTGCCTAAGCTTCCGCATGTGCTTGGCGAAACTTGCGAGCATTAGTGAGCTGTTGGAAACATCGTAATCAGATGACAAGGACCTGCACGGAATAAGCGGCGACGGTGCGGCGCGCACGGGCCTTATGCGCTAACCCAATTTGTGGCACTCAACGCGTCGCGCTTTCCTCGCGTTTCGCGTTCGCGCCGTAGCTCCTTCCTCATCATTCAGTCGCCGGTGCACCTTCCCACACCAACCATTGCACCTTCTGCGCGTTCAACATGCCTTCCACAGTTCTCGGGAAAAGGACACGCAGTTCTGCTCGCACTGCAACTCCAGGTAAGCGCTATCAGTACCCCTGTCGACTTTTCCCTGTCAACGCAAAGCTCACACGTTCTGCAGATGTAAATCCCGGCACGCCGACACGCGCGACACGCCGTACAGCGTTCGTGATTCTCGATGAAGCAGAGCAGGAGAATCCGTTTACTACACCAAAGAAGCAGGGCGCGCAAATCAAAGATGGGGTCGATGTGGAGATGGGGGAGGATGTTGAGGAGGAGCCGTGCTCCAAACGCGGAAGGAAAGCTCGCGCAACGCCGGCTAAGACCATCGCATCGCGGCTGCCATTAGAGGCAGCAAAGGAGAACTCACCGGCCAAAATTCCTGCTCGTATCGCAGAAAGGGCTGTCTGCACGCCCTCAACACCGCGACACCGTGACGCGCTCTCCAACAAAGTCGCAGTCACACCAACACGACGACTCATCATCGCTGGCAGACCATTGACACCCCCGCACCCCGCGCACATCCGGTACACCTCGAAGCACGGCGCCAACAATCTACAATGAAGCACGTCAGGTCTTTGCCCGGGGGTCAGCTCCCACAGTACTGTTCGGACGCGACGCGGAACGCAACGAGCTACGATCCTTCATCTCTCAACGAAGCAAGTCGAAGAAGTCTGGCTGCATTTATGTTTCTGGCCCACCGGGTACAGGAAAGAGCGCTTTCGTCAGCGATGTATGCCGAACAGTCGCAGCGGACGGATCTGTCAAGACTGGGTACATCAACTGTATGAGTATCAAGAACGCGGTGGACATGTACAGAACATTACTCGAGGAGTTCGTGGATATCACAGAGATCGCCGAAGGCGATGAAATGGAGGAACTGAGAAAGCTATTCATGCAGCGCAAGACTTCATACGTGGTCACACTCGATGAAGTCGACCACCTTCTGGAGCTGGACATCGACTTGTTGTACAGCATCTTTGAGTGGTCTTTGCAAAAGAACTCGGGCCTAGTTCTGGTCGGAATTGCAAATGCACTCGACTTTACGGACCGCTTCCTTCCCAGGCTCAAAGCCCGAGGTCTGAAGCCTCATCTTCTGCCATTCCTTCCATATACAGCGCAGCAGGTTTCTTCGGTTATCACATCGAAGTTAAAGACGCTGCAACCGGCTGGGTCCGAACACCTGCCCTTTATCCATCCGACTGCTATCATGTTCCTCTCGAAGAAGGTTGCTGCACAGTCTGGGGATTTACGCAAGGCTCTGGATATCTGTCGAAGAGCGATTGACTTGATCGAGGCTGATACCCGCAGCAAACACGCAATCCAGACTGCAGAAATTACACCATCGCCTACACCCTCCCCTTCCAAGACGCCGCTAATCGAGAACATCAATCTTTCGCCGGCTGCTTCTAGGTCACCCTCGAAGTCAAAACCACAGGATGCTCTTGCGACGTCTTTGGGTCAACTTACTACCGAAACAGCCCCTAGAGCTACTATTGCTCACATGGCCAAAATCACCGCAGCAGTCTTCAGTAATGGCACAACGCAACGCCTCCAGAATCTCAACCTCCAGCAGAAGGCAGTCCTTTGCTCTCTCTCTGCTATGGAGAGAAAAAAGCGCGCTTCAGCGGGCGAAAGCGTCCTTAACACGCCTTCAAGGTCGCACAACACTGCTCCAACCATTAAAGAGCTATTTGAAGCCTACACCGGCCTTTGCAAGCGTGAGAACGTACTTCATCCACTCACTAGCACCGAATTCCGCGATATTGTCGGCAGTCTGGAGACATTGTCAGTCATCTCGGCTGTTGAGGGCAAGGCAGGGTCTCTAGTGGCGGACGCTGGTACACCGAGCAGGAGAGGCAGAAAGACCAGCGGTTTCCCAGGTGTCGTCGTTGAGGATCGGAGAGTCGCGAGTGCGGTGGGCACTGCTGAATTGGAAAACGCCCTTACTGGGGCGGGCAGCGGCATCTTGAAGGGGATATTGTACGACGACTAAGGCCCGGAGAGACACTGCATTTTTGATATTGGCTTGTTGATTCTCAAGCGTTCAACTTCCGTTGTTCATTTTTGCATAGCCCAGGCTGAATTTGCCTACCTCTAGACTTGCATAGGCACCGTAGAGGAGTATAGCATAGCGTAGCGAAGCGATGTCTAGATCATTGTGGTCATTGAAGTATTCTTTTCTCGCAATCCTATTCCTTGCCTTGTGGTCGCCTTCGCGTAAGAACGTGCGACACTGCATGCCGTGAAGCCAATTTTTTCAAACCTGTACGACCCTGTCATTTCGGAGCATGTCACAACGCTATTACTCCACATTCAAGCTACGATGATCTGGGATTATGGCGCGAGCGTCGCTTGGCTTAGCCTTTGCACCCATTGGTTTACGGGCTGTTCGAGAGAGTCATGGCCGAGCTTGACCGGTGCTATCCTTTCACATGTTCACGGCAATGGTGCAGCTACTGAGAGTCCACACGCATCTGGCGCAAGTTTCAGGTGGTAAAAGAACTGGTGGAGATTATACTGATGACACGTTCGTTGGTGCATTTGGTCAAGCATGTGCCATGTGGTCAGTCTTGGCTGCTGCTGAATACAAGGTTCGTTAGAATTACCGATTCCAACTACATGTCCGTTCTTACATACATCTCACCCCTGCTTCCATGCATAATTCTAGTACCTGCGCGTGTCCGCATGTCAATATAATATAGAGGCAGACGAGCAAATCAGGACGATTGAGGGTAGACCGAAAACGTACTAGCCCTCCGGTTTCTCCGCACTCCACAGCCTTCCCTTCCCGCACCTCATCACCCACACCCCGTGAAGATCCTTACAAGAGCATTTTCCTGCACACCATGGTCCGCTATCATGGACCCATCAACTCAAAAAAGAGTTTCCAAAGCATGCGATGCATGCAAGCGCCGTAAGGTGAAGTGCAACGGTCAGGAGCGATGTCAACAGTGCAGTCATCTCGGTCTGAGATGTGTGTACTCCGCTTCCGGCAAGCTCAGAAGCCAGGGCAAGAGAGGTCATATTATCTCCGAGTTTAGAAACCATATGAACCACCCTCACACGACATCACCGCCTGTTATACTTCCGGCAAATGGACAGCACATTCAACCGTATAACGGTTTCACATACTCCTTCGAGCGCAATGATTTCAGTTCAGGTACGTCTTCGCTCACGATACAATCAACACTGGCTCCAGTAGGTCAAAACTGACCTATGTCAGCATCCCCTGAATCACCCGTTGGCCCTCACTACAACAAGGCCTTTTTTCTGGACCTTATATCAGATTACATGGAGGGCGTTTATCCTGTGCAACCAGTCATTGCTGAGCACGAGGTACGACATTATATCAACTCAATGGACCATGATCCAGAAATGCGATCCTTCGTATATTCTTTTGGTGGCTGCACTCTCAACCTGACCCGTTATGGGGACAGGCGAACAGAAGAAGTTGTGCGGACCATCGAAAACCTGATGGACTTGTCCGTCGATACAATGAAACCACCACATAAGAGCCATCACTCGTCGGTTATGCGAGCCATGCAGTCAATCTTCATTCATAACTGTCTCATGAGTTTGCAGGGTAGCGATGCAGCTTTCCACTGGATGCGGGATGCCATCAGCGCAATACAACTGTTACGCATCGACAATCCAGAGCACGTCGCAAGCCTGTCGGGACCGGAAAGATCAAGACGCCAGCGCTTGTATTGGCAAGCTTACATTCACGAGCGCTTCCTCGCCATTCTGGATTACCGGCAAGCCATCATGTTCCCACTTTACACATTACCTGAAGACGACCCCACCATCCCTATACAAGTACACGAGGGGTTCAATCAAATCATCAAGCTTTTCCGACTTCTAGACACAGAGTTCCTCAGCAGCTGGCTCGGCGCGGCCGGACAAACCGGCCCCGTCACCAGTACGTGGGTCGAGGCCAAGTCGCGTGAGCTCGAGGGGGATCCGGAAGCTGACGCGTTGGAGCTAGCAAATCTTTCCATGATGCAGCGCGCCGACCTGACCATCACACGCGAATGGCTCCGCACGCTAGTCTGGCGGCTGGCCATGGGCCAGACACTGCTTTCCTCGCGTTCGTCAAAGGAATGCCTGTCGCTGCTCTTCCCTGTCCGATTATCGCAGTCATTACGGCATCAGCTGTCAAGCATGTCACGCGAGGACATCGAGGTGCACGGCAGCTCGATCACGCAGAAACTGTTCGAAATCACTGACACAATTGCTGACGTCCTAATCCATATCCCTGCAGCTACGCTGGAAGAGACGGCCCTACGCATCGACGATTTCCTCTTCATCCTGGACTTTGTCCTCCTTTTGCCCCAATTGGACGCGACCCGGCGAGGAATCCTGCTTGAAAAGCTTGAGCGCCTGCAGACCATGTTTCCCGAGGCGGTCAGCAACGCCAGTTCGCCCAATTTGCCGCTAGATCTGCAGAGTCCCTGCGCGAATGATCCCTGGTACCAGGTGGCGCAGTCCAAAACGGCGGCGGGCCTTGAGGAAATGGCTGATGAACAGGCCCTGGAGCAATTGCAGGCACAGCGGACTGAGGGTGTGGGGATTCCGAGAGAGGTCAGGGTCGGTCAACTGGCTACATGGAATCACATATCGAAGCGGCTGACCATGGCACATTTTACCACTTAGTCAATATTAATGACGAAGCTATCAGGATCTTGTTCATTTCCTTTGAGACATCTGCAATAACCCGTAAGAAAGCTGCCTAGCTTTCGAGTTTCCGAAAACACGTCGGATAAGCGACTTTGAGCTACCCAACTTCAACAGAATTTGTAGCTATCACAATACCTAAAGCTAAGATATACATGGCCATTATCCTGCAACGTAGGAGCCTAGTTCGCCAGCAAATAAATTCTGCCCTCCCAAGCAGACAGCTCTTCCTCCACCGGCTCATTCACGCTGCTGATGAGCAACTCCCTCTTGACACTTCCAACCTGGTTAGGAACAAATAGCTTCTGCACCTTGTCTGTAAAGTTGCAAATAACAAACGCCTTCTTGCCGTTCCATGTCTTGGTGAAAGCATAGAAATCGCGATTCTCCACATCCAAATCATCGTACTGGCCGTGCACGAGCAGGTCCGCGTATTGCTTGCGCACAGCCAGCATGCGCTTCCAGTACGACAGCACCGAATCCTTGTCGGTCTGCTGCTGCTTCGCGTTGCACACGTCTGCGTCTTCGAGCGGGCGCATCCACGGCTCCGCCGTCGCATCGGGCGGCGAGAAGCCATTGGTAGGACCGGTGGACCAGCTGATGGGCACGCGCGAGTGATCGCGAGCCAGGTGCTGAAGGGAGGTGTGTGCGGCTTCCAGGGCAATTGGGTCATTGTTTGTGCGGCGTGCAACCATCTTGTAGTAGTTGCTGGAATCAACGTCCTTGAACTCGTCCATGGTCCAACTCTTAGGGAAGTTCGTCATGCCGAGCTCCTGGCCCTGGTAGATGAAGAGCGTGCCGGAGAGCGCGCACATCATCAGACTAAGCATCTTGCCGCCAGCGACGCGGTGCTCGGGGGCGTCGGAAGTAAAACGCGTGATGGAGCGAGATTGATCGTGGTTCTCAAGGAAAACAGTCGTCCAACCGTCGCTGCCGCGGATGAGGTCTTGTGTGCGTGCAATAGCCTTCTTAAAGTCGGGCAAGATCCAGTTACGTGGTGTGGTCTGGAACTTGTATGGGCCCTGACCAACGTCCACAACGTCGAACTGGAAGACCATGTTCAGCTGCTTTTCCTTTGCGGAGACGTATTCGAGAACACGTGACATTTCTCTGGTGTTAGGGCATTCACCGACAGTCATAGCGTCATACCTGCTAAGGACCTCGTTCATTTCACCAAGGAATTCTTTCATCCTGGGGCCGTTGCAGTACTGGTAGCCTGCAGGTTGCCACTCGGAACCAGGGTCTGTGACAGGAGCATCGAGCATCTCTCCCTTACTGTACATGTTGACAGTGTCAACGCGGAAACCATCAACACCGCGGTCGAGCCAAAATTCCATTGCAGACTTGTAGATAGCCTTACGGGTCTCTTCGTTCTCCCAGTTTAGGTCAGGCTGTTCTGGGCAGAACAAATGGAGATAGTACTCCTGCGTGTGCTCGTCCCACTCCCAGACGCTTCCTAAGAAGTTGGAAACCCAGTTGTTTGGAGTCTTGCGTTCACCATTCACATAGCGAGCAGGACGCCAAATGTACCAGTCACGCTTGGGGTTGTCTTTCGATGAGCGAGACTCAAGAAACCATTTGTGCTGATGTCTGTCAACACGACCGATTGTTACGCAGTACAAGTGCACTTACCTGGTCTGAAGTGTGGTTGACGACAAGGTCAAGGATGATACGCATTCCACGAGCGTGTGTCTCATCGATCAACCTCTGCATATCGTCAAGCGTGCCGTATGGAGCATAGACGTCTTCATAGTTACGGATGTCGTATCCCATGTCAACTTGAGGACTGTCGTACATAGGGCAGATCCAGATAGTGTCGACACCGATAGAGCGAATGTAATCTAGCTCAGAAATGATACCCTGGAAATCGCCAACTCCATCTCCATTGGAGTCCTTGAAGGAGGCGGGGTAGATCTGGTAGACGACACCATCCTTCCACCAGGGTCTCTGTGTGACAGTCATGTCAGGTGTGTGATGAAAAGACGGAAGCAAGAAGTATAGAAGTAGGCTTAATGAACTTGAACGTAGACGGACAAAGTCACACGATCAGAGGCTTTTCTTTCGATAGTCGAGTGGCTTGCGAGACCGGCTCTTATAGCATCAAATCGTTGCAAGCGTGGGATGTTTAATGGAGCAGAAGGCGAACTTTAGAGTAATACTCACCTGTAGTTGAGTATCCATCTGATATTGAGGCTCTCCACGGGATGAGCGGGATGATTTTCGGAAAGATTGCAATTGGCTGAAGCCCGGGCCGATGATCTCGGCAGTGGGTTGGGGAGGGTGGATGCCGTTGGGTTCCGATTCACGAGTCACTAAGCTTTCCCATGGGGTGGCAAGGTGGTGTGCACGTCGTGTCTCTCCGCACCCCTCGAAAACTAAACGAGGCAAGGGTGCGTTAGAGGCTTGGAAGCTGAATGTGGGGAAGCACAACGAGTGGCACGAACACCTCGAGATCGGCGCGCCGACAACGTGCGAATCAAATCCCTTGCTTCACCCGTTCACAGTGCATCTCTAGCTCGGAGGCGAGATCTTTGGACTCGCCTAACGGCTAGGCTCAGCACACGTGATGTGCGGTGCTCATCTAAATGCTGAGATTGGGTAAGTCGGACCGACATAGTGCAAATCGAAATTCAACCTCCTGACGACTCTAAACTGCTGGCTAGACCGTCGGCGCCGCTTCCCCAGACTAGAAGCAGGCTATCCCCAGATGGAGATCTCAAGTGCAGAATTACGACGGGCGTGGCTTCGACGCCCCTGTGTTCGCCTGTCTCCCCGCGTCATTCTCCAGACCACACCACTGGTATTCCCTCACTTGGCAGTGCATGGTCACGGCATGATACTCGCATGCTGAAGCTCGAGCAATTTGTATAAGACAACCTCAAGGCCACCCAAAAGAGAAGATCATCAGCAAGCTCAGATCCAACTCCACAGTTCCAGATCAAACAAGAGGTCGTTGTTGGCTTCACGGCTATTCTCCTTCAAACCGAGTTCGACAACCCTTCGCCACCATGTCTCGTCGCAACAGCAGCGTCGTCGCGGTCGATATTGACCAGCAGCGCAAGCTCTCAATCGCCATGCCTGACCACAGGCAGGTCGCCCACGCTGCCAGCAAGGCCACCGAAATGGAGCAGAAGATGTCTCTGCGCGAAGGCATCAGGCTCTACCCCAAGGCCGTAGCATGGTCCGTCTTGCTCTCCACGGCTATCATCATGGAGGGTTTCGACAAAGTTCTCATCGGTTCTCTCTTCGCTGCCCCGGCCTTCAAGCAGCGTTACGGCTCCCAGCTGCCCGATGGGTCATGGGAGATCACCGCAGCATGGCAGTCCGGCCTCACCAACGGTGCCTTTGTAGGCGAATTCTTCGGGCTTCTTCTTAACGGGTACATAGCGGACCGCTTTGGATACAAAAAGACAATGATGGGGGCGCTCTTCGCTGTCAACCTTTTCATCTTCATCGTCTTCTTCGCCCAGAACATCCAGATGTTATTGTCTGGTTTGATACTGTGTGGAATTCCATGGGGTGTGTTCCAAGTGAGTATTCCATCTCCTTTTGTTGTTTTGGTGTTGTTGTGTTGGTTTTGGTGGGTTGGTGTTGGTTGGTTGGTTGGTGTTGGTGTTGGTGAAGGTGAATTGGTGCTGACAATTTCGCGCTAGACCCTGACATGCACATATGCCGCCGAGGTTACTCCCGTGCCCCTTCGTCCTATTCTCACCACCTACGTTAATCTCTGCTGGGTCATTGGCCAATTCCTTGCCTCCGGTGTGCTGAAGGGCGTCGCGCTCAGGCCTGACGAGTGGGCTTACCGCATCCCCTACGCTCTGCAGTGGCTCTGGCCCACCCCCATTCTCATCGGGATCTACTTCGCACCCGAATCTCCCTGGTGGCTCGTCCGCAAGGGCCGCGATGAAGCCGCCAAGCTCATGCTGCAGCGCCTCACCTCCGCCGAAAAGCACCCTGACTTCAACGCCGATGAGACTATTGCCATGATGCGCCACACCAACGAGCTCGAGAAGGCTGTTTCCGAGGGCACTTCGTACATCGATTGCTTCCGCGGCACTGATCTCCGCCGCACTGAGATCGCCTGCATGACCTGGTTCACCCAAGCCTTCTGCGGTGCCGCCCTGATTGGAAACTCCACCTATTTCTTCATACAGGCCGGTCTCGACGAGTCCAGCTCTTTCTCCATGTCACTCGGCCAATACGCTATCGGCGCAGTCGGTGTCTTCATCGCGTGGGCGCTCATCCCCCGCGTCGGCCGACGCACACTGTACGTCTGCGGTGACCTCGCCATGGTCACGATCCTCGTTGTCATCGGCGCGTGCGGCACAATCGATAGGGGCAATACAGGCGCCCAGTGGGCCATTGGCGCGCTTCTGCTCACCTTTGCCTGTGTCTACAACATTACCGTCGGCCCCGTGTGCTACGCCATCGTCGCTGAGATCCCATCCACGCGACTCCGCCAGAAGACTGTCGTACTGGCCCGCAACTTCTACAACGTCGCTTCCTGCGTCGGTAATGTGCTCACACCTCGCATGCTGAACCCTGGTGCATGGGTAAGTCCTTCTCTTTACCCCCAACATGAAGCCAAATACTAACAATCCGCAGAACTGGGGCGCAAAAACTGGATTCTTCTACGCTGGTACCTGCTTCGTGTGCTTCGTGTGGGCTTTCTTCCGCCTCCCCGAGCCCAAGGGCCGCACCTACGCCGAGATGGATATTCTGTTCGAGAAGAGGGTGTCGGCGCGTCACTTCAGCAGCACAGTGGTGGACAGCTTCCACGCAGACGGCGACTCTGGCTCGGACTACGGAAACGAGAAGGCGGGTACGCGCACACACCTCGAGGCCGTCAACTCCAAGGACATGGCCTGAGCCGGTGCCTAAAATGGATCGTAGTTGGGTCGAAATTGGCTTGATTCGATATGCGGATGACTTGAAATGTTTACGCACTGTTATATATTTTTAGCGGCTGTATAGATCTCTAGCGAATGCTATTTCTCGCTTCTTCACGCCCGATGTCCCAGCAGAGTTATCAGATCATGCACGCTTATGCAGGCCTAGGTGACAGCCTCCGCAGACACGAGTCCCGCACCCCTGCCACGCAACGAACCAGGCGGCAGGCTCCAGCCCAGCCCCCCCCCCCCCCCCCCCCCCCAGCATGCTACTCTAAGCCCCGCTAGCCTGTAGTGAATTGCCAAGTACGTCCGTTATCCCAGCCTGTGCAGCTACAGCCTTGCCGTTCCCCCAACACTAGCCACACACTCAATCTCGACATCCGTACCCAGCGGTAGTGCCTTGACGAACACGCACGTGCGCGCCTTTCAAGTTAGTACAGCACTCTACCCCCTGTCTTGCGACTAGACTTACCGGCTTGGTCCCTGGGAAGAACGTCTCGTACACCTCGTTCATGGCCGCAAAATCAGCGGGCTCGACAAGGAAGATGTTAATCTTGTTGACGAGGGCAAGGCTGGAGTTGCCGCTTTCGAGGACCGCGGCGAGGTTGCGGAGAACTTGCCTCTATTGTGGGTCAGTGTGAGGTGTGGTGCAGGTATGTGATTAGCGTACGGTACGGTCCTGGACTGTGCCGGGGACGAGCGCATTTGTGGCCGGGTCGACGGCAACTTGGCCAGAGCAGAACAGCAGGTTACCGTCGCGGATGGCTTGTGAGAGAAAGGGGGGAGGTGGGGGGGCATTGGGAGAGGTGACGGCTTCTCTTTGGGCGGCCATGGTGGTGGTATGTTCAGAGTTGGAAGTACGGGCACTTCGTACGCTGGCACAAACAGCGGTTTTGATACAAGGTGGTTTGTAATCGTGATCACGAGGCTAGACGGTTGTAGCTAATCGCACGCCCTGCGTTGTACATGGCTGATGTTCATGGTGCCAAGGTGGGTCGTTCCGAGCTCGGCAGATACATCACAACGTGGTTCGTGGAGGCGTGAGATAAGATGGGTTGTGGGCTCCGATAAGGCGATTCGCGAGTGCCGATTGCGGAGACGAAACAGGGATCAAGTTGCTATACATTCGAGAAGGCAGGCATTCTCTCTACGTTGAGGCCATCATGGCTACCATTTCGAGACGACTGTGCACGTGACGTAGCATTGCACGTGACGGGACAACTGCCTTGCACGTAACGCCATCTTCATGCACCCGACGTCATGGATCGCGGTCTCTCTGCACGGCTCACAGTGCAGGAGGCTGCATCAGATTCAGGTCATGTGGACTGACATGTTCAAGGGAGGACAGCTGTAGCGCGTTTTGTTCAAGAGGGGAATTTTGCGGTGGGTTCGCTGCGGATGTCCTGTGTCGAAGATGGAAAGCTAGCGTGGTAATTAGACGCGCGAGGGCCAATCACGGTGCAGAAAGCGGGAGATGACGAGACGAGACGAGCGGGAGCTAGAGGTGGAGCAACGCGACGCGTCGACGGAGCACGATGGATGAGAATTGTGGTGTTGGGTTTCGCGGCAGGCCGGCGGAGGCAGATGGTAGGCTGCGAGAGGGAGGGTGTTGGTCGGCAGGTGTTTTGCGTGTCGGTGCTGTGTTTTGCGTGTCGGTGCTGTGTTTTGCGTGTCGGTGCTGTGTTTTGCGTGTCGGTGCTGTGTTTTGCGTTGTGGTCGTACGGAGGATGGTAACACGGTCGAGATGGCATAAACAGAGGGTTGAAGGCTGCACGCAGTTCTTCGTAGACTACAGTGCAGTGCAGTACTATGTACTGCGTAGACGCTCAAGTGCCACACTTCCAATCCATCGTGCGCAGACGGCGACGTGTGCACATTGTCCCCAGTCCCCAGTCCCAAGTAAGCCGATCGACGACCGACGCCGCTGCCCCTCGCCGGCTGGTTGCCCGCGCGATCGATCGAAGCGTGTTTATCAAACACGGCGACGCGCCCACCGCGACCGCGGACTACACAGCCGACGCCAGGGCTGGGGCGCGACCTTGGAACCGCGCGACCTTGATTGCGCGTTGCACTTTTTTTGTCGCAGGCACCGCGGCTGCCTCCGTCCCTCCTTAGCTGCCGCCCACGCCTCTGCCTACGTCCACTCTGCCGCCGTCCCTTCTCTGCTGCCGCCCGCGCACTCGCAGCGTCTCGCTCTGCGCGCTCCCTTGACGTCTGCCCCCTCTGTCCGGCCCCTGCCGCGCCGCCGCTCGTTGCCTGCGCCGCCCGTTGCTGCACCGCCCATTGCCGCTCTGCCCGTCACCGCCCGTCGCCGCCCGTCGCCGCCCGTCGCCGCGCCGCCCACGCACCTCTCGTACCGCCGCACGCATTGGCGCACCCCCGGCTCGCCACCACCGAGCTGGCCGACAGCATGGCGGCCGAGATGGAGTCGTCGGTCGACCCCACCACGCTCTACACCAAGCAGGAGTGCATCGGCGGCGGCAGCTTCGGCAAGGTCTACAAGGGCCTGTGCCGCCGCACCGGCCGCACCGTTGCCATCAAGGTCATCGACGTCGAGAACGCCGAGGATGAGGTCGAGGACATTATGGGCGAGATCATGATTCTGTCCAACATGCACTCGCCCTATGTCACCAAGTACTACGGCTCATATCTGCACGGCTCCGACCTGTGGATCGTCATGGAGTACTGCGGTGGTGGCAGTTGTGCCGATCTCATGAAGCCGGGGCCGCTGTCCGAGGTCGAGATCGCCATCATGCTGCGCGAGCTGCTGCTGGGCCTGACGTATCTGCACGAGGACCACAAGCTGCACCGCGACATCAAGGCTGCCAACATCCTCGTCACCACCAACGGTCAGGTCAAGCTGGCCGACTTTGGCGTTTCGGGCCAGCTCTCCGCCACCATGACCAAGAAGAACACCTTCGTCGGCACCCCGTTCTGGATGGCCCCCGAGGTCATCAAGCAGTCAGGCTACGACGGCAAGGCTGACATTTGGTCGCTTGGCATCACCGCCCTCGAGCTGGCCAACGGCGAGCCTCCTTACGCCGACATCCACCCCATGAAGGTCCTCTTCCTGATCCCCAAGAATCCGCCGCCCGTGTTGGAGGGCAACTTCTCCGCGTCGTTCAAAGAGTTCGTCCAGCTCTGCCTGCGCAAGGACCCTAAGGAGCGTCCAACAGCGAAAGAGCTCCTGAACGCCTCCTTCATCAAGAAGGCCGGCCGGCCGGCTCGCCTCCAAGAACTCATCACACGGTACCAGGACTGGCGAATCAGACATCCAAAGGAGGCTGCCGAAGACGAGGAAGAGGATTTGCCTGTGATGAGGAGAGAGCCGGTCAACGAAGACTTGTGGGATTTCGGCACCATCCGCCCCGTGGTGGGTGCCCGGGGTCCAGCACTTGCGCCGCTGAACAACGCTGGTGCGAACGCGCGTAACGTATCCCCGCAGAGAAAACCAGTAGCCCAGCGTACTGGGCACGACGAGAACGATGACACCATCCGAGCGAGTCCGCCGTCGTCGCCCACCAAACGCCTGGCGCCCCTCAAGACTGGCGCGTCGCCCTCGACGTCACTGAACACAGCGTCACGCGTGCCTCTACCACCTTCGCCCGACAAGAAGGCCGTCTTCTTTCCGCCGCTCAAGCAGGAGCCGCTCCGAACATCGCCTGTGCCCAACGTCTTTTCACCCCCTCTCAATCGTGGCATAAGCCCGACAACGCCATCGCCTCCGAAACCGCACGGTCCGCGCCGGCAGACCCCTCTTGCACACGCCTACGAAGAGTACATGCAGCGGTCGATTGCGGATGACATAGCAGGCATGGAAATCACACCACAGCAGCGCAACCCTACCCCGAGAGGTGTCATTCCCATGTCGCTGCCAGAGATACCCCCATTTCGAGCCTCCGGCTCACGTGGCAGCACACCAACATCGGTGCATTCGAAGCCACTCCCTAGCCCGGCCTCACAAACTAGCCATCAGCTGCCCTCGCTGTCGGCCCAAAAGCCGTTGCCGCCCCTCATGGGACAGCAGCGACTGCCGTCACTGTCAGGCCAGAAACCCCTGCCATCACCACACTCACCATTTGCACCCGTTAGTCCCGCGAAACAATCACGCCCAGATTCGGGTTCTTCAAACGAGCTCTTTGGCGGGCCGTTGCCTGGGAACAAACACCAAGCGCCGCTGCCGCCACCGCACCAGAACGGCAGTCAGAATTCATTGAACGGCAGCCTGTTGCCGCCCGCGAAAGCCTTGCAAGCCCGCAACTCCTTCGGTCGGATAAAGCCGCAGCCGACCGACCTCGCCTTCCTCAACCCACCCACCTCCAGCCAAAACGAAATCACAGCCCTGACCGGCGTCGTCGTGCCCGCCCTCGAGGCGGCCCTCTCGCGGCGCACTTACCACCTCAACCTCATGAACAAGCAGGACGCGGCCTCGGCGCAGGCTATGCGCGATCCCGAGTCGTATCGGCGCCGCAAGAAGGAGCGGCAGGAGTGCCACGACAACGTACGGCACCTCGTCTCCCGCATCACCGAGCAGTTCCAGGAGCTGGACCAGTGGGACGAGAACGGCGAGGTGGGCATGGGCGGCGAGGTCGCGGGCTTCCTCGAGGGGTTTCTCGAGGAGGTGCTTGTGCGGGTGGAGCCAGCAGATGATTAGGGCCCACCTTGGTGTTGGCCATGTCTTGAGTGCGATGGGGAGGGTATGATACACGATGATACACGATACGATACACGAGTCGAGGGGGGTATTTGCTTGGGTTTGCTGCGTTGCTGGCGTTGTTGGCGCGATTCGAGCGGCATTTGCCCGGCGTTACGCGCATTGCGATGGAGCTTGCGGGGTTGTTTGTTTTGCTGTATACCTCAATGCTATTACAACGTATTCCATGTCGTCGTCTACTTGTTGCTGTTGTGTGGATGGAGGTGAGTAGGCGGTGGGTGATGTTTGAGGCGTGCAAGTGTTGATGATATCGGATGGAGAAGTGTGCGGTGTCCATGTCGAGGATGTCTGATGCGGATACGCAGAAGGCGGCTAGGACGGGAGAGGAGGGCGGTCTGGGAAAGGGGAGGATGAATATGTGGGATGCGATGAGATGGATGGGATAGGATGGATGCAGCAGTACAGTACAGTCGCGGGCACAATTTCATTCATGGGGTATCCATATCCGCATCCACATCCACATCCACATCCACCACAACAGCAACAACCACAACCACACATTTCCATCTGATCAGTCTTCGAATCCGCAATCATGACGCACCGCTCCGTTATCCCCCTCCCGCAACGCACGCAAGAACCCGCTGTAGCGCGAAGAAGAGGAGTCAAGGCAGGCAAATGGGTAAAAGGGAGAGGGCAGAGGGGAGAGGGGAAAGGGGAAAAGACTCGAGAAAAGAAAAAGCTCAATCCATGCGCCGCTAATGCTGTCTGTCTGTTGCTTCCCGGATCCCGCGGGCGGGCATGCCGCACCGTGTCGCGCTCATTCCGCCACGCATTCCACCACTGCTTCAAGACTCCCTCTGCAGATATTCGTCCACCTGGTGCTGTGGAAACGTCCGCCTGATACCTCTGCAACCGCCGACCGTCCCCAAACATCAACTTAATACCTCCCCAATTCCCCGACATGACTTAATACCTCCGCCTCACGCGGTCCGCCAGCGTGCTCTCGCCCTCACTCTCCTCCTCGACCGGCGCCGGCGTCCTGCGCTCCCTCTCGCGCTTCGCCTTGCGCCTGCGGTTATAACTAACATTACTCGCGCTATCGTCGGGCCCGATCTCGCTGCGCTCGTCGACGCCGTCATCCGCGTCGAAGCCTGCGGGCGTGCCCATGCGGACGCCGATATCGTCCTCGCCGGCGGCGGGCCCGCGGCGCTGCAGCGCTACGATGGAGAGCGCGGCGGCGCGCTCGCGCAGTCGGCGCCGCACTTGCTCGGCCTGGTTGTGCAGGTGCTCGAAGGCGTCTTCCATGGCCTCCATGCCGAGGTAGATTTCGCGCTCGATTTCGGCGAGCACGGCGACTTCGGTTTCCTCGTCGATTTGGACGGGGGCTGGGCCGGCTTGGGGCCGCGTGGAGCCTGGGCGGACGGAGCCGGGGCGTGTGGAGCCGGGGCGGACGGAGGGCGGGCGCGACTGCGGGTTTGGGAAGGGCTGGAAGGGGGTTGCGGGGCTGGGGGAGGCGAAGCGCTGGGGCCCATCGGTAGGGGGGATTTGGCCCGGCGCGAGGTCCTCGGCGCCCGACCACAGGAAGCCGTCGAAGCGGCCGGAGACGAGGATCTCCCACTCGTGCTTGGTGACGGCGGCGAGGGTGGCGAGGATGTTGTGCATGTCCGGGTTGCGGATCAGGTACATGACGGTGAGCTGGTCGCGGGGCTCTTTGCCGAGGCGGTACAGGCGCTGCAGGGCCAGCCCGGCTTTGTCCAGGTATGGCGGTGAGCCGGCGTCGGGCTTCTGTGTGCGGGGGTTGGGGAGCTTGTCCAGGCCCCAGAGGAGGGCGTAATAGAGCGGGCGCTGTGGCTGGCTCAGACGTGTGAGCATGATGAACGACAGCGTCTCGTCGTCGGCCTCCTCGGGCGAGTTGTCCTGCTGGTCTGTGAGCCACGACTGGACGGAAGACTTTGTCTTCTTCGCCTGCTTCTCGTAGTGGGCTCGGTACTGGTCGGGCACGTCAATGTCGATCTGCTGGCACGGCTCACCCAGCTCAGAGATGCCCAGGCCAGGCGCGACCGGGTCGTTGTACGGCGGCCACGTCGGCAGCTCGCAGCGGCCAGAGACGAGCTCCAGGATCTCGCCCCAGTTCACACCAGAGCTGTCTTCGGGGATGGGCTGGTCGAAGCACATCATGCACTGGCAGTGCTCTGAGGAGATGTTGCGCGCAAAGACGTTCTCGAGGCGGTCCAGCAGCCGACGGGCTATGGAGCGGTAGCCGGTGGCCACGGCGAGCGAGCCGTTGGTGTCGATGACGGTGTTGTACTGGTTCAGCACGTTCTGTAGCGGGCGGAACAGCGTGCGCACGTCGTGGCCCTGGGCGCCGCTCGTGGCGGGCGACATGTAGGACGAGTAGGCGGGCACCGAGGCGCCCTCGATGGCGCCCAGCAGGCTGCGCGGAATGGGGCGCGGCAGGCCGCCGTGCTGGAGGAGGTAGTCAACGCGCGGCGGGTCGCCTGTCATTGCGGGCGGCGGCGGCGGCGGCGGCGGCGGCGGCGGCGGTGGTGGTGGCATGGGCGAGCCATAGGCGGGGTTGACGGACGACTCGCGCGAGACGGGGTCGAGGATCTCAACGGTGGCCGGGCGGTCTTTGTCGTAGAAGACGGTGGCCGGCAGGGTGGCGTGCTGGGTGGGGGTGCGCGGCGACGAGTCGACGACGGAGGCGGGCGAGGCGTCGGAGTAGGCGGGCGAGCGGGTGCGGCGGGCGTGGTAGAGCGGCACGGCGGGCTCGTCGTCGAGGGTCAGCTCGGACGAGCCGCGGGGCCGCGTCTTGGCCTTGTACGTCTTGGAGCCGGGGGTCTTCGCGGTGCGGGCGCTGGCGGGGCTGGCCGTCTTGGTGCGGGTGGGCACGGCGTGGGGCGAGCGGGCGCGCGGCGACTTTGCGCGGATGGTGCTGGGCTGCGAGCCGGTGGTCGAGGTCAGGTCGGTCATCGAGTCCTGCTCGCGCACGCTGCTGCGCGAGGCCGTGTGGCGCTGGCCGGCGGGCGTCGACACGCGGGTCGAGTTGTCGACGCTGCGGCGGCCATCCATGTCGCGGGCCGTGTCGACGCTGCGGCGGCCGGCCTCCATCTCGCGGTGCAGGGCCTCGGAGGTGCGGCGCGAGCTGTTGGTGCTGGCCGTCTTGCGCAGGTCGGCAGGCGGGCTGGGCGGGGCGCGCGGCGGCGGCGGGGGCGCGCGTGTGGGCGGCGGCATCGAGTCGCGGTGGTCGGGGTCGTCGCCGTCGGTCAGGTCGGGGGTCATGGCGGCCTTGCGGCTGTCGTCGCGGGCGTAGATGCTCTCCTTGCTGTACGTCTTGTCGACGGCGGGGTAGGGCAGGCTCACGCGCGAGCCGTTGCCGCTGTCGATGCTGCTGCGGCGCATCAGCTCGGGGATGCCGGCCATCTTGGGGGCGTGCGAGCCCGAGGGGGTGCGGGTGGGCGCCGGGTGCGAGGTCGACGGCGTGCGGGTGGGCGCTGGGTGTGAGGTCGACGGCGTGCGGCTGAGGCGCTCCTTGGACGGGAGCGACGTCGACGGGGTGCGGGCGATGCGCTCCTTGGACGGGCGCTCGCGCAGGCTGTCGTCGTCGTCCTTGTCGCCGGACGAGCGCGTCTTGCGGGCGCGGGTGCTCTTGCGGCGCTCGCGGTCCTTGTCCTTGTCCTTGTCTCTGTCCTTGTCTCGGTCTCTGTCCTTATCCTTCTCTCTATCTCTGTCCTTTTCTCTCTCTCTGTCTCGGTCGCGGTCCTTGCTGTCCCGGTCGGTGCGCGTGCCGTCCCGCTCCTTGCGCTCGCGGTCCTCCTTCTTGCGGCGGCGGTGCGAGTCGGACGAGCTCAGCATCTTCGTGCGCTCGGATGCGGCGTCGCGCGGGCTGCTCGGCCGTCGTCACCGTAGTGCTCAACCCGCTGCGCGCCTACGCTGCCGGCTGATTGGGTGTGGCCGGCCTGCGAGCGCTGTGCGCCTATCACGCGCGGAGCGACCCATCCATTTGGGCCGCGAAGCGTTGGTCTGGGAAGCGGGTGCCGTGTTTGGTGCTGCCGTGAGCCAGCTGCAAACAAGGTGGGGTCGGAGGCGCTGGCGCTGGCCGTGGGCTCGTCGACCTGGCTGGCTGCCCGTCGTCTGCCCGCCCGTGACGTGGTGGTGCTAGTGCGCGCGGTGCAGCCCGCCCTGCAGCCCGCATCGCCTGCCGCTGGCCTCGCCCCGCGCCTGATCGTCGCCAGTGCCATCGCCCACCGTCCCCCGCCGTCCACCGCAGCCCTGCTGGCCGCCCGCCCAGTGCCTGTACTATCTGCACACCATCCTGCTGTACACCAAGCATGCCCCATCGCCCCCGTGTCCCCCGTGTCCCCCATTCCCCCCGACTCGCGAGCTCCTCCAGCTCCTGAACGCTGCACCTCTGACCCCTGCTCGCGTGCACATACCTGCTCCACCGGCCATGTGTCACTACCTCACCGAAACTTGACCGCCACGCATTCCACGCCGTCTAGCCACCTCACTCCACTCCCAGCACCCCTAGCACAGCACGCCTAGCACCAGGTACCACCATTACCACCGCAGCACGCCCAGCACTACGTACTGTGTATCACCACCACCACCACCACCACAGCACAGCCACTACCATTCCAAACTTCATACGAGAAAAGTGGGTGATTGGGTATCTAAGCATCTGCTCACGCACACCATATCCTGCTGCTCCACTCTACCCTGTAGAGCGGCCATGTGAGAACCCCAACTGCCATGCGGCCTGCCAATTTCCCTCGTCGCCACCACTAGAACCACCCAACGAAAGAGATAATGTACACCTGTTGCCCGCCGCCCCTGCCCATATTCAGAAAACTTGCTTAACTTGCTCCCCTCCAAATCCTCAGGCTTGATCCTGCCCGCACTCCAGACTCCTTGGTCGTAATGTCTTCGCCCGTGGGCCGAGAGACGCGTTTCCTAGTCCGTGAAGACAGGCTATCATATGTACTGTTGAACCATAATCCTCGAACCTCCCCCCTCCATTACCCATCCTGCATCACAACCCTGTGCCGTGCACCGTCTTCAGTGGCCCTGCTGCGGCTGCATCTTGTTGACGTGCTGCTGCGCAAGCTGCGCCCGCAGCGTCGTAATCTCCGTCTGCAGAGTCGCAATCTTCTCATTGTGCTCCTTCTCCATCCTCGCCATGCGCGCTTCAATCTCGCGCACGTACTGCCACACGTCCATGTTGTTACCCATGACCTCGCGCATGCTGCTGCCGCTGCCACCGTGACTCGACATGCTGCCAGGCTGCGACATGTTCCCCGGTCCGGCTATCTGCTGGTGCTGCAGCATGCTCGGGCCCTTGCTGCTCTGTGAGCCGGGCTTAGCCATGCCAGTCAGCCCCGCCAGCGACGGGAGATGAGGTCCATTGCTGATGTTTGGGGGCAGCAGAGTTGGGGGCGTGCCTCGAGCCGCACCAGCACCCCGAGCGTAGTTCTGCAGGTGCATCTGCTGCGACATGTTCGGCGACCGTGGGTGGCTGCCTTCATGCGCTCCCAGACGGTAGTGGTCTTGCTGGCTCGGTGAGATGGGCTTTGGGCTTTCCGTCATGCCTCCTTGAGCAAATGCGCTAGGCTGGTTCGCATTGTGCAGAGACGATATACTCGAAGGCGCTAGTTTTGGCGACATGTTAGTGGGCTGAGATGCTTGCGCCGGGTAGTATGGGCGAAGGTTGTTCTGACTGCTCGTGCCTTGATTGGATGGGTGGATTGGCGGGTACGTGCTGGAGTGGTGACGATACGAACCTTGCGCAGAGTTTCCAGTGTTTTGCCTCTTACGCGAGGGCTCACTGATGCGGCGGCCATCTTCGTCTTCGTCGCCCTCTCCATCAGGCTCGTTAGTATAGACGACGCCATCCATGCCATCATCGCCCTTGCCATCCATATCCTCATCGATGCCGAAGCTGGACCGGCGGCCTGCACAGCCACCCTGGCCCTTGTTGTGTCGCGCGAGTGCATCGCCACGAGCGAACCTGCGGCCACACTTGAAGCAGGTGTGTGGACGCTCACCAGTGTGTAGTTTCGTGTGTCGTTTCAGATCGTGCAGACGCCGAAAGCGTGCTTGGCATGTGGGACACTCATAGGGCTTCTCTTGACTGTGCGTCAACAAGTGACTCTTGAGGTTGTGGTGTCGCGTGAAGTCAGTCGAGCAGTAAGGGCACTTGTGGCGTTTGGTGGATGGCGACTTGGGGTTGTTCTGGCCGTACCCTGGCAGACTCATCTGGCGCGCAGGAGCACGTGGGTCGTCCGGAGGCATCGGCCCTGGGAACGTGAAGGCGCGATTCCCCGGGTTGTCAGGGTTGGGTGCAATTAACTGGTGCTGGTGATGGTGCGGTTGGTGCTGAGGTCGATGGTGCGCACCCTCGTGTGATCCCGCATGTCCCGTAGGTCCTGCGGATGCTTCAACTGCAGACGTGGCCGGCGCAGCGGTTCCTTCCCCGTCGCCGAAGCTGGAGAGACTGACAGGGCTCGTCTGCATGTTGTCGCCCGTGACTCCAGTGAGTTCCGGAATGATAATCGACGGCTTGGCGGCCTTGTCGGCCTGGGGTGGGTGTGCATGCGGCGCATCTGATGCGTGGGATTGGCCGTTGCCCTGCAGGTTCTGAAGAATCGTCACAGCCGGATTCGGGCTTGTCTGGCGCGAGTTGTGCTCTCTGTAGCGACGCTCGTCGGCCATCGCAGCGGCGCCCGTAAGGGGTGCTGGCGACAGCCTGGGGGACAGTCCGCGCGGAGACTTGACAAGGTGTGTTCCAAAGGTAGCGCCACCATTTCCGCGCGAAGCAGAACCTGGGGTGCTGGGCCTGTTGGGCGCGCTGAAGGGGCCGTTCAGCGTTGGCGTGAGCGCTCGGGTCGTCGCAGCCATGGCCTAAGAGGGCGCGACAAGCAACTGCGCAGAAGAAGTCTTGGGTCAGAGTCAGCAATGCAACAAAATTCGAGGGCCGTCTTCAATATTGCGCGTGGTGTGGCTGCATCACAGAGCGGTGGTGAGGTAGTGTGGCGTAACAAACCTTTTGTTTGGCAAGGCGGCGGTTTCCGCGCGCTTCACGAGACGGAGGTTTCGATGCAGTGGTGCACGCTCGCCTACAGAACTGCTGGAGGCCAGTGGACGGGATGGAGCAGCGACTCCAGACACGCGGCTCTGCAATTGGGCTGGTGTGGAGGAGCTGTGGAGCGCGTGCTGGTGCGAATCGCGAACGCGGCTGTGGCAGGGTGATCTGCCTCTAGTGCCCCGTACGAGACACAGCGACGCGCGGAAGCTGAAGGCGAGTTGGCTGCAGCTGGTGGGCGTTCGCAGCTGGTGGGTGGTCCTGGACACGCGCGTTGCGACGGGGGCGTGGTAGCAAGTGGGTCGGCCGAGGTGGTGGAATGCGGCGCCTCAGCGGGCGATGACAGAGCGTTGGTGAGGCTGCAGCTGAGCGGACAACGCGACTCTGGGCGCGGGCGGATGCAGGCTGGCGACGACACTCGCGTGCAATGCAGCAATGCAACAATGCGGGCGCCGATTCAGGAGCGGGAATTCGCGGCGCGAGGCAAACAGCAGACAGCGTCTTGCAAGCCGACAGTGCGCGCAGGGTGCAAGTGTGGTGGTGCTGCTGTGTCGACGGCTCGAGAGTGGGAGTGACGGAGTTGTGGCTGAAGTTAACCTAGGGTAGGTGCGATGCGCTCGCCCCACGAGGAGCGGAAGGTGCGGTAGCTGCTGCAGCTGGCCAGACGGCAAAACTCGCTTCCTCATTCAAGACCGCACGCCCGGGAGATCGCTGTGGGAGCTGAGGGGATGGATCGCCGTCAACTACAGGTGAAGAGCAGAGGAGTTTCCTCGCCGCGGGATTGCGTCGTGCTGGCTGGTGGGAAACCTGCATCTGCCGCGCCTGAGTTGCGAAGGAGGCTGTGCCCGGGTCAGTGGGGCGCCACCCAGCCAATGACGTGCCGTGACCGGCCAATCCCACTCCAAAGCCACGCCACGCCACAACGCCCCAGCTGTGGCCGCCAGCCAAGAGCACGATTGCCATGTATTGCAAGATCTCCTCTGTCCTCGTCTCACAGACGCCACGCAGAAGAATCTGCACCGACGAAAGCGGCCACTCCGCACCATGGTGCCATCTCTGTGTGCAAGAACCATGACAAGGCTATGACCGGGGTTCCTGTGGTGGTGGCGCAGACCATTCCGTCTTGCCGTCTGCCGGTGCCCTCAGCACACCGTGTGCAGCAATATCGCTTGACGAAGCCGAGTCAATGGCTGTCGATCCCAGACGCTCGTTTCCTACTTCCGACAACGCGAACCATAGCCTGCAGAAGGCTGAAGCCTGTGGCGGGAGCCCGACCCAACGTCGTCGAAACCTGGACGTGCGGCACCAGGTGGCTGACTGGTTCCAGCCAGCCTTGCCACTTCTTTGGTCTGCGCAGGAAATCGCCAAATTTTAGCAGCCTGACTGAATCAGCATCAACCTCGGAACCATCCCAGTTTTCCCAACTACAGCGCCACTATTCCGCCTTGGTGCTTTTGTAATCAGGTATAGGGAAGGGATCGGCGGCGTACCCGATTCAAATTGTCTTGGACTATCCCAAGGAGCACAATGTGTGACATGCAGCCACAACCTGGATTCAACCATCGCCATCCAAGATCCAAGCTGCAGTCGCCCGCAAGGTCGCTACATTGCCACATCTTCTTGTCGCCTTGACCTCGCCTGACAACCCCCCAATCCTTCGATTTTGACAGTATGCCACCCAAGTATCAGATCAGCGCTGATCGTCAGGGACGCCGCATCCGGGATCGAGTTCAAGGCAGTGGCGAAGTGTGGCTCCGAACCATGTATGTGTTCCGCAGCGACATCTTGGATCTTGTTTCGAATGTGACTAGCGATACGCGCGACTGTGATTTTCACATCGAGCACCAACGTTGATGCATAACGCCTCCCGCAAGTCAGCTCAGTAGTTTGAAGTCTCATCCAAGACGCTAAGTTCAAGCGGATCGATCAAGCCACAAAGCCATGGCTTCACACATGTGAAAGTGAACCTGTATGCCATTGCTACTTTGTGGCGTAATCATGGCTGGGACAACGTCGGGGATCTCGACACATTCTTCCACATACTTACCCTGCTTGTAGCTCTTGAGAAGCAACGTCAAGAGAATATTGCGATTGAACAGATACGCGAAGTCATCACGTCCGACGTCGGATTGGTTGGCTGGTTAATCTCCTTGAAGTTGGTACAAGCCGGAACCTCGAGCTCTTGAGCCACACGATTCGTTGTTCGTAAGGCTGTCCTGGACTGACGCCATGATTATGGGGAAGAGGTCGCGGGGTCCTGGTGGCGGCTCATTGACGGCTTCTTGCAATCTCATGCCGCCCTCGTGGTCACGTTTCGCGGTCGTGGGTGTGGCCGACGAAGCGGTTTCCTGCCGCGGTTGACGACGGCATCGAGCTCGCATATCTCGGGCGACCAAAGGCTGGTAGAGTGCTGGTGGTAGTGCTGGTGTTGGCGGTACTGGTGTCGAACAGGGTGTCGTCAAGGCTGCCGTGGTCAATTCTCTTCTCCACGCAACAGATCTAATCCTGAGAGATAGCAATAACATCGCTAGCGCTTTGGACAGCTGCATAGGACTTCACAGCCGCGACTACTTGCTCACCTTCGGACCTTAATCACAGTAGCACTGCTCGTATAACATGTGATCACGATCACCATCTTAGATGGCGATGATTCGGTATCGAGGATAGCGACGCGCTCTCAAACGTGTTATCTTGCGCGGCTGCCTCACCTTGTATTTGTCGCGTGCCTCAGGGCGATCTTGTTGGCAACTCTGCTAGGTGTGCAAGGCACCTTCCTCTTCCCGCAGAAGCACGCTGCACCACAAAAATCTAATGTATTGAAGTCTAGATGTAAGAGTGTGCTGTAGGATACCGTTGCTGAAGTCGTAGGGCGATAGCCAGCTCCAGAGCACCGCGCGTGTGGTGTGGACGAGAGAGGCGAGTTCGGTGACAGAGCAAGCTTGCTGGTGAAGCTTACGGCAGGAGCACGGTGGCAGGATGCAGCGGATATCGGTAGCCCCTCGGGCGTCTAGTCGCAAGGCATTGAGTGAATCGAGCCAATCTGTTCAAGTACTGCAGTCCGTGTTGAGTACCTCTGGGGCATGAAGGTTGAGGTACCTTCGTAGCTATTAGAAACAAGAATGTTCCACTCGTCAATGACCCCGCCGAGTTATTTACGCGAGTGTATGTATTTCGTCAGTGGCTTGTGGTAAACGCAGATGTCGCAGGTAATGAGAGAGCCAGTAGTAGTGCAGTACTGGCCGCGGCGTTGTATCTCACCGCACTTGTGCGAGTAATATATCTAGTGTCAAAGTTTAAATGGCACTGCATACTCACAGCAGGATTGTATGCCGGGCTTCAGTGTACGTCGGCGAGTAGTACATCCTGGCAAAGTTTGACCAAGGGTGCATGCTCGCCATGGAACTGAATGTCACCGCACATCTGCGCGTAGCAAATCCCCGTGTCGGTGTTTGGTTGGGAGTGTACATGGCTCGGCAGTGTTGCACTGACCAAGCCTGAGTCGCGTTGTAGATAAAAAGCAAAGCTGTAAGGACACGAAGCTATGATCAGCGCACGACCACACGCGCTAGTGCAGATAAGGTGAATGAGGATAAGGCATCAGCCACGTCTCTTCGCGGTGCAGGAGGGATGTCATAGAGGTAAACATAAGCAGTCTCATACTCTGCAAGGCTAATAGTGGAGGATCTAGGTGACTAGGAGCCATTTTCCTGGTCGAGAATGGACTACGCCTAATCAAGTGGTCCATGCAGCTAAGTGCACAGCTACATAACTCTTCCAATACCTTCGAAAGCAGTGTAATCAGCGTCTTGAAGTTCAATCAAGTGAATGTCTGAGAACGATGAGGAGATTGTAATGTGCACAATACGTTTGAACGAAACACAGCTATGTCACACTGGCAAACTTGCAGGAGCTACCAGCTTCACTAATGGTGTACGAGAGTTTAAAAGTGAGGTCACTCGAGGACTTGCAATGCAAAAGATCTGACTTACTTGATACTAGACAATGGATTCTTTAAAAGACTTGAAGTGGAATATCTCAACCATGAAAACGCTTCAATAAGAGACTTCGTAGCTTATGAAGCAATTGCAGGTGGTACAATTTCAATGAAAACAGAATCACCGTGATAAAGTTTTAATCATCACTTTGTGTCAACAGCCCTCTAATATGCCACCCTCATATTCTAGGTGCACTACTCAAATCATTATGAGACCTTCCGGGCAGCCAAGTTTATGCATGGAGTGAGGCTGCAAGGAAAAGAGTTTCCACTCTTGTCGTTGGCCAAAAGTTAGTTTTGACTTCTTGGCCTCTTATAGCTACTGGTATAAGCTGACAAACTCTTTTGGACGAGTCTCATATTGACGATCATGCTTGTTTGTTGACAAGTTTGCTCGTGACGCTGTATGTCTGCTTACAGTTGAGTTTCTATACATAATCACGGCTGATTAGGCACAACTCATGCTGATTAGCTTTGACCTTTTTCTGTATCGCCGTCGACCTCTGCGTTGACCTCCTTTGCTGTTGAGGTGTACACTACTGTACCCAACATATATGTAGAGGGCACTCCTATAGGTATGCAGGCCTGTTGCACATTTCTAAGTATATGGCACTTTACCTGTCGACCTGCCTGCTTGCTTACACTGACATAGTGTTGATGTTGAAGTTTCCTCACGAGGAAAGACACAGGTCTGCTCCTGCCTCTACCCTTGACAGGCTTAAGCTCTCAGTCAGTTAGGAGCTGAGACATTGTTGCAGCGTTTTTTGAAGCCAATACGTCAGACTTAGATATCTTCCTGACAATCTTGTCGCACACGTATCGAGTACCCTGGATTGCGTGGTACGCTCTCGCTCTAGCCATGGCGTGAGGCTCAACAGAGCTTTCAGCGAACCTTACCTCTACGATATACTTCTGTGCCTCGTCTTCAAAGACTCTCTCCACAAGAATCAGGGCCAAGGGATTCCTTAGTTCGAGTTGATTACGGCATGGTTGATGGGTCGCTTCTCGATTTGAGGATGTAACATGTAGGCTACCTAGGTCTCCTTCCGCAATGCGCTTTAGGTCGCTGGAAGTAAGTGCGCTCAAGGCAACACTGTGCAGATTAGGCAGAAAAGTTGAGATCTGGGATTGGACGGCGTTTTTGGTAGCTGCGCTTTGCGTGTGGCGAGTTAAGTCGGGGGTACAAGCGACGTCAGGTGATTTCGTTGTATACATGCACCTCAAGTAATATTTGAAATCTCATCACCGTGATATTTGACAGCGTTTCCTCAACCGGGAGGGTTAATTGAAGAACGAAGGTATCGCGAACGTTGCTGACAAAAGCTGAAGTTGAGTACACGCAACCATATCCTCCCCAGAGTGGCCTAGTGCTGCCTGTACCTAGTGTCAGTCGGTTCTGTCATCCAAGGGTCCACGGCTGAGTGACTACCAAGATAGGTACACGTACACGAGCTCCATTTTTGTGTCTCACAATCTTCTGGATTTTCGTACACTGGGTCCATTTGCCTACGCACATCGGCGGCACCCGAAGCATTGCGCTAACGACGGAAAAGTGGACCGAAAAAGACTTCTTGCACCGACAACACATAAAGAGCTCAACTTGCGCATTCGCTCCAAAAGCTAATCGGCAAATCCCCACAGGAAGGCTACTATCAACATGTGTCAAGCACCTCTTCATGATTTTCTGGCTGAGCTGCCAAAATGCGAGCATCATCTTCATCTGGAGGGCTGCCTTTCGCCGTCTCTGACCTTCAAGCTCGCAGCAAAGAACAACGTTAAGCTGCCAAGCAAGGAAGAGAAGCCTGAATACGAATCTGTCGAGACACTGGAGAAACGTTACGAGCACTTCGATAATCTGCAGGACTTCCTTGATTGCTACTACTTTGCCCTCAGTGCAGTCATTACCAAAGATGACTTCGAGATGCTTGGTTGGGAGTACTTCACAACAGCTCACGCTGACGGCGTCAAGCACGCTGAACTCTTCTTCGACCCCCAAAGCCACACGGATCGTGGAATCGCCTTCGAGACTGTGGTGGATGGCTTCAACGCAGCATGTGAGCGCGCAGATAGAGAGCTTGGGATCACGAGCCAGTTGATTATGTGCTTCTTGCGCCACTTGCCCGCAAGTAGCGCTGCGGAGACGATGCAGAGCGCTATTGATGGCGGGTACTTCAAGGAGCGACAGGGCAAGGATCGCGTTATCGCCGGCTTGGGTCTCGACTCCAGCGAAGTCGGATTCCGACCAGAGCTGTTCAAGGAGCAGTACGCGCAGGGTAAAGAGTTGGGTCTGCACAGGACTGCGCACGGAGGAGAGGAGGGGGACCCTACCTACATCAGCGGTGCACTGGACTCTCTGCACAGCGAGCGTATCGACCATGGCATCAAGCTCGTTCAGGATCCCGAGCTGCTGGCACGCATCGTGAAGGAGGAGATTCTGTTGACGGTCTGTCCGCTGAGTAACGTCTGCCTACAGGCCGTCAAGGAGGTTGGCGAGGTGCCCATCAGGAAGTTCCTTGCCGAGGGCGTCAAGTTCAGCATCAACAGTGACGACCCGGCATACTTCGGTGGCTACATTCTCAAGAACTACTGCGCCGTACAGAAGGCCTTCGACCTGACCAAGGATGAGTGGAAGGTTATTGTGCAGAACTCAATCCACGGCAGCTGGATAGGACAGCAGCGGAAGGATGAGCTGCTTGCCATGCTCGAGGAGTGCTTGAAGAAGCATGCTTAGTTTAGAAGATGACGGAAAGGACGTTAGAAGATACCCATACCAGCATGACATCTAATCGAGATCTATTTTCACTCTGAGTCAATATGAGTACAACGGTATCTTAGTGCACGTGTTGTATTGATGGAGAATCCAGTCGAGGGTACCCGACGTGATGATACTACTGACAGACCCTGATGATAGCGTGGAATTACTTGTCTACGCTTTCCTTCTACCGGAATTAACGTTAGTTTGCGATTTATAGTCATCTCCGCTGATAACTAGAACTGTACCAAGTGCAGGAAGCCTACAGCGCTGACATTCCGTGAGATGTCCGCACAGCCCAAGCCAACAGTGTCGGGGGATCGGGCGCCGATCCAGCTGATGATTGATCATCAATAACTTCATCCGGCCGGACGGACGAAACATCGCAGCCGTCTGTCTTTGGGTTTGGGTACAATAACAACACAAAAACTCATTCTAATTCGAACTTTTACACTACGATATAGGATTGTATCTTCCGCTCAAAACAGTAAGTGCGATCTGTGAGACATTGCGAAATGGTGCAGCAACCAACGAATCATATCAGGGTATTTGGCATCACGCAATCCGCCCACACGATGACCTCGACGACGCACACTCCACATGCGTCGCAAGCCGGCGAATCGACCTTGATTGAGCCAAAAAAGTCGACCGGTAGCTGCCGTAAATCCATCAGCCCATTGAGCTTGTTGCGACGACGCGACCGCCGCCCGAAGCGTGTCTTCGAGCCGATCCCGCCGACGTCCCAGGACCGCCTCGATGCGTCACTGAACGAGGCGCCGCTCGACGCGACTACCATATCCTCATCAGACATCTCAGCAGCAAAAGAGAAGGGCAAGACAGTGCTGTACCTTGCATACGGCTCCAACCTCTGCAATGAGACGTTCAGGGGCGTACGAGGCATCAAGCCTCTCTCGCAGGTTAATGTCCTAGTCCCTTCCCTACGTCTGACCTTCGACCTCGCTGGTATGCCCTATGCAGAGCCCTGCTTTGCCAACAGCGCTCGCCGGGATCCCGACGCTCCAGCCCCGAACCCTGACGAACCGCGCTATCACAAGGACCGCTGGCAGAAAGGCCTCGTGGGGGTTGTCTACGAGGTCACACTCTCCGACTACGCGCACATCATCGCCACCGAGGGCGGTGGTGCATCATACCACGACATTCTCATCGATTGTCATGTGCTTCCGTTCGCGGATACAGTACCTTCGCACCCTACCACCGCCGCATTCAAGGCGCATACACTCTTCGCACCCACCGTCCGCGCAGACGAAGCGAGCGCCGTAGACCGCATAGCTAGGCCCGATCCTAGCTACGCACAGCCCTCTGCGCGATACCTGAAGCTCATCACCGACGGCGCGGCCGAGTGCGAGTTGCCCATCGAGTACCAGGACTATCTTCACAACATTCGTCCCTACACAATCACAACGAGGAGGCAGGCGGCAGGCAAGGCGCTTTTCGTCGTGATATGGCTGCCGTTCATTTTGATGATCCTCGCCATGAGCAAGAGAGTGCAGGATGACAAGGGGAGGGCGCCGAAGTGGTTTCAACGGCTGTCTGCGATGATCTTCGCAGGGGTGTGGATGAGCTATGATGGCGTATTTCAAAAGGTATTCGGCGATGGTGAGAGGACTATTGGAGATGGGATGGATAATGTGAGGGTGGAGAGGCCGTACACAGATGAGGAACCTGTGACAGAGAAGGATGCTGAGGAGGTAAGCTTGCTGAGAGACGCGGTTGGGGTGCTCGATGATCTGGCTGGGCAAGAAGTGGAGTCGAAGAGAAGACAGAGCCTGGTATGAGACGTGGAGTACTAAGATATGTGATGTACTCGTTGATGGGTCAATAAACAAGTAAAGGGATACCTGGACAGCCGTCATGGAAATGCAGCCCATTCGTGTCACATCCTCAGAAGACTTGCAACGCAGTACGACTTTCTCACTGGGTCGTGTGCCAAGTTCTCCGATTCGGCAGACTTGGCTGGTTGCCTTGCTTACACGCTCAGAGTTCCGATGCAATCAGATGAAGTGTTCGCGGCACTGCCTCTTACTGAGAATGCTTTGTTCGAATCGGAGTTTGCAAGCCGAGCCCTGGCACCGCGGCGGTGTTGAAGGGGGCTTCTCCATGCGTGCAGCACGCCAGTCACTGCCACGAATCACGTTCGCCACAGACGATGCTCGGGCTCAATAAGTATAAGGATGTTGTTCGTTGAAGCAGAAGACTCAAGCTGCAACTACGACCTCAACTGATTAGTCGACCACTACATTAAGACTTATCTACAAATCCGCGAAAAGCAGCAAACATGATCCCCAACATCAAGACAAGATTGATGCAGGAAGTGAGTAAGGAGCGAGATAAATATGTAACCAAGAATGAACCAGAGACTAAGAAAGGCGACGAACTCGTCCAGGCAACGGCAGCTACAGTCGGCTTTGTATCAGAGATTATTTATCATCGAAAAGAGAAGGCCTCAAGAGAAACAAGACACACACAGGTTGCACCACCTGATGACTCTATTGCAGCATCAAAATCACCGCGGGTGTCCGAAACTGCTGTTCCTGAGCCGGTAATTACTATTAAGGACCTCGCCGCTGCCTTCCTCGGTCGCCACCCAATTCCCAACACAACACCGTCACAAGTGTCGATCAAATTGGCAACACCGATTCTCATCCCACAACGTCGCCCTAATACTCGAGCTCGAGGATTCACACCGGCCTTTGCACCGATCTTGTCTTCGTACGATATCTCGCAAACCACGTTCCTTGATTTTATCATTACGCTTAACACGTCCCTTGAACCGAATCCGTATCTCAATGCAATCAACCTAGCTGGCTTTGCGGGCGAAGCATCGCCCGAGCCGATCATCTCATTAATGGTTGGTATCGGAGTTGAAGTGGTCACGGATGCGATCATGGAGGCGCAGAGCCGCGCCAAATCGAATGGGTTTCTGGACAAAGTGAACGAAGGGTTCTTTGCACCGAGAGGTTTGTTTGCTTTTGTGGGAACTTGGCGTCCGAACGACGATGAGAACGAACATGTCGTTGATGTCAATACCCATGATGGCACTTCCGCGTCACGGTCTGAACTTGGCAGCAACGAGAAGGTCAACAACATTGCAACAGGCAATGTGGAGGCTAAAATCGCATGGGGGAATTTGAAAGAGCAAATGCAGCGAGCGATGGTGTCTGCTGGTGGTGAGGTCGCAACGGTCTCTACAGCGTCACTGGTGTGGGCTTCAGCCGATGACATTGCTGCTGCCACGCCGTCGGGCATGTCGAAAAAGAAGGACCGTTTCGATCGTGCTGGAGTGTGGCTCGATAATCATGTTGATAAGCACACACAAGTAAAGTGGACGCAGGAATACCCGGATCATCCATTAGCCAGAAGTTTGCCCAAGCCCGAGTTTCGATCACGCTATGCAGATCCAACCCATGCTGCTAGTAGCGGAGATGTTGTCGCATTGTTGACGGGCGGACAGTGGCACATCAAGGAAGATGAAAAGAAAAGGGAGAAGAAGTTACGGGAGAAAGAAGAGAGAGCAAGGAAAAAAGAGAACAAGCTCGAAGAGAAGGAGAAGAAGCTTGAGGAGAAGGAGAGAAAGCTTGCAGAAAAGCAGAAGAAGAAGCTCGACGCAAAGGAGAATAAGCAAAAATTTAAACAGATCAAGCCTGAAGCGGATATTCTGTGCTCTAAGAAAGATGTTTCGCAGTCTAGCAACAGAGCGGAAAACAGTGGTACAAAGAAGAATACCAACGAGGCAGGCGAAGGGAAACCCGCTGAGAAAATCGTGTGTAAGCCGAGCAAGCATGACAGCGACAAACTAGCACAGAGTTCCAGCGAACGACCTGAACAGGACACAAGATCAAGCAACGGGGTTAGCAGTCTCTTAAAAAACGTAAGTTGTAGGCCTAAATCCACCTAGTAATTTTGCTCACTTCAGCACAGGACCTTTTGTATCTGGTCATCGTACAGCATCCCTCCTTATCTGCTAGTACCTGAACATGACGATCATTTAGCCTCTCTTGGACCAATTGATGCAGCTTCCATTCTATTCGAATCGGCATGCTGCGCACGTGCATGCTTTTCACCTTCACCCAACTTTCTGCCTTCACACTTGTTTCCATTGGCTTAGCCCCGGCTTCTGGATCACTGCAAGCAATTTACCTCTCCATCTCCGACACTTTAGCCACCACAGCTAGACTCCTTGTTCAACCATGCAGTTCTTCTGGATATTCTTCCTCACCGCGCTCGGCATGGTCGCACCTCTTGTCAATGACTATGACCCTTTGCTTGGATGGAAGGTACTTGCGCCGATACCTGATACAGGCACAGGCGATGAGTATGGTAGCTCCGAATTCCCAGTCACTCTCCCTGACGACGAGACATGGTACAATCTCTGGTGCAAGGGCGAAAATTTGCTCAAGGCAATGCACGGCAGCAATGACGACGCTGGCAAGCTATTCAAACCACCCAGTGACACAGCTGAGAGCAGATGGATCAACTACGGTGAGTTTCTGTCGCTAGCACCATTTCACAATGCTTATGATAGCGCAGATGACCTAAATACATGGCACTGGAACACCGAGAATGATCCTGATCTGACCCATGTCAACTTTCTCCTCGATAACGATGACATGGACTATTTTCCTGGTCTGGGTCTCGGCAGTGCACTCAGAGATCTTGATCTTCCTACTCACCAAAGCGACGACCCCAAGAAGGGCATTCAGATCATCTTTGCCATGCATCTCGATCGCACAGTCGGAACCGACGGCCAAACTTACAAAGTAGGCGAGAAGACCTATCGTGCCACTGGCGGCTATTATAAGTTCGGCATCGAGACCTCGACTGGCGCTATCTTTGGGCTCGACAGATTTGCTCCTGAGGCAGCAGGCAAAGGGATTGAGCCACCCATCACTAAAGAAGGAATGCCTCTGCTTCAGCGATTCTCAGACATAGCTTGGCTGTACTGGGCGCAGACGGCTACTAACAAAAACAAGATCGAGTACTTTTTCAACGTCGCCGTAACCAACGACAAGACGCAAATGGCGATCCGTCGGGCTCTCAAGAGTACAAACCAGCAGTTTGCGCCTTGGCCGGGTGCGATCTTCAGCACTGATTCATACGAGGGCAAGGTGCTTCTAGGTCAGTAAAGTCTCCAGACGCTCGTGAACGTGCCTGACAGCACTCATAGGTTCGCCAAATGGCCGCGCATATGGCTACTTCCTAGCCCAGCACAAGGCAGCCCTTGGTGGGAACATGTACATATCCGAGATCCGGGTTTTCAGCAGCGACACTAGACCATTCCTGCCGAACATGGTGCGTAACTCTTCCTGTGTTCTGATCGTTATCCCTACATCGCAGATTGACTGACTCTTACAAGATCATGCGTGTTCAACAACCGAGGCCACTCGAGAACAGCTCGGACGCAAAGCGAACCTCACAAGAAGCAAAAGCAAGATTGTGAGACAGCTTCGTAATGCTTATATAAATGTGCAAGCATACACACGCTAGTTCCTGAGAAGCGAAAGCAATATCAGCGTTATGGGACACAGGTCAATGGCAAGATGTGCAAAGTGACATACCAAAGAATGGATAGATTGCTGAACCCCGCATCCATCAGACACTGTGCTATAATAAAGTAGGCAGAACGCCAGATTAAGGGTTCATAACTTCACGTCGTGCACGCACAACGTGTATCAGCGTGAACGAGTATACGTAGCCATACCACACACAATGAGCATGATACTTTCCCAACAAGGTTTCACTTTGAGTCTGCGAACGATATAATTTGAAACCCCATTCTACACAGGCAAATCCTTCATAGCAACCTGTTCCACCACGATTCAAGACACACTCCTCGATAATGGCTGCACCGCTGTCCGAAGTCGAACAGGCTGGTCCCGCGCACAATGTTGTTAGTGATTCCATTAGTCGTGAAGAAGTTCAGAATTGGCTTGTTGATCAAGTTGAGCAGGTGCAACAGGATATTCGCGCCGTGAACAGCGGTACCTCCCCTGCGCCATCAGTTAGGTCATGCGAGGTTGGCACGGCCCACAAGGTCACTATTTCGCATCAGATTGTTCCACCAGAGGCGATGCATGCAGAATTCGATAGCGCAAGCTCCGGGACTACTAGCCCTTGTGACTCGATCCCAGCCGATGGATTCGCCGCTGTTGCTGTAGACCCAGCAACTCTTCCCCAGCGTTCCCTACTTATCCGCCGAGCAGCCTTGAAGCGGAAGCCATTGCCGTCGCCACTTGTGTGCATCCGAGATTGGCCCAATGGTAAGAGAACGTCATATGTAGGAGCACCCTCTGAATGGGCTTCCGCTCTAACGGCAGCTCTAGAGCGGGTCGACGGATCCTTCGATGGATTCAGGCATGGTCGGGACGGCATCTCTCAAACAGTGAAGGATCACTTCACTCCTGGTTTGCTGGACGGGACAAGCGAGGAGGAGGAGGTCATGGACGGTCTCGAAGGTTGTGAATGGCGTTGAGGCACTGCGACATAAAAGACTCGCATATCGAGAGTTCCCGTTCGAATGAATTCCATATATTCTAGCTCCTTGCGATGTCCAACCAAATACACAATATTTTGAGCCATTCGTCTCATAATCCCATAATCCTTTTCGAATATTCTGAAATCGTGACAACCCTGCGAGTCAATGCTTATGTGTGATGGCCGGAATCGTTCACTTTGCGTGTTACATGATGGTGCAATGCCCCTGTGAAGGAGCAATTGCAGTTGCCCTAATCAGTGGCTACTCGTCTTCCCTGGCTGAGAGCAAGGAGAGAGACTGTACAGTGGATACTAAAAGCCGTATACAAGACTCAACTGTACACTGAAACATATGGAAAAATGCTATAAACGCTCAATATGCCCCGCTGGTATGCAATGCTGCTGCTCGGAATATACAATGTTAGATGGCATGAGATGTCTCCTTGTATGTTTACCACGTCAACTCTTTATTCGGCCTTCTCGTCATCTCAGACGGCACGCAGCCCCAGGAGCAGACCTGCACCTTGAACGGGTAGACGACCATGTGGCTTGTGTTCCAGAACTCGATCCACTCTGCTCTCGCCACGATGTAGTTACTTTTGCACACATGGCACTGACGGAAGTAGCCAAAGCCTACATCCCCATCGTTGTGCAATGCTCGCGCAAAGATTGCGGCCGCAACGAAAGGCACAGGATCACCTAACCGTTCCCTTGTGTCTTCGACGCTGATGTTCGCGAGTGCAGTGTCAATAGACTTGGTGAGTAGGGATGATATCCGAGATGGTGCGAGCGGCGCGAAGATAGGAGTTGACGGGACGCCAAATGCGCCCTTAGATGTCTCGACAATGACGGGGAGGTTGCTTGTGCTCGATGAAGATGGCGCGGGTGATCCTTTGACAAGCTGACCGGCCTGATCGAAATACGAGACAAGAGACCTTGCGATGTATCGAGGTGTAGGCCAATCTGCTGCGATAGGACCTGCAGGATGATGCGCAAAGATGCGCTCATCTGGGCTATCCAGACCTGTTGTGTGCTTCAACTTGGCAGCATCGAGAAAAGTTTCCATCGACTCAATATAACGTATATGCCAGACAAGCGCTTCGCGATCGGGACATGAATGTAACGGTGGGTAATCGTCTAGAGTAGAAGATGTGAATGTGTGACGCTCTTCAAGTTTTCGATACCGATCTTGTGATACTTTTTCGATTAGGGGATTCCCAAGGGTGGTGAGATGTGCCAGCTTTCCATGAGGCGCCAGAACCCGGAGGAGCTCAAACGGTAGATATTCGAGTTTGTTCAAGGACACGTCGAGCTCCTGGAGATTGCGTAGTTGACTAATGTGCGAGGGCAGTTCGCTAATCTGATTGTTTCTTAGCACCAATGTGGTGAGATGTTGCAGGTTGAAGAGCGATGGTGTCATGCGTATCAGAGAGTTCTGACTTAGATTGATGTACAGCTCTGGTACCATGGAACGGTATTGGCCTTCTGCGGGCAGGTCGTTACCAGGGTCTGGAACATTCTTGATCACGCTATTCAAATCACCTATCTGCTTTATGTCGGTGTCATCGAGATCCAATCCTTGGAAGTCGTAATTCTGACAATCTCCATCCAAGCCTGCTCTCAAAGTAGAGTAGAAGGCAGCCTCAGTCATGCTCATCGGCTCTGGCTCGTCCTCATCGACAGCCTCAGCAGCAAACGAAAATGGCGACTTGTGCTCTGGTAGGGGATCTACGGAGCCATCGCTGTTGTCGCTCATCATGCAGATGCCCGAATCATAATTACGCGAAATTTTCGTCTTCTTGGGTTCTGGTGTGTTTCGAGTCGAATCGCCATTGTCTGTCTCATACCAAGCACCTTTGCGCTTGTTTTTGAAGATGCGTGGAGACTCGTAGTTTGTGATGTCGGGTGTTTCGCCAGAATCGTCGCTGGAAAAGAGCGGGGGCGGTGAACTCGACTTAGGCCAAATCGCGCCGTACCGTCGAGGTTCGAAAAAAGGCGGACTTGGGGGGTTGGTCGCGATCGCGTGCGGTGGTGACGACGGTAGCACCGCGTCGTCGTCCATAGCGCAGGTTCGAGGCGGTAAGACTTTCGATGAAAATCGAGGCTGATCACGCGACCGCGACTTTGGAGCAGAGGTTATCGCACCTCCTAAACTCGGGAGGCTGGAGGTGAACGAGATGTGGGAAGGAGCGCTGGACGCGTTGCGGAGCTGGACGCGCGACCCACTACTAGCCGCAACCGCGACAGGGTCCGATGACGGCATTGGCGCCGCATCCTGATAACGCTCTGAAGTCCACCGTAAGACCTACAGTGGCAACTTGGGTACTGTTGTCTCTGTACTACATGTCAACGGTTCTTGTGTCGCATATGCTGTGTAACAAACGACCGATCGATAGCTTGGAGGATGAAGAAGCCTCAGACCCTCATCCGGCAACCACCGCAGTCTCACGATGTCTATTATACTTACTCCAAGCCGATATGAGGAAAATGCCATACAATGAAGTGGTGAGTCTCAGCAACCTATTTCCAGTTCTGGTGGCAACTTCCGTCTATGACGGGCGGACCTGTGGCTTAGGCTCTTCCAATGGGGCTGGTGAGCGAATTTGAGAGCTTTACTCTCACGACCGCAGGGACGACAATATAATCTGCGAATCCCTTCGCTACTACCAATATATCATCTCTACAGTCTGCGCGTTCGATATTGAAGCTCGCTCTGGACTCTGAAAACATTCTTTATCTTGCGCTGGTGGTGCCGTCCCAGTTCTGGAGACACAGCTGCTGCGGCACTCTTTCACGACAGAACATGTTCTTGTCGCTGTTGTCGGTTACTGGTGACTTACAAGGTAACTATGTGTGCGTGAAGCATGCAATGCATGTCGTCCACGGCGAGCGTGCCGGTGCGTTCTGCGTGCCAACAGTCCGCCATCAAGCAGACTTGGGCTCGGTTTGCCTTCCCATCAAGGCTATCAGTTATAGTACTTGCTCGCCGACAGGCCTGTTACAGCCCAATCGCTGGCAGTGATGTCTCTGCATACGCGCAACTTGGGCTAAGACCCCAAGCGAAGGACGACATTATTGACCAAGCTGATCTTCAGTTGACTATACTGCGCTAACATCTAAACTTAGTACACACGTTTGCTTAGCCCTGCGTCTCGCACTTAATTACTCAACACGATGCTGCAGGTCTTCTGACCGCAACACGAGCGAGTGTCGTTAAGCCAACCTCGACTTCACGGCGCAGTCCCCTCACCGCCAGCATGCTTCAGACAGCATTGGATGCTCGGGGGACTTAGCAACCCAGGCGTTATGTGCTAGGCACTGCGCGCGGTGCCAGAGACAAACCATAAACAGGCGCTTGCCTCGTGACCCAAGACTCATGCTAAGGGCTGTACCCAGCAAGTCGATATCCGGAGGTGGACGCCAACACCTATCGGCACTACCAGTGCACACTTTGATCGTCCTTCGTAATAGCTGACTGCGCATCTCATCATGCCGAACAGGTAAAATGCACCTGCAGCCGCGATTCGAACACGACGACATAGGATGTGTTGAAATGCAAGAAGGATTGCTGACAATCGAGGTCATTCCGCAACACGACCAGGACCATCAGCACTTCCAGGCAAGAACGGCACATTACGAGTGTCAGTCATGAGGCGTACCACTGCGACGTGGCAGCCGCTTGGATAATTTCAGGCCGCCACCCAACACGCCTTTGTGGGGTTAGGCCATGCACAAGCTGAGTGGCTAGCTTGTACTGTTCCTGCAGCCGTTTCGCACGGACCTTCTGAATCCGGTGAACATCGTGCATCTTCCAGCCTCTCGGCACGGCACACGCTTCAAGGTTTCGTCACACCTCGTATGCTCACTACCAAGAGGTTGCATTCCACGATGGAAGCAATGGCGGCAGGTATCGACATCGTACTGACCTCCTCTTCGACGTCAGAGAGTCGCATTCTCTGGACTTAGCTCAGCCGAGATCCGTGACTTTGACAGCCTGGGCTAATCAACGGTGTCTGGGCAGAGAGAAACAAAGGACAAATGATGTCTGCCGCGCAAAAGCTTTGCCAACACCGTCTCTGAATGGCGTCGACCACAAAGCTTCTTATCGTGCCTGGGTTGGTTGGCTGATGCGACGTTCCCTTCGGCTATTCTATTATCGGATACGACGACCAAAACCCTGCTGCCAATCAGCACATCCGGCAGTCGGCAGAACAACACTCGGACGAGCGTGGAGAGGCCTCGCGCACGCCTCGTGCAGTCCAACCGTGGACCCAATAACCTGGCCACTCGTGAAGAGGCTCAGCCTTACCACACGCGGTGGTGGCGCTCGTCCGGAGATGAGATTTCCCCAATGCCAACACCAAGGCGGCTAGCTGATTCGCTCTCGCCCCCTACTATTCAGGCTGGCGCCTTTTGGTAAGCCGCCATCTTTCCACTTGCGTCCCGCCGCACTCACTTTGTGCATCTTGGCGTAGAATGACACGAACTGGTGGATCGACTTAATCGTATCGCTCAGGAGATATGGCGGGCCCCAAAAGGCAAGGTATATAGGCAAGGTATGATTCTTCCGCAAACGTTTCTGTAGCATCAGCTCTACGTCTCTCGTTTGTTCACCGGGAACATTCCAACTTCCCTTAGTATTTTATTTTAATCTAATTCCACCACCTACTCGACCACCATGCATCTGTCATTGACCGCAGCCATTTTGGCTGTCGCCGGATCCGCTATTGCGCTTCCCCAGAACCCTGCTCCCGCCCAGGGCACGTCTCTTCCTTCGAATGTCGACCTTCCTCCTGCTCTCCCGGTTGAAGACTTCAAGACACCCAAATTCGCTCGCCCATTGTCCCTCGACGAGGCCCTGCACGGTGTCAATGCTACCGTCACCACCATCGTCGAGAACATCCAGGATGCGAAAAACAGGCTCCCCGAGCTTGTTATGCCGGACACACCTTCTTCCAAGATCATCACCGACCTGATCCCCAACGTTGTCCCTTCAAGCTTCCCCATTACTCCCCGCGAATTGGATGAAGAGCTGGAGCGGTTCGAGAAGAGGCAGAGCACTTGCTCTAACCCCCGCGTGCGTCGCGAGTGGGACTCCTACTCCGATTCCGACCGACAGGCCTACGTCGATGCTGTCAAGTGCCTGCAGAGCCGCCCAGCTTCCGGCCAGTTCCGTGTATCCCAGAGCAGATATGAGGATCTCGTCGCCCTCCACCAAACCCTTACTCCTAACGTCCACGGCAACGCCAAGTTCCTCCTCTGGCACAGGTACTACCTGTGGACCTTCGAGCAGATGCTCCGCAGCGATTGCGGTTTCAACCGCGAGCTTCCCTGGTTCGATGAGACCAGGTATGCTGGTCGCTTTGGTGCCTCTTCTATCTTCAGCTCGCGATGGTTCGGAAGCATCAACATCGGTGGTCGATGCGTAACTGATGGCGTAAGTACCTTAACGTTTGAACCTCCGGCATATTACTAACGACACCACAGCAATTCGCCGGCCTCGCTATCAACATTGGTCCCGGCTCCGGCAACCAACGCCACTGCTTGGCTCGCAACGGAGACGACTCCAGGACCATCAACACTGGCAACGCTATCGTCGATGCTTGCAACTCGCGCGGCTCGTACCCTGATATGGCCTCGTGCGCCGAGGGTGGTGCTCACGCTTGGGGTCACAACGGTATCGGTTCCGTCATGTCCGACACGTATGCGTCGCCCGCCGACCCGGTTTTCTTCCTGCACCACGCTTTCATCGACCGCAACTTCCGCATCTGGCAGAACAACGGTGGTAATGCGCGTGTGACACAGATCTCTGGCTCCGACAGCCAAGGCAACGGCCTGAGCCTCGACACCACCGTCAACGTTTATGATTTCCGCCCTACTGTCCGCATTCGGGATATCCTCAACACCGTCTCCTCCACCTTGTGCTACAAGTACAACTACTAAGCTAATGTCAAATAATGTCCGATATCTATCTCATTTGTTAATAGGTGGAATGGGCATAGCATGGCATGGCCGTGTAGCTGTAATTAGACGGATTTTGTCTTTTTCGCTGTAGATATTTATACCAAAACAAGCCTTCTTTTCATGACCCTTAGGGAACGTTGCTCCTCCTATATACATGTGTGGTATCGTGTCTCGTTCATCAAAAGGGTACCAATGCTTCCTGATATTTGGGTTCATCTATCGGTCTGACGATGATTCAATGGTATGTTGCGATCGTGTGGCGTGAATTCGAGATCTTATAATGCGGATAGGATAAGGAGACCCGCTCAATTGCGAAGTTGCAAGAGCATTGCCACGCTTGTCAGAGAACGAACAAGTTTCTTTCACGGCTATAAAGGAGCTGATCAAAGGAGCGCTAGTTTCGGAATCATTGGTATCTCGACATAGAGGCGAGGGAGGAGTCTCGATATTGTGTCTAACTGAGCATCTCTAGTCTCGTAATGAGGAAACAGAACTTGCGGGGACGAGAGTCCGCTGACATAGTTAAACTGTATTGACATGAATATGAACACAAAGTGCCGAATCGAAGGATAAACTCAAACTCTTGTAGCCTCATCACCTCTGCCAGGGGAAAATTATGGAGTAACGCTCGCTCCTATTGTGTGTTACACATCAGATATCTAGCTGTGGCAGTCGAGGTTCGCATGGACGGGCGTTCGCACCACCGTTTGCCTCTTCAGGCTCAGTAATCGTCGACTCGATTGTGACCCATTATTACTATATCGTCCTCTTCTTAGCAAAGTATACCGCTTGCAATGTTGTTAGGCCTCTCTCTACGTTCGGAAAAGCAAGCTGGCTAGAAAGATGCTCTGCTAGCTCGTACCTCTCACAAGTATGCTGCTCGTAGTCTCTATCGAGACCAGGCCCTGTAGATCGAATAGCGTCATACCATCTGACACCGCCCTATATGCGCTGGAAAAGAGCAGAGCCGGTAGCGTGAGGGATTGGTGCTGATGGTTGTATGATCGGCTGGACTGGGAGGATGGACCTCACTACGTTCGCCGTCGTAGCCGAAATCAATCTTTTGATTCCATGCTGATCTCGTCGAGACTGCGCCTCTCTTGAAACTCGCTCTCTCTTCCCTTATTAATCAGCCTCAACGCACTGGAAACTCTTCCATTTGGCTTGCCATCTCCCAATCGCTCACCACCAGTCTCTCGAACGGGCCCGGGCTCAGCACGTAAGCGTCTTGGCCAAAAGAAGCTGGACTGAAGTCATCCGCCTCTCCCTCCTCTTCGTCTCCATCTTGCCAGAGCGACTGTTCAACACCGCTCAAGAATCCCCATGTAGTTTCGAGGATGTCTTCCATGGGAAGGATGTATGACATTGAGCGGCGGTTGCGTCCTGAAAATTCACCCCAAGCGTCGAGTTGTTCAAGAAGAGGAAAATGCGTAAAAAGAGACTGGGCCCAGGCGTGGATCAAATCTTCTTCGGCGGCGAGCGTGATGTTAGACCCTCTGCTGAGAAGAGTTTCTGGGCGGGCAAAAGATAGTTGGGTCAGGTTGGGAAACAACGGGATAGAAGTAGTAGCAGGACTTGCGGATGGCGTGTCAATGGCCGCAACTAGTTTGATCGTGCTCGACATAGCCTGAGGAGAGTCTGGTCTTTGGTCATATTTTGTCTGGGTAGGGGTGATGATGTCGCTACGGGCCACCGGTTGCGAAACTCCGCCGTAAAGTGGCAGAACGGGAAGCTGCAAGGGTACACCTATGCGAAGGATTTGAAGTTTTGGACAATACCGCGCTAGACTTGGTAGAGCAGTTGTTTGCAGTATGGTCGCAGTTGTTGGATGTAGTTTCAAGCTCAATTCTTCGAGATTTGGTAGTCCTTTGCAGAGTTCCTCGAAATGTGCACTTGATATGCCCGAGCCATCAATAGAAGAGGGATCGAGGGCCGCGAGATCGATGCTTCGCAACTTGGGACAGCAAGCGGCTAGTTTGACCAAAGCTGCGCCACTTGCCAGGAGATTCAGATGTGCTGTAGGAAAGCCCACCGCGAGGTTGCCGATGTTGACTTCGAGCAATTCCAAGTTCGGACATGCGAGGAGAGAAGTTACAACATCATCTAAGATGCTGAGGTCAGACAAACGAAGTTCGCCACTTGGCTGGCGTTCGACAGCAAGTCGCAATTCCTTTAGGGAAAAAAGATGGGACGGAAGGGCAAGTGCGATCTCTGGGTCACAGACGATTTGTAGACGCTCCAGGGCTGAGAATGGCTTTTGCAGCGCACTTGGGCCTGAGAAAAGAGGCAATGTTCGCAAACCAGGGTCAAGATCAATGGCCAGGGATTTCAGGCCTTGACGTTTGCTGAGATGGCCGAACAGGAGGTCTTTGCCAACGATTCCGCTCATCAAGACATCAACCTCCTCCAGATTAGGGAGCGTATCCAGATGGCATGCAAGAAAACTTGCGTGCACTGGATCCTGAGAGCCGAATGTATCCGGTCCAAACTGAATCCGCCTCAAATTTTGACAGGGACCGAACAAAGCTGGCAGTGTTACCTGCGCAACATATGCTGACCCACCAGACTGCAGTCCGGTCACTGCCAGACTCTCCAAGTCGGCATGCAACAGTCCTCGGAGGTTGTGTTGGTGCGATCGCCAATCGAGATCCAACTCCAAGCTCTTCAGATTTGGCCATGCAAGGTCTTTGAGAAACTCATATTCATCGTCGCTTTCATCTTGTGGGTCAGAGAGTTGCAACTGTTCGACTTTGTTTGCGTATAATTGTCGTCGATCATGTTGCATCCATTTAAAGGCCGAAAGATTAGGGTTCTGCTTCCAGGCAACAGAGGTAGCTGCGTCAGCCCAGAGGCTATTAACAAGAATGGCCGGTAACAGCGAATGTCGAAGTTCCAGGAGCTCCACAGGATGATCGAGGCTTGGTTGGTGCCGATGCCTGTCGATAATACCCGCAAGATGATGCAAGATCAGTGATACGATGTCGCGATTTGTTGTAGCTTCCGCGCTCGCCATTGTGTTGGTGGTACGTGGGACGAAAGCGGGAGTTCAAAGAATGGACAACCGCGGCGTTGGGAAACCCAAACACCAGGTTAAGAAAACAATGGATGTAACGTTGAAGAGAAGAGTCTGCCTGCGCATTGAGACTCATTGTTTGCAATTTCAGCAGATTGTGTACAAACACTACGTAGTTGACAGGGATCCGGGGCTGCCGGCCCACGCGGGAGTGTTTGAAAGCCTGTTCTACCCATGTCAACGGCTATCACAATGAGCTTTTCGCGGCCAGATATTAGCAAGGGGCTTTGATCTGACAAAGGTGACGAAGTTGATGACTTGACAGAACTTATGGGTTTTGATGTTTGATGTTCGATGCTTCATGTTTAATGCCAGGGGTGGCTCTTTCTTCAGGCTTAGTCAAGGGTACAAGCGTGGCGGCAGCCCGGACGAACACTGCACGGCCGTGTTTCCAACGAAGCTTGTCCCAACGGTCATATCGATCATTATCTCCATCAGCATGCACGAGACAGCCTCGTCTGACATGCGCATCCTCGAACGTCGGACAAAATGCGGCTTTATAGCTCCGTTGAATCGAGGAAGCAAGTGCTCTTGCGTCCCAGCTGACGCTGATAAATAGCCTGCGGACCCCACATCAGCGATGCTTTCTATCTCTTCACTAACAACAGACAAGCGGAAACACGAGGTCGAAGTCTCAGAAACGTATCGCAGCTATGCATCTCATACTCACTGGCGCCACTGGTCTCGTCGGCGCTGCTGTACTTGACAGCATGCTGGCGCAACAGGCTATCAGCCGGATCTCGATCCTTAGCAGGCGACCAGTGAAGATGGCGGAAGGGCATGATAAAGTCCAAGTTATTTTGCATGAAGACTTCAATCAGTATGATGAAGCGGTGCTTGATAAGCTCAAGGATGCACACGGTTGCGTGTGGGCTCTAGGAGTGTCGCAGAATGACGTGAGCAAGGCGTTAGTCTTCAGTTCTGCTTCTCACGCCCACAGTTTGTTGACAATACGATAGCAAATACGTCGAGATCACGAAAGATTACACTATGACTGCCGCACGCGCCTTCAGTACCTTGCACCCCGACTCACCCTTCACATTTGTCTACGTCTCCGGCGAGGGAGCCACCCAGTCACCGGGCATGTTCACACCTATCTTTGGGCGCGTCAAAGGGGAAACTGAAACAGCCCTGCTGAATTTCCGCAAGCAGAACCCAAACTTCAAATCATTCAGTGTGCGACCAGGTGGTGTGGACTGGACGTCGCACCCTGAGATTCAGCCTTTCATCCCACAACGACCAATTTGGCTCACCACGCTGATCAAGCCTATGAATCTGTTGTACAAGAGCATGATGACCCCGACACAGCCTATGGGAAGGGTCTTCACGGAGCTTGCGATGAGTAGGGGTGAGCCACTGGAGGGTTCCGGTGTCGCACTGGAGGGCACATTGCTCACGAACATAGGCATCAGGAGGCTGTCTGGGCTGTAGTTGCACTTATGGTCGTATGCTTGCATTTTTGTGTCCTGTGATAGGATGTCTGATTTCGTATCCTCGTACCGCGCTTCAAAGTTTCGCACCATGGACACTATTTCATTGCTGTCAGCGCAAATGCCATCTGCTCCATTGTGTCACTGCACGTTTTCCAAAAGCCCCCGTGATACACGACCTGTGTGATATAGTAGGCTCGTCTCGCTTCAGCCCAGGACCCAAACCATGCTTGATCCACATTTCACAGTCCACGAGGTACCAACACGCCAACATCATTGTTCATAAAGCTTGGAAAGTTTTGAGTTGCATACTCAGGGGAAGCACGAAGATAGAAACTATAGAGCGGTCGCTTCAGTACACAAGGGAGAGTCACAGAACTTTGGTGGAGATGCCATGATGCGCAAGCTCAATGTTAGGATGTAACAAACTGTGGGCAACAAAAGAGCGGAGGGAGATGGGTCATAATAGCTAGGAACGCAAGTTCCTTCTGTAAGTAGACGGAAAGAGGTTTACACTGGATACAGTCCCTTCCATAGCGATGCAGTAGTCACTGTTGTAAGGCACTCCAAACGGGTACCCATGTACCTAATGTATGTTGACTTACACAATTCACGTGTACTGTTAGTGGCATCGGCCTTTCGTAACCTCCGACCGCGAACGAACCAGCAAGTCGATGACGCGCTCGTAAAGCGATGGGTGAGGCGCAGCCGTCTAAGCGAGACGTGTCAAAGCAGATTGGCATCGCAATTTCTGCCTTTTCGATGATTTGGGGCACTCGGCGGCTGGGCGCGCTGGGCATACCTACTTGCACACGAAAGGAGGTTAAGGTCGAGCTTCGAGTGACTACAATTTTCAAAGCAGCACAGGTGTCTGAGAAAGTCTCCAAGGACCTCGGGAGACAATAGGATCAATGAAGATATCATGTCTACTCACATACAAATCCTGGTGAATTTTCGACGGTACTACCCACGTTCTGCCATGTGTTGCTAGACCTCGCGTGGCGAGGTCCGTCGGAAGTCGGGGCGCATCGTGCGTTGATTGGAGCATCGATGGGCCGCGGAGAGTCGATGGCGGGTGAACATCGACCCGCTTTCACCACCATCCCTTGTCCGGGGCGTGGCGCGAAGACAACGACAAGATGTCGCTGCTTGGCAAGCGTGTAGGTGTGTATTCTCGTGGCGACGTTGCTACGCAAGCCTTCTGCTTGATCTGCTCGACTTCTACTCTTGGCCGTTGAGTTGTAGTGCATACTGACTTTTCTAGCACGAACACCTTCGGAGCCTGAAGCATGGTTGCCGCTATTATCTCGTAATCTATAATACCCACGAAGCATCCAGGACACACTCGATCGTCCCACCTTCAAACCCGCCCCTCACGGGCAACGATCCCAACCATGGCGATTCTTAGGCAGACGTGGATTCTTACAAAGAAGACGCTGCTCATTGTGGCATGGCGGCAATGGTTCTTCACCAGCGTGCGCGCCTTCTGGGCGCCCATAATCTTCGTATGTCGGCCTCAGATGTATACTGGCGCGTAGCTAACATGGCCAGATGTTCTTCATTACGTACGCAAAGAACTTCTTCATCCCTCCCTCTGAATTCGGCATCGGCAGCCCACTACCTATTCGCTCCTTCCCCAACGCCCTCGCCGCTGCTACAGGCGGCCGCGACAAAGTTGTCTTTGTAAACAACGGTCACACGGGTGGCGACATCGAGAATGTCATTGGAAGTCTTTCAACCCGAGTGCGCGATGCAGGTCTTCAGCCTATCACGATCAACAATGAGGTCGAGCTCCTAACGACGTGTTCTTCGTCCCTGCGTGGTGCTAGCACGTGTTTCGGCGCGGTCGCATTCCATTCTAGTCCCAACGAAGGCGGCGGCCCAGCATGGAATTACACAATGCGCGCCGACGGCGTGCTAGGCTCACAGATCTACGTCGATCAAGAGGATAATGATGTGCAGATCTATATTCTGCCGTTCCAGCGCGCCATCGACGAAGCTATCGTAGGCTTGAACAGTTCAGCCAGACCAATCCCTGCTATCGACGAGTTCCCGTACACCGAACGCACGCAAGAAGAGAGGAATGAGCGCATCAGGGTGCTGTACATGGGTGCTCTGATCAACATCATGGGCGCAGCTTTATACATTGGCGTCTGCGGTGTTACGTATCAGCTTACCGGACAGATGGCTGATGAGCGGGAGCGTGGTATTTCACAACTAGTCGAAGCTATGTCTCCCGCGAAGAAGGCATGGCACACCCAGTTTGCGCGTCTGCTGGCCAACCACATTGCGTTCGACATCATCTACTTTCCCGGATGGGTCATCATGGGTCTGATTGTGTGGGCGCTCGCCTTCAGGTCGTCAAACGCAGGCATTTTGGTTATTTTCCACATATTGGCCGGCTTGTCACTGACGAGTTTCTCCATCTTCGGCGCGGCATTCTTTCGCAAGGCACAGCTGAGTGGAATCACGATTGTAATCATCCCCATTCTTCTGGCAATCATTGCGCAGGTTGCTGGTCCGTTTGGTACGTCGGCAGTCTACATTTTAAGCCTGATTTTCCCGTCGATTAACTACGTTTTCTTTATTGTCTGGATCGCGCGATTTGAGAGGGAGCTTACTGGCGCCAATCTTGGGCAAGGTGCGCCTGTGTACGAAGACCATGTCTGGACGACACCAGGTATCGTCTTCTGGGTATTCCTAGTGATACAGACACTTGTATACCCCTTCCTCGGTGCACTTGTAGAGCGATGGCTGTACGGTACCGTTTCAGCTGACCGCAAGACCACTACCGACTCGCCTGAGCACAACATTATTCTCAGGAACTTCTCGAAGCACTGGACACCGAGTTGGTCTAGGAATATTCTAGCCAAGATTGGTATCAAGCCTCCAGAGACTGTAATCGCCGTCGACGACTTCAGCATCAAGGCGCGCAAGGGGCAAATCATGGTTTTGCTAGGTGCTAACGGAAGTGGCAAATCAACAACTCTGGATGCTATTGCGGGCCTGAACACTATCACAAGCGGATCCATCGAGATTGACGGTACTGGAGGTCTAGGTCTTTGTCCGCAGAAGAATGTTATGTGGGACGAGCTGAATGTTTACGAACATGTTCGAATCTTCAACCAGCTGAAGTCAACTGGCTCTTTCGATAGTAAGGATACCGTTGAAGATTTGATCCGTGCCTGTGACCTGGGACACAAGATCAAAGCTCGATCAAGCACGTTGTCGGGAGGCCAGAAGAGGAAGCTTCAGCTCGCTATGATGTTCACTGGTGGAAGCAAGGTCTGCTGTGTTGACGAAGTTTCATCTGGCCTGGATCCTCTTTCACGACGGAAGATCTGGGAAATCTTGCTTGCTGAGCGTGGCGACCGCACTTTCCTCCTGACAACGCATTTTCTCGACGAAGCAGACGTTCTTGCCGACTACATCGCCATCCTTTCGCGGGGCGTATTGAAAACGAAGGGTACATCTGTTCAGCTGAAACACGAAGTCGGTGCGGGATATCACGTTACCTACCCGCGAGACGCGCCTGTCTCGCCCCCAGCAGACGCAACCAAGAAGCCTGCACCCTCAGCTGACATGATCCAATATTGGTTCCCGGAGGCCCTTCCCGCTACCCACTTCGTTGATGTTCTGAGATCCAAGGGCGTTAAGAACTACGATATTGTAGGCCCAACACTGGAAGACGTGTTCCTTGCGATGGCTGAAGAGGTCAAAGAACATAATCTTATGGACGCCAGTGAGCAACAAGCTGTTCTGGCGACAAACAAAGAAGGCGGTCATTCCTCAGACCAGGTATTGGATACAGACAAAGGACTCGAGATGGGTAAGGGCCGAGGCACGTCGATGGGCAAACAGACCCTGATTCTTATGCAAAAGCGCTGGACAATTCTTCGTCGTAACTTTTGGCCGTATATCTTCGCTGTGTTGTTACCGATAGTTGCTGCCGGACTGGTCACACTGTTTCTTAAGGATTACGAGGCGGTTGGCTGCGACATTGGAGCGAATTCCAACGACCCCCAGGTGTATACGCTCGAGAACACCGATGCGATCCCCCTTATTCCTATCGGCCCGTCAAGTCTCGTCGGAGACGCTATATCGACTATCATCCAACGCAGTGGTGTGAGCAATGACAGCTTCCACATTGTTGATACCCTGGAGGAATTCAACGATTTTGTACAGGCCTCCTTCCGCAACATCACCCCTGGTGGCTTCTTCATCCGCGAAAATGAACCTACATTAATGGCTTACCTTGGCAACCCGGAGGTAGTCGGTGGCCTCATCACGCTTAACACACTTGACAACGTGCTCTCAAACGTCTCCATCTCCACGCAATATCAGCAGTTTGCCGTTCCATTCTCGCCGAACATGGGCGACACTCTCCAGCTCACGTTGTATTTCGGTCTGGCCATGAGCGTCTTCCCTGCGCTCTTTGCGCTGTACCCGACTCAAGAGCGTTTGAGGAAGGTGCGAGCGCTGCATTACAGCAACGGCATTCGAGCTGTCCCACTGTGGTTGGCATATACTGCTTTCGACTTCATCTTCGTTCTCATCATCTCAGGTGTGACGACAGCCATATTTGTCGGTGCCTCCGATGCATTCTATGGCCCTGGCTACATGTTTGTAGTTTTTGCTCTATACGGTCTGACTGCGATTCTGTTCTCGTACCTCATTTCTATCGTGGTGACCTCGCAGCTTGCCGCTTTTGCTTTCGCAGCGGGAGGCATGGTATCCTTGTACCTCATATACTTCATTGGGTATATGGCTATTCTTACTTACGCGCCCGCGTACAAGATTGATGATTGGATCGATATCTTCCATTGGACGGTCACACTCATCGCGCCTTCTGGTAGCTTGCTCAGAACACAGTTGTTGGCACTGAACTCGTTCAGCGTGCTCTGTGATGGAGATCAAATTCCAAGATATCCTGGCAAACTCACAGTTTACGGAGGCCCTATCATTTACCTCACAGTCCAAGCAATTCTGCTTTTTGTTGCACTTGTTTGGTGGGACTCTGGATACAGACCGCCCTTCCTCAACCGTGCGAGCAGTCGCCAGAAGCATACAGAAGAGAACTTAGAGACTATCCCGCCCGCCGTCCTTGCTGAAACTACACGAACCGAACAGTCCAAGGATAGCTTGCGCGTGCTGCATTTGCAGAAAACATTCGGCGCTAATCACGCAGTGAACGATATTAGCTTCGGCATACCGCAAGGCCAAGTCTTTGGCCTGCTCGGTCCCAACGGCGCAGGTAAATCGTCAACCATCTCTCTCATTCGTGGTGATATCCACCCAACAACATCCATCAACGGTGGTGGCGATGTGCTCATTGAAGATATTTCCATCATCTCCAAACGCGCTGCTGCGCGTGGGCACCTGGGTGTGTGTCCTCAATTCGACGCCATGGACACGATGACCGTTACTGAGCACCTATACTTCTACGCCCGTGCCCGTGGTGTGCCTGATCCTGAATCTTCGGTAAATGCAATTTTGCAAGCTACAGGTTTAGCACGTTTCCAGACTCGCCTTGCTTCCAAGCTTTCTGGTGGCAACAAGAGGAAGCTGTCTCTTGGCATTGCACTGATGGGCAATCCGTCCGTTCTGCTACTTGACGAACCCAGTTCGGGTATGGATGCAGCCGCAAAACGTGTCATGTGGCGTACGCTCCTTGGTGTTGCAGCCCCTGGTCGCGCGCTGCTGATCACTACTCACTCCATGGAAGAAGCAGATAAGCTCGCTACCCGAGTCGGTATAATGAAGAGGAAGATGCTGGCACTGGGCACAGTCGGTCAGCTCGGTGATCAGTATGGCGACGCTTGGGTTGTCCAACTTGTTCTCAAGAGTGCGCCCGAGACCACAGAGGAAGAGATGGAGGCATGCAAGGATTGGGTGCGGCGCAAGATTCCTGGCGTGCAGATGGACAAGTGGGGCTCCCGAGGCGGTGGGCATGGGCAGCTGAGGTTCAAGGTACTGAAGGCTGGGAAGGGCGAGGCGGACGTGTATGAGGAGGTCTCACGTATTCCGTCAAGTCTAACTGACAACGTTGAGAAGCCCAGCGCCGGTACGGATGCTGAGTTGGTTCGCACGCATTCTTCAGACCTGGGCGGCATCCCTGGTCTGATTCAGCTATTGGAGACGAACAGGACCGAATTGGGGTTGGAGTATTATTCTGTTTCACCCACCACACTCGATGAAGTTTTCCTGCGCGTTGTTGGAGAGGAGGAGGAAGAGATTAGGAAGGAGAAGGGTAGTTCAGGTGGTTTCAAGAGGGCGCTGAAATGGCCTTGGGCTTGATTGAGTGAATGGCATTGTGGGCGTTCAAGATACCAAGCATATAGATTGAGAGAGCAAGAATGAAGTCGTACGAGCAAGCCTGGGGTATTGTTATCATCCTTTGAACGGTCAAAAACGGTCCAAGGTCCAGGGAAAAATCGTCTAATATACATGTTTATCACACCCATCTCAAGGTCAGAGCCCCGCCACGCTAAGACCAGTCGTCCACTCCTCGTTGTGAAGGACGTCCTCCCGCAGGTCTGAAAATACGCCTTTGGGTTGAGAATCATCACCACCATCACTACCATTACCAGATCTAGGCGGAGCACGGAGATGTTGGAGCCGAAAAGACGGCGCACTCAGAGTCGGGAGAGTAGGGCGCGAAGTCCTCGGAGTCGACTTGCGACGACGGCACCGGGACTGCGACGGCCGGGCGAGGGAGGATGAGAGAAGAGGCGGAGGACGGAGGAGACACCACCGGGAGCAGTGGGGGAGCGGCAGCCGGGCGACGAGAGAAGAGGGCAAAGAGGCGGCCGGCGAGAGCGCGGAGGAGGGCCAAGAGGCGGGAGACGAGGGAAGGGGGCGCGGCGGTCGGCCTGGAGTACGTCAGCACTTGTTCACAGCATGAGATGGCTCATAAATATGGGTATATCAGCATCTCCAGGCTATTGTGACGGCCTTGTGCTGCGGCATGGCACAGCTTGGAAGACACTCTTGCCATACATCCAATGTAATTGAGCGTGGAGGCAGGGCTGAAGGTGGTCTAGAACTCACTCTTCTTCTGCTGTCATCAGCTCCCGACGCAGCGAGCTTCCACTGCTCCACGACACCACACTCGCCACGGATCTGCTAGGAGCAGTCGGACGAGCAGCGGTGGGCGAAGAAGTGGTGGGCGACATTGCGCCGCGAGTCGCAAGCAGCGGCGTCCTCTCTCCTCCGCGGTTGGTCGCCCAAGCCCAACGCGGGTCTCCGAACGCGTTGTAGGCGGGCAAGTCCGCCAGCGCCTGCGGAGTGTTGGAGGCGAAGCGGGGAGGCGGGTTGTCGCGCTTTGAGGGCGCCATGGTGGTTGGAGAAGGGGACTAGTGACGAGCTTGGAGCCTCCAAAACTCGTTGGAGGAAGGATTTGAGTGTAGGAGGATAGTATCGAGGGCTACGGAGCAAGCTTGGGAGGGTCTTCATGCGTAGTGAGGCAAGGTGAAGACGAGTTGTCGCCGCAATTCACTTTCAAGTTGTACAAGCCAGAACAATACAATGTCTCCATTGAGATAATGTACTATAGACTGTGATAAGCTGTATAGTGTGGGATTATCTACCATCATTAGATCTGCGCCATTACGATGGAATAGAAGTTATATCTACCGATTATTCCAGCACTTTCGTAGCAACAATGTCAAGAGTTGTATCACGTATGCTAGTTAGCCTGCAGTAGCACTTGTGTCACACTTGTATCATTATCCTACGGCTACCTAAGGCTTCTTGGGCTACAGTGAATCATTCCTCAATGCACCTTGATAGACTTCCTGATAGGATCATCTTATAGATGCTTCATCTTCAAAAGCATCAACGGAATTCTGCTCCTTAAACTGCAAGACAAGCTACCTAGGTAGCTCAAGACAAACGAAAAATAATGAGCGAACGAATGATTTCCGATCCGTACTCTATGGGCGAAGTTGGTGCAGAGAGATGCAAATCAGCATTAACTTCTTGGCGCCAATTGACGTGTGGTCCCGGCGAAAGACGGGTCGTTGTTGTGACGCGAAGTCACGCTTCTGCCTGGCAGTACTTGGGCGCAGGCGCATACCATAGCCCGTGTCCCAATCGAAGCTGGGAACCAACGCGTATGATTCTGCTCCACAGGCACGTTCGTTCTTGCGTGTAATCTGGTGATCTGCGAGGACGTACATACAGCAGGTACCTATCCGCATTTCCCTCCTCACTTTTCGACTCGTTCCTGAGGTTGACAACCCGGCAGCGAGCCCATGGCGTAGTTACTCATGAGAGTTTTAGATCAGGTTCCCCTAGTCATGCGGATGGGAGTCTTGATCGTTGTTATAATGGTCAAACGGATATGCTTGTGATTTGAAAATGGCTGCTACCTATACGCACATTACTCGCCTACAGTGCAGGACTGCAATTCTCGAGACCAACTCCCGATATGGTTCGACGACTCTCTAGCATTGCAGTTACAGCTGACGAATTAGTTGGTTGTCCCTGGCGATAGAACTCTCTTCCGAGCTGGTGATCGTGACGGTGCCCTATTGCTGACGGAAACCGTTTTGATCCCTATTTGAGCTACCACTTTGAGCTGTGCTCACTACTTCTCGCTAACTGTTCCAGTTTTGCTGGGCTTTTGAGAAAGAGATAGTATCGAAGAGCTGATCCATTGCTTTGTGCTAATGTTTTTTCATTTATAGCAAGAGTGATACGGCTTCTACATTACTTCACGATGCTCACGATTCTACAAGCAGTCTTGAATTACGAACAGCTCATGATATGGTTCAATCTTACAAGATCCGAAAAGAAAAATGTATTCATATGCCACTCTCGAACGACCCAAATGAGGAACATGTCTGCCTATACGCGGTGATAGAGGATTTATGATGATGTAGCATTGTTGGAGCAGGGGCCAGACGCGGTATTAACCCTTCTTGCGCCCGCTACTTCACTCACTGCAACGGGAAGTACCGCGTTACTACAAAGGCTTGATCATGTCAATTCATCTTCAAAATACCACAGCTCTTACAGAACTTTACACCCTTTTCCCTAGATATCCGTATTGCGAGTTTGACAATGGATTTTTGCTACTGTGGCTCATACGACATGACTCCAGATGAACAAGAACGTTAACACATGGGCTTCCACTATGGCGCGACTTTGGGCAACAGCAACAACGGCGATAACCTCGCCCGGGAGACTCGAAGCGTTCCAAGCACCTTTGCTGACCGAGATATCAGTAACGTTCCAGTGATTGGAGGCCTTGATGAGCACTACCTTGACGGTGAAGGATTAAATGTTAAGCATGACATTTCTCCGGTAATCAGTCGTCAATACCAGTGCCACACCACTTTCCACTAGAGGGAGAGTACAAGTCGCAGCCAAAGTCTACCTTCGAGCAACGCCGCCGTCGGAATCTTACAAATATCGAAGTTCGTTCACTACGTGACACTCAATCAAGTCTTACACTCCTTGTATGGACCTCACGCCACCGCAGCCAAAGTTCGCAGGACTGGTACATCTGTCATTGTGAACGCACTACTCTCACCACCTGCTGAAAGCTATGATTACGTCGGAGGCACATACACACTAGATCTGGACTGGGCTATGGACATCATCGGCAACAGCGAGTTCGAGGACAGTCCACTGGGTCGCAAGATCCTGCGCTTGCAGTCACCACTACGTCAGCAGATCATGTCTGGCGTTAGTCTCCCGCAGACTCCAGAGCATTGCAGGGTGCACGTTGATGGGTTTGCCGTCAAAAATTGTTCACAGCTTTCCGGCAGAGCTGTTCAAGGACCTTCATCAATAGGGTTTGCCTTCTATCTAATCTGGAGCAATTCGAGGGTACGAAGGAGCAACGGTGGAGATGGATAGCGTGGGGTAATTTGGCGTAAAGATCAGCAGAGCAAGCCTCGTTGCATCTGTTAATAGGTAGGTCATAATCGGGTGGGATTTTCAATGGACACAGACATCGACCACAATGTTAGATTATTGGAACTATATGTGGTACATGTGTATCGTTCACGAGCCTAACAGCCCTCGTAATCATCTACTCGAAAGCGAAAGACTCAAGACGTGTTTCGTAAGAAAAGGAAATTAACAATCTAGGGGGAAACAAAGACACGTTTTCCAAATCGCAGCAAACCTCATCAACAGCAGAGAAGATTGAGAGCGACCGTGATCCATTAGACAACATATTGTAGCCTTTCATCAGATGAGCCTGCACAAGCTGACAATGTTTATGCCGCCAAGGCTAACATAGGAGCTTCTGCTGTAGTTTCTGCTGTATTTTCTGGTGGAGACTCTGCTAGAGATTCTGCTGGAGATTCTGCTGGAGATTCTGCTGGAGATTCTGCTGCAGATTCCGCCTGAGAATCTGTTGGAACAGCAGCCGAAGATTCTGACGTAGACGCTGCTGGAGGTTCCGACGTAGATGCTGCTGGAGATTCTGCTGGAGATTCCGCCTGAGAGTCTGTTGGAACAGCAGCCGAAGGTTCTGACGTAGATTCTGCAGAAGACGCTGTGGATGATCCGACCGGTGCTGGCGAAGGAATACCAAGCTGGACCTCCCTGCAAATTGCCTTATCCCAACATGGTACGTTGTCAGTGTTCGGCTTCCTAGTCTTGTCTGCCATCATCTTAGCGATGGCTGCACCTCTTTGATTGGCCGGAGCTTCGACTAGAGTTGAAGTCTCAGCAGCGTCGGGAGGAGAAACAGGCTCTTCGGGGTTGACGCTAGCCAACCGGAACTCCACTGCAGTAGCTGTTGCAGCTGAAGAATCAGGAGCTGGGCTACCAGCACTAGGCATCTCTGCCATGACTAAAGCCTTGTCGCCATCTATAGCGGGAGCGACGATGTCAGAAGCAGGTTTGTTCGTATAGGCCTCGCCAGGCTCTGGTATCGAAGTGGGGATCGCATAAGCGGTCCCAGCGGTGCTTGAAGAAAGGCTACAGGGGGGCGACTTGACTGGAGGAGCGGAAGTGCAAATATCGTAGCATCTGGATGATGTTAATAAAGCCTGTACGGCGTGAACTAGAAGTACTACGAAAAAGAGGTGCAGAGTTGCAAAGAGTTGAGCAAAAAGACGACTCACCCGCCATAAATCTGTCTTTTTTCGCCACAGGATGCTGTATGGTCGACGCAAAGCCACATTGCGGAGCAAGTCTTGGTCTTATGCGAGCCTGAAGTTGTCGTGTACAGAGCAGGAGGCGGGGTAATGAGAGAACCCGCTGGACCTCCTGTAGAGGATGGCATATGGTCAGAAATTGAAGGGCAGAGTGGCGCCGTGAAGGTTGGCATTCCCGTAGGACCGTCCTTGCACTCAGTCCAACATCTGGATTGATATCAGCGCGAACCCCCTTGGCAACGAAATTACATGTCTGCTACACTGGAGACATGAACGCGTCTACGTACCCTCCATATGTCATATCGCATTCGTTCACAGTGATAAAACACTTCTCCTGGCCGCAGTCTCGCCTTGCAGGACCGGACAGGGCAAGACGCACTAAGAAGAGAAGGATGAAAAGCCCGACCCTCATCGTATTGTAAAGGACAAAATCAAGAGGCCAAAGTTGTGATTGGTCAGTGATTGATGGGACAGAGTGACCGATGTTGCAGTCAGTTACGGGAGTGTAGCCGATGGAGCCTGTGTAGGGACTGTGAGTGGGTGACAAGATAGTCTGAATTTGCGGATGAAGAACAAACTGAAAGTGCTATGATCGCGGTGTTAAATAGAATATTTACTCGCGAACGCACTGCACCGACGCTTGAACTGTTGTATCATGATGGAAAACGATCGTAAGATCTGCGCCGATTACAACCACCCGACCCATTTTCGTTGCTTCGACTTCTGAGACTTAGAACAGTAGGCAACCGCCATGGTACCATGCAACCAGATCTTTGGCCATATACTGAAGATCGTTATCTCGACTTGGGTATAGGTAGCGAAGGTGGTAATGATGTGCAGATCGTCGCGGGAATGCCATGTGGAAGCACAGTAGCGGGCACAGGGTTGTATGGTCCGATGCACATGCGGTGTCTGAAGTTACGAGAAACATAACTGATACAGGCATCCTGCATGATAGGAGAGGAACCAGCACACGATATGCTCACACATTCCATAGTGAACCCTACACTTTGAGCTGAGACACATGAAGAACATCTCTTTTGGTAGGACAGGTTTGATCGTCCTCGGTCTCCCAATACAACGTACCATGAGACTCACAGCACTCGGATGGTGGAAAATAAGCGATAAATTGCACTCATTGTGACGGTGCCACTGCTGGTCTTCCTTCGAGAAGTGCCAAAGGTTCTGTCCGCATGATGAGTGGCGTGGTGAGGGGACGATAGGTGCAAGGTCGTAGTTCATTTGGTGGCCTGATCGAGAAGTTTTTGGTAGCTATCGTCCGTGTGTTCGATCGGATTGAGATTGTAATCATTGCTAATCCTAAGGCTAGCTGAGTCGTGTCTTGACTTAACCTTGGACACTTTCGAAGCCATTACTATTTGTCCCTAAAAATGAAGCTTTACTTCTCCGTATTCGAGCACTATACAGGTCTACAAGGCTGGTGTGGGTTGGGACAAAGTTTGAGGTTTGTCAAAAAACTTGTGAGAACGAAAGTGTGGATCGCAAGTCTTGAAAGGCGTACGACCTCAACTGTCAATTGGAAAGCCGTCGCCTAGAAAGACATGGCTGTCTTGCAACACCCCACGAAAGTGGCGAGACATCCTAGCACGACGTCGCACTGATTGGTGGAACCCGATTCCAGGCATCTCGAGTCCACCTTGCACTATGGAAAGGAGACGTTCAGACAGTCCACGAGGTCGTTATTTAATGTGGCACATGGGTGAACCAGATCTATGGAAAACAAAACCGGTCCGACTGCGATATGTGTCATTCAGCATCTCAACTAGGGTTCTGTACTGCAATGGGAGGCGAGAGACGCAAGGCAGTTTCGATCGAGCGATACGAACTTGTGTTGCCAACCACTGTTGATAACCACCGACATGGTTTGCCAACGTAGCTCAGTCAATCACCTTTGCGGATGATAACCTGATTCGTGACTTAGGGCCAGCTAGCCATGCATCGCTACCGAGCGCAAGTTGATAGAGTTGTCCTTGCTGTCCGGCCTTTCATACCAGCTCTCGTGGTTGTAGTCTTTCTTCGGTCCCGCGACCTCGTACGTGATGCCAAAGGTCTGCAGGCTTGCACCATGGAATCTGAACTCGCAACCACTCTTGTACGTATCTGGGTCGCACCAATGATGTCCCTTAGCTTTCCACCCACAGTTCTCGTCTGCCGAGTGGTAGAACTCCCACGTGTTGAAGAATGCAGCAGTGGATTCACCATCCTCATCGGCGAACCATGCTGTGATCTTGTCTGTTGTCTCGTTGTAGCGGTAGATATAGCGGCGGCTCGCAGGGAAGGAAAATCCATTGTCCATTGTGAAAATTCCCTCCTCAATGTACAAGTACTCAGCGGAGTACGCGGAGTCGGTAGGCGCACGGGGATGGAAATGTGCCTGGCCTTTGAGTACACCGCCTGGGGTAGTATTACGGGTTGCAATATTGCGACGTAGAGACCAGACGCCTTGCATGGCCCGGAAGACTGCTGCTGCAACAAACTTGGCGTCCTTGTTTGAAGCATTGAGCAAGCTGGCGACCTCTTGCATGACGTCTTCAGCCTCGCTAGAGGTGTTGGTGTTTTGATAGCGGGACGGGAAAGCAGGACCCATCTGCCCATCAAACATCACGTCAACTCGCTTGACACCAGCCTCACGTGCAATCTCCTCGACAAGTCCAACGTAGTCTGCCATCCAGAACTGAGGTACTTGTAGAGAGCCATCAAACTGAAGTTGATGTCGCATGCGCTCAGTGGTTTCGAGCTGCTTCATGCCCGCTACAGTAGGATTGGTGGGATCAGGAGTCGACGTTGCCCAAGTATTGACAATGAGTTGTGCTTGCAGCTCCATGACTCCCCAATAGGGGCCCTCATAGAAGCCGACAAAGCCGAGGGTCGGGTTATCCGAGAAAATGGACCCACGGGTGAGAAGGAAGGGTATACGAGGACAAGATGCGTCAGGGTAAAGAAAACCTTTGGGTGTGTCGTGTAGGTAATCGAGGCTGGTCTTGTAGCCAGTGGCTTCAATGATGCCGGCGACGTCAGCAATTTCACTTCTTGTCTGCTGTTTTTTTAGTGACATATTGTAGCAATTCGATAAGCGCGAACTTACACCTGCCTTACTCGACCACGGTTGATTGTGTTGCAATGAGATATCGAACGAACTCCTGTCAGTGTTGTGCTCGACCTTTTGCACCCAACCTTGCACAGGGACAATAAGCCCGCTCCTGACGAACTCGAGATAGGTATCGGTGATACCGCAGTACCCGGGGTACTGCGTTTGATCGGGCGTGTGCACTAGCGCTTCATTCCCATACTCCTGCTGGTCACCACCGATAACCGAGCGCATGAAGTCATGCCCCTTCTTTGCTTTTTCAGGCGGAACGGTTGTGATTGAAGCTGATATTTGACCTTCTCCGCGGCGCGAGAGGTTGTAAAGAACTAGGTCAAGTGGGAGGAAATGTGGCGCTAGGTTGGTGTCCTGCGTCAATTCCTTGTAAGGATCGTGAGGGAGATAGCGCGGAAGACAATAGAAAGGGCGGTTGACGATGTGGTAGATCGTGCTATTCGCATGGACAGCTTTGCTCTTTCCAGGTGCGTTTCTAGCGGCGGAGATCTGGAAAGCAGCTTGCGCAGCAGCTTCTGACCCGCTGATGCCTCCACCAACGACTACGATCTTACCAGACTGTGGAGTGAGCGAGTGTAGATCGCGGAAGACGGAAGAGTGCTGTATGTTGGGTGAACCCTCGCTTGGCGAAGGGCTCGAGATCACTCGCCCTGGTTTTTCGAAGAATCCACTCGCAATGACCAAGTAGTCAAACGTTCGTGTTCTTGTCTGATGCGTCACCGAATCGTAGGTTGAGACCTGCCATGTCTTCATGTCGTCAAGAATGTCCGCGTTGATGACTTTGCGGTTCAGGTAGATGTTCGACTCGAGGCCGAATTTCTCGGCGTACTTTTCAAGATACCGGCCGACCTGCCATGCTTTTGGGAACATTGGTGGCGTTGAAGGTGAGGACTCGCCATTCACAGTATCTGATAGATCGACGGATGTCCAAGAAAGATCTGAGAAGGCTACAGTGAAGCGGCTCAGGTTCGTCCTCATCTCAGGGCTGCATTTGACACCGCGCTCGCCAGGCTGCGCTCTCCACATGCCACCAACGCGATCGGCAGCCTCATACACCGTCACAGCGTAGCCACCATGCTGCAGAAATGCCTTTGCTGCTACCAAACCGGAAGGCCCCGCGCCGACGATGCAGACAGATCTTGTGAGACTCATAGTGTCAGGTACAGGCTCCAATGCTGCAGGTGGGTTAGTAAGCCTGCTTCTGCTATGCACTGCTGTGCTTCAGAGAGGCAAAACATACAATCAGGGATGAGAAGACTGATCCATATGCCGGCAAGGTGCGAGGAAACAGATTAAGAAAAGATTTGTATGGTTGAGGACTCTGATAACATGCGGTACAAGCGGGGATTCGGAAAGCACGCTAGCAACAGCCCCTCGGTTCTCGGCCAATGACGATTACGACAAGATGCAGTGAAGAAAAGAAGGGCATACAACATCCATTTCATTCAGTCAGAACCCCAGAGTTGATGAGCGTGCCTTTCATAGTCTGGTACTGTGTTTTGCCGGTCTATTGAGATTAGCTAGCTACGTGGCAAATACAAGCAGGATAATCGTACTGAGAGCAAATAACGAATATGACCCTGAAACAATTCGTCAGTGGACTTTCACTGGGCATGAACATGCGACACGTGTACGTACCAGGTCATCGACGTGACGATGCTGCTCGAATTCCACTCTGGCGAACTGTCTCATGTCGGCCCTGGTACTTGCGTCCGGTATGTTGTTGGTACTGCGAACAATGTCTCGCCACAACGATATCACTTTCTGTCTTTCTATGAACTGTAAAGCACTGTCAATCGGACCTTCTGCTGATGGCTATGTAGAGCTTACACGATCGAGTCCTAGAGGTTTCTTCCCCCGCGCTTGCAGCCGGGAAGGCGGCTTCGTAGCTATCGTTGCATACCTGCGCAGCATCCCCTCGTTAACTCCTGAATGATACAGGGATTAATGGTAAAGCAGGCAGACTAAGTAGGAGGGCAGAGTTTGGGATGGACTGAGATGGCGCTCACGATGAGGCTCTGTCTCAAGATACATGCTGACGTAAAACGTTGGACTAGGCCGTGAAGGTTTTAGCTGCAGGAGCGCCCTGTCGCGTCGGCCTTGTCTTTCGTGGCCCCACCGGCGCGTCTCCCCAAATTTTGACCGCTCAGATCCACAGCTCTCGGTATCCACCACAACGCTAATGGTCAAACCTCACGCAAGCCGTTTCGGTGTACTCGGAGGACGCCATGTGTTTCGGACACTCTGATTCAGCGGGCGAGAGTAACGGCATGGCCACTCGCGGCAGCACTAACAAAGCTGAGCTCAAGAGAGGGAGGAGTCCCGCCAAAGCAGAGCAAGCTGAGCCCCAGGATTGCCGTAAGCTTTCCAAGCTCGACTCCACAGCCTCGACTCTTGCAAACAAACAGCAAACCGTACCTCAGAAGCCGGACGCTTCACTCAATGTCAAGAGTGACACCGAAGCTGACAAGAAAATTCGAGGCCGCACCTCACTATCATCAGAAAACACTCTCTCAGCGCTGAGCATAACCGAAAACACTCCGCTTAGGCATCGCACTGCGTTCCTCGAGGCACACAATGCGCCCGAGTCACTATACTCCTACACGTTCCAGCAGTTTGTTGGCCTCAGTATCTATTCTGCCCTCCGCTTCCAGTTCAAAAGTTCGGTTATGATGAGTAACGCCGAGCTTGGAGTGTGTTTCGACCTCATTGCGAAGACATCGCAGCAAGACTACCAGTCATCACGCAAAGGCTGGGACCCCGGTTACAAGATGCTAGAGATGTCCGACAAGCAAATGATGTACCTTCTAGTGCGCCAGGCAGAAGGCTATGTGGGTACGAACAAAGTCAGCGAGCCGGCTTCCTCTTCACCCAACGCAGGCGAGATCATCGGCTTCCTTTCTTTCAGATTCGAACCTGAAGATGAAGATCTCAACTTGATGAGGCCAGTTCAGTACATCTACGAGCTCCATCTAGATGACCGTCTTCGAGGACAAGGTCTTGGTGGTCACATGCTGCGTTGGGCCGAGGAACAAGCCCGCCTGGTCAAGATCAGTAAGACGATGCTGACGGTGTTCACTGTGAATGAAGGGGCCAGGAGACTGTATGCCAGAGAGGGATATGTGAAAGACATGACCAGTCCTGGAGATCGAGTCACAAGGAGGAGGGTCATCAAGCCCGACTACATCATCATGGGCAAGGAGATTTAAGTTCTGACGGTCACGGCGGTGCGTTTTCCAGCGTCATCATGAGCAAGAAGCTTGAAGCTCTTGTTCTGCATTTTCGGCGTCAACATGAGTACGTGGGCAGCGTCACACTTATGAGAGTGAATTTCCGGCGTTTAGCATAAGATACCCTTACACAAGCTGGAGCCGTTCACGGTATCCGAGATCACGAATACAAAGAAATCAACTAGGTACTACAGTGCGTGCAATTTGCTTCACTTGTGTCGCTGTCTCTGCGCCTATCGCCAAAACTAGATTACAATCCCGCTTGCCCCTGCCAAATCCAGTGCACCTGCCAGAGCATGTAGCGGGGTGGTTGGTGACAGATTCTACTTCAAAGCGTCACCCTCCCTCTTATCGCACGCAATATTGAAACATGATGACTCCATCAGTGTGTATATGGCATTGTGGCTAACTTGTCTACTGGTGGTCTAGGTGCCATTGCTGGCCTACTCTGCAACGCTCCCTCTCTTGTATTCCACCGCAATGTGGTTGTGTCAAAGTTGCGGATTGAAAGATGAGGCAGGGCTCTCTTAATCGCTCTTGAGCGTTGACGATCCTGAATGTCTTTCGGAGCTGTATCACTCTTGCTTCTTTCAGCGTTGTGCTCGACGATCTGTGCGTTTTGTTCCCGTCATGCTCCCTATCAACAACGCCAGCGTATGCCATGTTTGAGAGTAAGTGTGCACCAGTCTTTGCGAACAAACTGTACACCCCGAGTTGACTTCGGATCCGTAGCCGCTCCGCGCTTACCCTCCGTCTACATGTCACACCAATCCTCAATTTTGTAAGATGCGAGATACTTGTGTCCTGCGTATGCATGCAAGGTAGCAGTAGCTGTGATACTTCAGATGATCTGGTACCCATTGAGGGTATGCGTTCGGAGATGAATTACGAAGTACAACGAAGGAGGCGTGCACACCTGCACTTCGGGTCGACAGCAACCCACTGTTCTTTGCAGGACGTCCGTGAGAACTCTTCGGCGGTACCTCTGGCGTTTCTCCTAGATCAACTCCTTTAGCAGTATCGCTGAATCGGCTTTCCCATTGTGAACTTGTAGCGCTATCTGCAACGAGCTTCCGCGACAAACAAGAGGGTATCATTGCATAGTACACACGTTCTTAAAGCTCAAATCGTCTTTCCGCTGTGCCTACACTCTAGTTGCATCCACCTCCTCGCGCTCTCCCCTCATATCTTCCCTCTGCTCTCTCTGGGCAGCCTCCAGCCTCGCTGCCTCCTGGACTTGACCCAGCGTGCTCGGATGTGTCGGCGGCCCGCTCCTACCCGTGGTCGCAAGATCCTGCAGCAGCTCCTTGAGATGATCCGTCTTGTTCTGGTTACCCGTCCATGTGACTGCTTGGCTATAGTACAGGATATCCCAGGCATCGTCGCTTAGATTGTGTAGGAACGTGGGCAGCGCGCGCGCCTTCTGGTATGAACGCCATAACACCCGCCGCACATCGTCATTGGCGCCGACATAGGCAAATGCGATTGCCTGGTTGAACAATTTCAGCGCAGGGGTGTCGTTGTATGAAGGATGCAGTTTGACACGCAGGTTGCGCAAAGCGGTGGCGTGTTCGGGGTCTGCGCGCGCGGCGGCCATACGCTGGGCCAGGGTGGCGGTGCGGACTTCTGCCATCTCATACGGGTCGGGGGCGAGTTCTGCGTCGATCTGAGTCAGGTCGTTCGGATCGCGCTGGGGCCTGTGTTCGTCAATCAACTTCGAAAGATCGTCCAATCTCTCCATAATGCGCGGGTCGGCTATGATCCTGTCGATCTGGGCTGCTAACTCGGGTGGGAGAAGCTTGATGTCTTCCTCGTTCTCGTCCTCGTTGGGCTCAGGAACAAAGTTGTCGGTGTCGTATTGGGCTTCTTCCAATTTCAATAGATTCATTTGACCCTCGACGTCAGACAACATCTCATCCAACTCTTTGTCAAGTTCGCTTCCAAAACTTTCCTTTTTCAGTATGTCGCGCATTTCAAGTATCAGTTCATCGACCTCTTCATCATTAAAGGTATCGTTGTTGTATTCTGGGGCTGTCGTCCCATCAATTTCTTTCTGGAAAGTGGCCCATTGCTCTTTTTCTTCCGGTGTCTCATTCTCGCTCGCAGCGCTGAGTTTTGCTTGCAACTTGGGATTCTTGTTGACCTTCTCAGTGGCCTTGTCCATGAGCGCTTGAAACTCGGGGTCCTCGAAGTCCTCAACTTCGGGCAGTTTATCTAGCACAGCCTGGAGATCCGCCCTCTCGTCCCCAATATCTGGGTCGTTCATCAGCTCAGTGAGAGATTCGTGGATCGTGGTGCGCAAGGCAGCGCCAATCTCATCCATCGCTGGTTGAGCTTCTTTTTGAGCTTGCTCTTCTGCCTTCTGTATCTCCTCTCTTGTCATGATGTCGTCCTTTATCTCCTTCAAGTCTTCTGCCAGTTCTGCGAACGCCGGGTCCGCCATCAGGCCTTCAATCATGCGCTTATCCAACTCGCCAGAGTCGTAGTCCGGATTATCCGACCACTCCTGGAGCATAAGGTATAACTTCCGCCGCTTTTTCTGTTCTGCGACCGAGCCAAGCTTCACTTTCGTCCTCTTGCCTGTTGCGTAATCGGTTTCGTATATATTGATGGGAGGCTCTTCGCCCTCTTTGAACACTGGCGGTATGAAACGTTTCGTCATCCTTTCTGGATCCTGCTGCTCTGCCAGCATCTTTTCGAGTGGTCCAACCAGGCTGGCAAGCCTTTTGTCTTTCTTGACTTCCTGCATCATCTGCTCGTGAGATGCTTTCAGGGCGTCGGCATCACTTTGTCCATCCGTCATCTGTTTATGTCGCTGTTTTCGAGCTTCGGACTCTAAGCGTGCTTTCTCCGCATCTCGCGCTTTTGCTGCCTTCGTCTTCTTGCAGCGAACAAATTGCGCAGGTAGATGACCCGTAGAGGGACATCGTAGAGGTTGCGGTCGCGCGAGCGCGCGAATAAGCGCTGCCGATGGTATGTAAAATCTCGAACGGTTCATGCCTACTGCGTTGGATTCGTGCTCGATCGATGGCGTGGTCTGGGCTTGTGTCAAGTGCAACTCGCGGCTGCAAACCGCGCAAACATTTGCCTTGGCACCTCCGCAAACTCCGCGTGGATCGCCCCTTATTTCGTGGACAAGTCCATAAGGTTAAGTACTCTGGCCCCGCATTTGATTATGGCCTCGCATCAACACATACATAGGTAGTGCATCTGACTTTTATTGTTCCATTGTCTACCTATATTACTGTATACAACTACGCACAAAGAACGATCCCAAGCATAGCCACGACCAGCGCAACCCATGCATTGCTGTCCATCTTCTCGCCAGCACTCACGTAGTAGTTCATGCCTGCACCTCCTTCCATGATTTGGTCTGTCACATTCTGTCGTCCAACAGGCTCATCGACGCCGTTGAAGATGTCGACCGCCTTGATTGCTGGTCCAACGTTAAAGAAGTCGACCAGCACAAATTGGGGCTGTCGAGCAACCTCCTGTCCGCATTTCGTCATATGTTCCCCGAGCCCACCTGTTCTGTCCCAGGAGTTTGTATCGTTGATATTGCGGATGTCGGGAACCTCGATGCCCATCGCTTGCTGCCAGTACAGCATGTGATTCATCAGCATCAGCTTGCCTGAGTCGCGTTCCTGGTCGACCGTGGTTTTGTTGGAAGGCCGGTCGGGTTTGCAGGCGAAGTCTGAAGCATTGCGGACGTCGTACGAATTCTCCCAGACAAAGTCGAATTGGTTCAGCAGGTACGGCGCGACCATTTTGTCCGGATTCAGCGGCTGTACGAAAGTTACAAGTCGCTCCCCCTTGTTGACCATCTCCCCGAGTGTTGGCCATGTCTTCTTGAACTCGCTGGACGGCGGAGGGGGATGGCTGATATCTGGCGGCACGTATCCAAAGTGTGCAATGTCTGCTCGGGCGTATTCGCTTTGGAGCTCGTTTGCGCTGATGCCATCCATGTTTACCAACACCAACGTCACCACCTCGTTGGGGTTTGCAGCCATCCACAAATGGATCTCCCACAGCCACTGCTGGAGTGTCCCGACGTCAAACAGGCCGCATGACGTGTGGCAAAGATGGATCTCCCTTGCACCTGTAGCTTTGTTCTGCGCGGGATGGATCTGTGCCGAAAGCAGCCGGACACCAGCGTTGAGCTGTACGGTACTGTTGAAAAATTGGTTGCCAAATGAAGAAAACCCTGTTGAGACATCGCGCAAGAACGGCGAGTCATGCGCTCCCAGATGGGTGATTTGGTCGTAAGAGATGTCACACAGTTCAGGGGCGTTGTTGCAGGCTCGCGCTGCGACTGCGAATGGGACGGCGGCCAGCGCCAGAAACAATGAAACGAACGGCAAGGTAAGTTGTTTCATCGCTTGAAGGATGTTGACAAGCGATAAACGGCGAAAGAGACCAAAAAGTAAGGAAACAAAAGTCGGTTATATGAACATGCGAAGTTATTGAACAAAGGCGACAACGCTGCGTGAAGTGTAGAGGTGAGTCGTATCTTCAATGAGGAGAGTCGACGCACAATAGCACTGTTCAGTTAGTGACCGCAGTTTCTGAATGCGGTGAGCGGTGCCTGACTCTAGACAACACATCCCTACCGCAGATCAACCGACGCAACCGACTCAGCCTCATCATTATGGAAATTGGGCCGTATATGAACTGCTGCATTTCTTGCCCAGTCTCTCGCCCAGTCTCTCGCCCAGTCTCTTGTCCAATAACCCGAAACACTCATTTATGTTAGGGGTTATTTTTTAAGGCAAGAACGTCCTGGCTAGCTCTCTCCGCTGCTGCAACGATACCAGAGAGTCTTCGCATACCGCATCGACGCGTTTAATGTCGATCCAAGCGTGCCGGGACGCACGGTGTAACGGGACACTTTTTCTTCCGGCCGCTCGGATTACCCGTAGCACACTTGTATGCAGACAAGCGTAATGCGCATCTGTTCTGCAGCTCTCGCTCTCCTAGCACATTAGTCTCCGATGCCGAAAGGAGCGTTATTTGCTATGCTGGCGCCTGTTCTGTCATTGCTGTTTACCAACTCTTCTTTAACACCCCCCTGTTTGTTCGCGACAGTACATATCTACGAAGAGTTCGGTGGGCTAGAAAGAAAGCTACGATAGCAAAAGCTAAGACTGCAGCCTTAAAGAGTTGGTTTAGGGTAGTAGAGGCACATCCCGGCAGTTTCTCCGTGCAGACAGCAAGATCGTCGAAACGCATCTGACCGGCCGTGCGTCTTAAGCGACATCTGGCGGCAGTAGCGTGCTGAGATGTCGCCGAGGGGGCAGTGCGCGCTATGGCTAACAACTACGGCCTCCACTGATCACCTAGCCTCAGACAGCTCTTATTCCCGGTCGTGCAGGCAGCCGTTTCCTGCTCCCATAGTCATGCTCGATCCCCGTCGCATAGGTGCCTCCGTTGCATAGAGCCGTGCGAGAGGCCACAACAACAATCCTTTATAACGTTAGATCTGCTCTGTTTAATCGCACATCGCCCACATGTGCACCCCTCTGACGTCGCTTGCATGAGACAGTCTCAGCGCCGATGAGGAGGCGAGGCGGCGCAGACGCTGGGCTCCCGATGCTGCCAGCACCTGCAGCCTGATTGCATGCACTGCCTCGTCAGCCTGCCTTCTCTGCCTTCTCTGCCATCTCTGCCTTGATGCAGCTATGTCATCCTACTCTCACTACCACAACCGTAGTTTGCGTATCTGCTTCTACAGGCCAGACTTCAAGCTACTACCGCCATGCGGCTTCTCCACTTTGACGCGCTGGACAGACTGATCTTGACAGACTTTCGCGGCAAGCCAATCCCGCCCTACGCTATCCTGTCGCATCGATGGAGCGACTCCGAGGCGCTCATCGAAGACGTATTGAACGGGAGCTACGAAGAGAAAGAAGAGGGCTACCAGAAGCTTAGGTTTTGTGCCGAGCAGGCGGCTCAGGACGGGCTGCAGTACTTCTGGCTCGACACATGCTGCATCGACAGATGGGACAACAACGAGCGGTCGAAGGCGATCAACTCGATGTTCCAGTGGTACAGGAACGCGGCCCGATGCTACGTCTTCCTGTCAGACGTGTCGCTGACAGCTGTGACGGAGACGCCTACAAGCCCGTGCAGCGACTGGGAGGCCGCGTTCTGTGCAAGCCCATGGTTCACTCGAGGATGGACGCTGCAAGAGCTGATCGCGCCAGTGTCGGTCGAGTTTTTCTCACGCGAAGGACAGCGCATAGGTGACAAAGCGTCGCTCGATCGACGACTCCACGACATCACCGGCATCCCGCTTGCGGCACTGCGCAACAGTCCTCTAGACCAGTTCAGCACATCGGAACGAATGCGGTGGGCCGAGAAGCGCACAACAACCGAAGAAGAAGACATCGTGTACTGCCTGCTTGGACTTCTTGGCATCTCCATGCCCGTCACGTATGGCGAAGGACAGGAGAGTGCACGAAGGAGACTGCAGGCTGAGATTAAGGCGACTGATAGCGCACCATCGATCATTCCCTTCTCTCGAAACGAGTCTTTTGTGGGTCGCGAATCACAGCTTGCCAACCTTGAAGCAAGGCTCTTTAGCGATGACCAGACTACTACCATGCTAGCGATAGTGGGGCTAGGTGGAACGGGCAAGTCGCAGCTCGCGCTAGAGGTTGCACACAGGACAAGACTGAAGAACAAGGACTGCTCGGTCTTCTGGATGGACGCAAGCGACATAGACAGCATCTCCCGGTCATATGCAAGCGTTGCCCGGAAGCTTAGCGTACCTGGTTGTGACGATGACCAGGCAGACACAAAGCAGGTGGTGAAACGCTGTGTGGCAGCAATAAGTGCGCGACAGTGTTTGCTGATCTACGACAACGTAAAAGGCACCGCTCTACTGCCTAGTGACTCGTATACAAGAGAAGCTGCAGACTCAGCCGACTTTCTGCCACTTTCTGAGCTGTGTTCTATCATCTTCACAACAACAGAAAGCGACATAGCTAAAGCTCTCATTCCACAAAATGTCATAGCGCTGCACGAGCTGACGCCAGACACAGCGCTGAGAATGCTGCAAAACCGCCTGACAGCGCCGCTTTCAAACACTGAGCAGCAAGGAGCCATGCACTTGCTAAGGGAACTATCGCGTCTGCCTTTAGCAGTGTCGCAAGCGGCAGCGTGCATGAACGCAAGCAACATAACACTGCAGCAGTACCAAGCACAGCTAGACGAGCATAAAGGAGCAGCTCTTAAGTACAGCGATGGCTCGTGCGAAGACAAGCAGCGGGAATCTGGTCTGAGAAAGACCGTAGCTGCTACATTATCACTCTCTATAGACCACGTCCAGCAGAGCAACGCGGTTGCTGCAGAATTTCTTTATTTCGTTGCATGCGTAGATCGAAAGGACATCTCGCTAAATCTTCTAGAGGCAGCTTCGCCGCGAACCCGCGAAGATGCAATTAAGGTACTCGACCAGTATGCGCTTGTCACAAGGCGACCTGCTGAGTCAGCACTTGATGTTCATCAACTCGTCCATGATGCGCTACGAAAGAGGCTGCAGACGGAGGGGAGACTCCAAGAACAGACTCAACGCACAATCAAACAGCTACTCCAGGTGTTTCCAAACGACGATCACAGTAACAGAAGCAAATGGAGGCGACTGCTTCCCCACGTACAGTATGCACTGTCGCACAGTGAGGGTAATGATGACAAGGAGAGATTAGATCTTGCACAAAAATGTGCTACGGCACTGTATAGTGATGGACAATACAAGGGAGCTGAAGAGCTGTTTGTGCAAGTGATGGAGACAAGGAAGAGAGTGCTTGGCGACGAGCATCCTGACACGCTGACCAGCATCGCCAACCTGGCGTCAACGTACTGGAACCAAGGGCGGTGGAAAGAGGCAGAAGAGCTAGAGGTGCAAGTGATAGAGACAACGAAGAGAGTGCTTGGCGACGAGCATCCTAACACGCTGACCAGCATCGCCAATCTGGCGTCAACATACTGGAATCAAGGGCGGTGGAAAGAGGCAGAAGAGCTGGAGGTGCAAGTGATGGAGACGAGGAAGAGAGTGCTTGGCAACGAGCATCCTGACACGCTGCTTAGTATAGGCAACCTGGCGGCGACGTACAGGAATCAAGGGCGGTGGAAAGAGGCAGAAGAGCTGTTTGTGCAAGTGATGGAGACAAGGAAGAGAGTCCTTGGCGATGAGCATCCTGACACGCTGACCAGCATCGCCAACCTGGCGTCGACGTACTGGAATCAAGGGCGGTGGAAAGAGGCAGAAGAGCTGGATGTGCAAGTGATGGAGACAACGAAGAGAGTGCTTGGCAACGAGCATCCTGACACGCTGCTTAGTATAGGCAACCTGGCGGCGACGTACAGGAATCAAGGGCGGTGGAAAGAGGCAGAAGAGCTGTTTGTGCAAGTGATGGAGACAAGGAAGAGAGTCCTTGGCGATGAGCATCCTGACACGCTGACCAGCATTGCCAACCTGGCGTCGACGTACTGGAATCAAGGGCGGTGGAAAGAGGCAGAAGAGCTGGATGTGCAAGTGATGGAGACAACGAAGAGAGTGCTTGGCGACGAGCATCCTGACACGCTGACCAGCATGCATAACCTTGCCTATACACTGTGGTCGCTTTCTTGTCACAAGGAGGCTATTGCCTTGATGGAACCATGCTTCCAGTCGCGTCAGCAAGTCCTCGGCGAACAACATCCTGATACACAATCGTCGCTCGAGACACTAGATAGCTGGCGAGCAGACTTAGGCCAAGGGCCTTTCTAGCGCTAATTGCATTTAAGTGTATGAACAATAAAGAGCCTAAAGCTTAATTAATTATTGATTTAAGGGTGGTAATAACGTTAATGCAGTAGTAAACATTAAAATCTAATAATTCTATAACGTACCCCACGGGCGAGCGGATCAACGGGCGAACGAATCACTTTTGCCAAGCCCCCACCAAAACTTGACCCATCATGGCCCAAAACACCACACTTTGGTCCTGCACGGTACAGTACAGGCTGGAATATCATTCAGAGACCTCTTCTACATCAATCTTGCACGTTCGCGCGTTGTGTCCTGTCTGATTGCACCTTCCACAGCGCCGTTGGGTTGGCTCGCCCTCTTGAGTGCGCACCTGCTTCTTCGCCCTCTTCCCATCACCACGCGCCCCAAACTCCTTTAGAGCTGCCAGCCGCTGCCCATCTTCAACTATTAGGGTCCCTTCCTTCTGAACTCGCTTTCTTTTATGTGATTTTCGTCGCATGGCGGCCTCGTTAGCCGCTCGAAGCTCCTTGATTTCCTGTTGAGCTAAAACCAGCTTGTGGGATAAGATTGCTCCCCCCTTTGCGTAGTGCTCAAGCGCGCTTAGAACAGAATTTGGTGAGCTGCCCTGCTGCCTCTTATACTTCTCTCGAATCAGAGTTGATTGCGACCCAAATTCCAGGGTGTTGCTGGGGGTTTGCGACTGCCAGGGTACGTTGTTGGTGGGGAGTGGTGGTGATGGAGTCCGAAGCTTCACATTAAGGGCTGATATGACCCGTTCTGGGTCAAAGGGGACCAATCCAGCACCTCGAAACCCTCCTTGGATATTGCTAGAGGTAAACACCGCATTATAGGCTGCTTTGAAGCATGGCAGGAACTCAGTCTTTGTGATGTGGCTGATTCGGTTGCGCATAAGCAATTCGGCTTGGCGCCCGTACGCTGTCTTCAAAGGGGCAAAACAGCCCACATCAAGTGGCTGCAGAAGGTGCGATGAGTGCGGAGGCATACATAGAGTAACAATCTTGTTATCCTTGCAGTATTTCTGGAATTGGAGCGATTCGTGGCTCTCGTGGCCGTCAATAACCAGCAGTCGGTGGGTACCAGCAGTACGCTCCTTTGTATGCGCGTCAAAGTGCTTCAACCACTCAAAACCAAGCTCATTAGTAGTCCAGCCGTTACCGGAGACTGCAATAACCCAATCCTGGGGCAGGTCTTCCTCCTTGTACCAGCCGGAGAGGTGGTGGCGCGCCTTGAAGATAACAAAGGGTGGAATGGCCCATCCTTTGGCATTGATACCCTGTATGACCGTTGTCCACTCCCGGTTGCCTGGCTGGACTGCCTTTGGCCTTCCTCGTCTCTCTGAAGCTGTAACAACTGCTCCCTGGGAGATCTGGCCCATCATGAAGCCTGTCTCGTCAAAGTTGTACGTGTCGTCATCTAGGATACCATACTTGGCTTTTGTGTTTCGCACCAGGGAAAACCAGCCCTGCACAACCCCAGAATCCTCGCAGAGGGCTCGCTTGTAGTCATACCTGCGATTAAACTTCACTTTGAGCTCTGGTTGACGCTTTACAAACGTACTGGGCCAGTTTGTGCCAATAGGGCCCAGATTGCGCTCTGCGCGCAGAGAATTGGCCATTGCAGCCACATCTGCCAGCCAAGGGCCAAATCCTCGCTCTTCCAGCTCAAGTATGTGATTAACAATCACCTGCTCCTCTAGATCATCCAGCCCTCGTGAGTTGGGCATAGTATCGCCTCGTGAAGGTCGTCCAGTGAGTCGATGGCTTAGTGTAGCTTGAGGAACGTTGTAGATAGCTGCAGCGCGTCGCTGTGAGAGTTTCGCGTCTTGTTTAAGAGCTTGAAGCGCAAGCTGTATTTGAGCTTCCTTTAACGCGTTAAGATTAGGTTGTTGTTGAGGCATTGGTATGTAGAGGATACTTTGGTGGGGGCTTGGCAAAAGTGATTCGCTCGCCCGTTGATCCGCTCGCCCGTGGGGTACGTTATAACTAACTACAGCTTTGATGCATTTACTGTAGTAAGAAAATTGCGCAGGTGTAACGGAATGAGCACTACTAAGGAAACGGATAACTACACGACCGGGAATAAGAGCTGTCCAAGGTTAGGTGATTATTAGAGCCGCAGCCCTCGACCACAGCCCTCAGCCACAGCGCGCACTATCTATGACAGATATCTCAGCACGCTAGAGTGAGCTACTGCATGCCAAGGGGCCGCTAGTCGTGCACGTTTGGTCAGACTCGTATCGATGATCTTGCTGTTCGCGCGGAGAAACTGCCGGGAAGCACACTCCATACCCCGATTTAACCCTCTCAGCCGGCAGTCATGATCTTTCACATATTGGCTTGCTTTCTAGGCCACCGAGCACTACATAACCACATGCTGGCGCAAACGAACAGGGGGGTATCAGAGGACAGTTGATGGACGGTGCTGACAGAACGAACAACAGCGTGGTCAACAACGCGCTTTTTGGCGTCGGACGCTGATGTGCTGCGAGAATAAGAGCTGCAGAATGAACACGCATTGTATTTGTCATTGTACAAGTGTGCTAGGAATATTCCGAGCCACCGGAAGGAAAAGTGTCCCGGCACACAGTGCGTCCCGGCACGCAAGGATTGACATTACAGCACTTTCTTTGCTCTAGGACCCTTTATCGCGTACTTCGTCATGTCGGACAGCCATGATAGCGGGCCGCCTCTGTGCACGTCCCACCACAGCGCATGCACCGGCAACAAAGCAGGCGAACTTCGAGGCTTAACTTTGCAAACGCAGACCATCTCAGAACCGACCTACACAGATCCAGCGACTGGAACGCCATGTTTTGAGCACAGTGAGTACTTTAATAAACAGTCCACGAAAGTGAACACTGGGCTTCACCTTGACGGAACATTCAATGACGGCGGAGACGTCGCCAAGCACTGCAGAGATGAGCATCTGCCTAACAAGAACGCTCCCGTCATAAATGTAGACTTTGGCCACTTCAGCGTACCCTCTCGTAGTTCACCAGTGGTTCTGACCCCTCCTTCAACCAAAGAGCTTGTCTGCGCACTTGTGCACCCACCCGCATACGCCTTCCTCCACGGCGTACTCTCGATCCAGTGGGTTATAGGCTGTCTTTTCGTGTTCCGAGTTTGCGACGAAAGACTTGTGTTAACAGCTGAGTCGAGTGTAAGGACAGAAGGACGATGTCTGGGCATGCCAGGTGTGTATCTGGAGTGGCTGTGCGGCGATCACGAAGAATCGAGTCCAACTGAGCAGAGTATGCTGTTAACGAAAAAGTATTTCGAGTCGCTGTGCCGTGTGGGGGACGTGAGTAAACGTGGGTGATATGGTCTGCAGGTCAGCACCACCGAGACTGCATTGTATAGTCGCTTGTACGTTTTTGCATATATCTTCTTCCGTCTTTACATGTCTTTTATCATCTGTGTTATGTTATCTACATGTTCGCCGCCGATGTTGTACCCGTGGTAGTATTCCACACAAGATTGGTATGGACTTTTGACCCCATCCAAATCGGGACGACCTGACATTGGGAACTCCTCTACTGAGCTATTCTCTAGTCATCCATATATCGAATAACGGAATTTGTTACAGGACGTTGAGGATGCTCTCAGCACGAGCATCGCCTTCAAAAGTCTTGCGCGCTCCAAACCCGTGTGGTATCCAACCCATCTTGCGAATCCCCTCTTCTCTTCTGCATTAACAGACGCTATGAACGCATTTTTTTCAGCTGTTCTATTAAAGATCCTAGAGCTACAATGTTATCTGCATCATACGCCAGAACGGAAAAGTGGTCATTTCTTACAAGCCCAAGTCAATACGGCATGCTAACAGTTTGTAGAGTAAGCGTAGGGTCGTCAAATCCAGTCCTGACGCCGAATTTGCACCTACACTAGCATCAACCACACCTGTGTACAATAACTTTCCCAAACAACAATGCAATTAATCGAAATGGCGTCTGCTTCTTCTTCTTCTTCTTCTTCTTCTTCTTCTTCTTCTTTTCTTCTTCTTCTTCTTCTTCTTCTTCTTCTTCTTCTTCTTCTTCTTCTTCTTCTTCTTCTTCTTCTTCTTCTTCTTCTTCTTCTTCTTCTTCATCTATGCCCTTACCTACGTCTCCAGCGCAGGGAGCCAGGATACATACCGGCAAACGTATTCCCGTACGTCCTGTCTCTGGTTCTGATTTGATTTCGCCAGGCAGTAGCAGCATTACATTACCATCTTCTTCATATTCGCCGCTGACATACGTACTTCCATCTACAATTGGATAAAGTACTCAATCAACGCTGCAGGTGTACGTCCCAACATCGATTGTGCCCTTGCCCGGCACTTCAATAAACGATCCGACCGGCGTTGTTGCAAATTCCATGATCAACATGTTCAACTACGACCCTGAGGACAGTACGCCACCCAAAAGAAGACTGTCCGCTCATATAGACATTGAAGGAAGTCCAGCTGTTGAGAACCCAGATCTGTCGTCGGAAGGTACAGCTGTCTCAGGACACTCGTGCTTGCCGTAGATGGAGGAGAGCGCGCCAGCAGAACCTTCCTTGAGAACACACACCGCTCCATTGGCACTCGTGTCTCCTACATCGAGTTCAACCACAATGATTACAGCGTAACACGTTATCAAAATGAGTAAGGCCAGTAATACCGCAGATCCGACAATCACACCAGAGTATGAGCGGTGTCTCAGGGGATAGAGAAGCCAGTAAAATCACGCTCAAATTAGCACTTGAGCAAGACAGTAAAATTAGCGATGCAGCGATACAATTGATCAGAAGGCTCCGCTATGCAGACATAAGGGACCGAGATCCCTTGACGATCGAAGATTGACTAGAGGCAGCGGGTCTTGAAGCACGTCTACAGTCTCGGGGTAGGAAATAAGCAACCAAGTATTGTGAGCGATCACTCGAGTGGTTTTCGTGTCGAGAAAGAGGAGCACGAAACAAGTGTGGCTCCAGCAAGCCGTATCCCTCTTTCAGATACAGCTGATCACTACAGCAATATCCCGACAGCAATCGAAAAACCCATTTTGCTGCACACATCGATTCCCGGGAATCCGGACAGAGATGTTGCGAATCTTGCTTCGAGTGCTCTTGTACAGAGAGAGGCGAGTGGGAAGGGAAATGCACGCTCACACTCGTTCTCCTTCTATTCAATCCACTGGCAACGCATCGGTGCAACTATAGCGGCGTCGCTTGCGAGGCCGAAGGTTCGGATCATATGTAGGATGCACGCTCGATGTCCGGTAAAGGCAAGTCCGAGACGTCTTCCGTATTCTCGGTTACCAATCCGTTTCCTTGGCTGGACCAGTCACAAAGCGGCTGGATCTTGAAGTTCGGAACCCCGCATTTCGTGGTCGCCGCGATCTTTGCCGCCAACACCTAGCACTCTCAGCCTGCAAGAGATGTTGCCAATGTCACAAAGAGATCGCACGGTCCTTCTATGGGCAGTCGCAACATGTGCACTTTCTGCAACCACTGCAAGATTCAATGTCAAAGCCAGGCTAAGTCTTGAACTGCCCAAAAGAGTTGACATCTGATGTTCGATCTCCTCAGGGAAAGAGCCATACGGCTAACCTGTTGCGAATAGCGCCGGCAACCCTGACGGTCCAGCCCTACTCCATATCTTCAGCCTCACATTACGATTCCGGATTCAGACCTAGTATGCAACTAAATTAGCCATCAACATTCAACTGTGCCCGATTTAGATGAACAAGCGAACAAGTGCCGATCGCACAGCGCCACAAAGGTGCCAGATCTGTCTTACACTTGGCAAGACCTCTAGACCATCTTCCTAGCGTGCGAAATAGAGATGGGCTTCGCAGGCAAATGCCCTTGATCACGCTGACTATACCATAGGAGTGGATCCAGCATTGAACGGACAATGGAGCCCACCACGCGCTGCCTCGCTACCAGGTATGTAACCTCCGAGAACGCCGGACACATTGAGTCCAGATTCCCAGCCGTAGTTCTCAGCCACTCAATGGGATTGTGCACAATGGTCGTGCAGTCTTCCAGACGTGCTTTTCACACAAACGCCGAGACTAGAACGCAGGTGTTTAGCCTCGTCACGATTTTACGTGGGCGTCTTAGAAGTCGACCACTATGTATAAATACTGAAACCGCATGCGGAAAAGAAGCTTTATCGACATCTTCAAAAGCCTTACTTTCACTTCCACTGAAGAACCAAGTACCCGTCTATCTCAGGTCAAAAAGCACAGCTACCTATCTTCCTCTCACTTGATACTGCATACTTCTCGACAACTCAAAATGCATTTCTTAGCAGTAAGTCATTGATCTCGCACCCTACTTCGCTGTCCGACTAACCTTAGTTCTCAGATTCTGTCTGCCAGTGCCGCGTTTCTCAGCACCGCCTTCGCTGCTCCTGCTAAGGGAGGTACCGCTAAGGCTCCTGCGGTCGCTGCCACAGCATCAGTCACCGTGTATCCGTCGTATACATGCGTTGATCACAATACCGTTCGTCAAGCTCTCCCGGTGAAGATTCTTGGCGATGTTAACGTTATACAACAGCCTCCCACTAGCGATGGCACAGGGAAAACTTGGGAAATCGCCCAGGCCCAGTGCGTTATTGCCAATATTGTAAGTAGATTTCTGCCGGCGACGTTGGGTGACAACAAGCTGACCATCAAAGCCTGTCAATGGTGCAGTGACTGCACGTCTGACGGCTCCTGCCAAGTCCGGTGTTGCAGGCTGCTATCTTCAACTGTTCAAAGAGCAGGGCTGCGGAGTTACTCTCACAAATCAGTACCATGGATTCCCATTCAACGGCGTATCTACTGGTAACTCTGTTGGATGCGCTGCGCCACCCGTGCAGTCTTACGGTGCGTTTACAGTGGTTTGTGATTGATTTCAGAATGCGTGGCTTAGCAGTGATACTCTACTCCCTCTCAATATATAATTCTCACAACATGCTCTATCTTGATGAATGCCATTGGTATGCAGAGAAGGCTCCCGTGTGTACCTTCTTCTAATCGAACCTGAGGGATGCACATGCTTCCAAATGCACTGTCAGCTCCTTCTGATATGCTCCTACGAAGCTAGTGTTGTTACCCTCGTCAGACTAGGCGATTGTCATATCTGGATTGGGACGCGCATCGAAAGCAATTGGAGGGGTATGGCTTGAGAGCGAAGTCGACAAGCACCATCAAAACTACAGCTCTGGGAGACAGTGAAGCAATGTGCCAGTGCGCCGAAGATCTCAAGTATCTGCCAACGCTGATGATTAGCTCAGAGGTCACTTTCGAAGACATCGTCCCGTCAGGGTAATGAATCAGCAGAGCAGTGACACAACGCATCGCAGCCTGAAGATCATCTGAGAGACCATGTGCAGGTACAAAGAGCTTTGAGTAAAATCATCATGCTGCTGGCGTGACGTGTATAAACCGAGAGAGAATCGAGATTAAGGAGAGAGACGCACGAAAATGTCAAAGTCACTCTGATGAAGGGTGCGTACGAGGAGGAGATATAAGCGATGAGTGAGAAAGACATTTGCCTCCTCGCAGTTGCAGGTGTTCAACAGGGAGTTCGGTATACATTGTGGTTGTCATTATGAATGGTCGGAGAGACTCCAGCATCTGCTGTAGGAGAGTGAAGCAGCAACATGCTTACACGAACCAATTGAGTGGTATGAATTGGGCTCATGCGCAAGTCTGCAAGGCACTGCCTGATGTGGGTCCGCTCCCTTTCGGTCTAGCGTTTATCTAGCCAGCAGCAACAGTACCTACCTAAGCTTGCTCCGTGACCACAAACTTACCTCGCTATACAGTCTCTCACCACTGCAGCTACTGCATGTACAAATCCCCCCTCCTACTTCACCGAAGAGTAATCAGTTGCTACCATGCAATTCCTTACAGTCTTCGCCGTTCTTACCTTCATCTTCCACATCACGAGCGCGCTCCCATATACCGCTCAGCCTTTCCTCGATCTCGGTATATTGCCCATATGTGCTCAACGCTGCACACCACTGTTGGAGACTGCTTCTCGCTGTGTACCTCCGAACGCTTACTTGGGCACTGGTAATCATACTGCCTATGTCGACTGTTTCTGCCGCAACGAATGGCTTCGCAGCTTGAACAACGTCGGCGAGATGTGTGGTATCAGCTGCAGTCATGAAGACGAAACCTTGGTTGAACGATACTATGGTTCTCTCTGTGGCGTATCAAGTCCATACTGGACGCTGTCTCCAATAGTTTCTCCAACAAGCACACCAACACTTCCCACCTCGTCATTCCAGGCCAAATCGACGGTCTCCGTACCAAGTACAGCATCATCTACCTATGTGGCGACTGTAGCATCAGCTACCTCCTTGACAGCGTTACCACCGACTGGCACCACCTCGTCTGACGTTGAAGGGCCTTCAAAACATGTTGGAGCTCCGCAAAGCTGGTATATCTTACTACCTGATACGGATCTTATTGACTGGAATGCTAATCGTGAACAGGGGACAAAAGCACTGGAAGGTTGTTGTGGCTGGGGTTCTGATACCATTTGCGGTCCTCTCCGTCGTCATGGCCCTCGCAGCGTTGTACGCTTGGTATACTCGAGTTCTCTTCCGCAGAAGGCAGCGCCCAATGACTTCTGAAGAACGGAAGCGCAAAGAGGATCGACTCATGCAGGAGCGGCTTGAACAGATGGGCCTGATTCCGCTACAGACAGTAACTAAAAGCGTACGAGGTCGGCTTGGACTGCGAAGCAGTAAAGACTCAGCACCGGACCCGATTCGAAATCGACGGTCACGTCGGCACAATCTCAGTACCGGCACAACCGCCCCTCTACTGCCTCACTCGTTGTACAGTCAAAGCGGGTCTTGGTCCCCACAGCGACCTACCAGGGCTTGGACAAGGCCCAGCAATACCAGCCATCGCTGCCCATCTTTCCCAATCGTACCGCCGCTCCCTACTAGTCCATCAACCTCCCAGCTTCGACTACCATCGGATAACATGACCGCTGGGCGATCAATCACTTCTTTCGTGAAGTCAAATCACATGGCAGCACACCCAAGGCTTCCACACCATCGACCGGTACCTTTTCCATCAAATTTGGGGCCTTCGTTACGATATTACAAGGAAGAGCTGATGATGAGAGAGGGATCGATGGATAAAGATATCAGGCCAAGCTCTTTACTGGAGGGACAATCTGTACAGGAGGCTAAATTCTTTTGAGCACATTGTTCATGCATAGTCATGACATTGGTACTGACCAATGTGAGTCCAGAAACCCATTGTCTTCAAAATAACCGAGTATTCAATCATGTGTTTCGCCGCCTACTATTTGATGCTGTGGGATTTCGACGCGAAACCAAGTTCCCTTCTGCTGCTGGATCCGAGTACCTACATAAAGCTATGCTAAATCAATAAACCGAAATGATGTTCCTTAGGATGTGTGGTACGGTCCGTAGATCCACTCCCTGATGAGGAGGGCGTTGTCAATGGCGAGATGGAAGAGAAGCTAGATGGAATGGTAGCGGAGGAGGAAGGAGAATCCCGCTCAAGGTATCTAAATAAGAAAGGATTGTGTTCCTGCAAAGCGTTACATAAGTTTGTTCTAGAACACGAATAGAAGCAGGATCTAGCTTCGAGTTGAAGCCGCATTGTGACATAGCCTATCTCGTGCATCTTGAGAGTGTTTCTTTCCCTTACGATACTCGCTATCAGGAAACGTCAGTACGCAACAAGCAGGGCCAATGACGTAGCCTTAGTGTACCTGCTCTTGGCTCGCCCTTTTAAACCTCTTCTGGCATATTCCCTCCCCCAACATCGGCACACACACCCTCACACAGCCTCGCTTACATCGTGCATTAGTAAGTAATCGGCGTCTTACAGGTGTATGGTGAAGCCATTAACCTGACTGTAGCACTTGCCGAAAATAACAGCATCACCTTTCTGCACGCCACCGTCCTTCCAGCTCAGCAGACGATACCCGTGCGTGCTTCTCGGCTGGTCTGACATCCTGTGCTGACATGCCGCACCTGCAGCCGTCATTCTCATGTAGCACATCGCTTGGTGTGCATCGTGAGATTGGCGACTGTAGGTGCGGCATGACAGCATAGGTATCAGCACCGCGCGTGCCAAGGTATGCATCTCACTCTGAGCCTGTTTGTAGAAGTCTCACAAGTGCAGTTCCTCTCTCTCGATCGATGAATATCAAGGTCAGCCGAACAAACCGACTTCCCTGAGATGTCTGTATCACACAAGCGCCGTCCGTAAGCGTCGGCCAGTCTCGAACGCCGTTGTCTCGATGTCACTGGCACCTGCCAAACTCGAGTCACCTCACTAGCAATCGACCGACTTCTTGTCATTCCAGGTAACCATCCTTAGAACTGTCGCACATGTGATCTTCGTCTTTCCTGACTCCAGACTGACACAATCAGACCTTCCCTACGCACACTATGCGTGCAGGCTTGCCCACCACACATACCATGATCAGCATCAGGATCCGGCATTGCTGTGCTTGAAACCAGAAGACCCGACTAGCCTCTTCCCAGCATCATCGTTACACAGTACCACGCACAAAAGCAACGTTGTTTCGATCGTCGACTTGCTCGACTTCGGACTCAAGTCAAGCTCCGCTCGGTCAAAGTCGGCAAGAGCTTTGCACATTGACTATCATCTGTTCAAGTCTACAAAATGTAAGTGATCAATCACTTTCCACCCGGAAGACCTGATGGTGCCGTATGTCATAGTTATCTGACCACGAGAAATAGTACCAGCCACACCTAAATCAATGATCGCTCGGGACCATGTGCACACTGGCTTTTCACACATCGAATCTGGGAATGAATGGGAGGTCCTGTGTTGCTATTACTTGATTGTTGAAGCTGGTTACGTTGGTGGCTGTCGTGGCTGAAGGGTGGCATGTAGGAGATCCAAAGACAAGGTACATACAAATGGGAGTCTCTTGAGAAGAGTTCGTAACAGAACTGAATATGGGCATCGATGATTCTCAGGTCATTACATGTGATTTGCCGTGATAACTCGTCTCATAGCAAGAGCAGGCCATAACGCGGCTATTCAATGTGCGTATGCTTGCGACAGCTAAAATCAACCTTATGGTGTAATGTAGCCTTTTCTCGGTAGCGCATCTCACGTGCGCTCGAGGCAATCTTTTGGAGAGGCTGGGGAGGAGATTTTAGACGCAAGTGAAGCCCAGCTTGGTGCGCCAAGCTCGGGCCAGCTGAGTAGCCTCTTGCTGTATAACCTTTTGATCAACCCACCCACACCGACCATACCTTTGACTTGCGACTGCTCAAGATGTCTCCCGAATCGCTCCCCACCATCCCAAGGGCCAAGCTTGAAGAAGTTACTACTCCGACGTCTCCTGTGTCTAGGTTCAGAAGCTACTTTAAGCACGACGTACCGTCACGGGCAAAGCCTGAACAAGTCGCCACTTCGCCTTCCCCTACGTCTGCTGGTTTCATGGCGGGCGCTCTACCGGAAAACGAAAGCCGCTCCGACTACATCGCAGTGGATAGTATGCTCGGTGCCAGTACGCACGTGGCCGTTCAACAGCATCCTGTTCCTGCGACAGCTTCTGCGGCTGTCCTTGCTGCGTTTTATCCACTGATGCAGACAACGATGATTCCTACGCCAGACCCAAATCCAACTCCAGCTGCTGCATTCTCTGCCGCCTTCTCGACAAGAGCTGTCACACCTCCACCAGGAGTAAGCGCTTCACTTATCACAAGCAATTACCTGCTGACTCAATCCAGACGCCGCAGCGTGTTGTCATCCTAGGTCCTCTCCGCATGATTCGCAGCCAGTGCGTGGCAAATATCGACACCTTGGATGCGGTCCTTGTCTGGCTCGACCAGTACATGGGCACAGAGCTACAAACACCTGCTTGTACCGATACCATGGTCTCCAACGTTGTCTATGCCGTGAACATCCCGATGAGCGACGAGAACTGGCGCGACTGGAACGTAATTCTCGACCTGTTCCCTCACGCGTCTGCTTGGCAAAAGGCGCTCACATCGAATGAGCCATTCGACCAAGTCACGACGGATCATCACACTGCTAGGCTTTTCGTCGAGGATGAGCCGCTCGAGGCGCTGCTGAGAGATATGGTCGGACAGTACAACCTCGGTGCGCAGCATGAGCTTGGTAGACTATGAGACGAGTCTGGTCGAAAAGAGTGGTGGATATCATGGTCCCGCGAGCCTTATGCGAGCCGTTGGAGGAGGATTAATAGGGTGTGTAGACACACTATGGTTCGTAGAGGCTCTGATACACTTGGAGGATCAAAGCCATCCTGTAGCCTCTACGATATGCAATAGAAATATGACCATGACTCAACCACCTCCCAGCTCAAGCCGCACGTTCGTGAAGATACATCAAGAATTTCGAATTATCTTTTCGATTGCTCGCTCGTGCCAATGTGCTTCACGGGTTTCTCGAATCTTGCTCTCCTTCTACACTATCATCATTCTCGGCATCGTGATTGATATTGGCTGCTAGCCCGTGATAGAGTGGCTCGTCAGTTGAGAATCTTTCATGATCAGTGTTGATGGTCCCCGTCATCATGTTCCAGCACTGTGACGGGAATGCTTACCATATTCGCCGCACTGTTGAGTAATTGATAGATCTGATCAGAGTTGCACTGTTTCCGTGCTGATTTGCTTCATTGAGTGTGTGATGACTCGAGGTGAAGGCGAAGAACGAATGTGATCTAGCAAAACATGCTCTCACTTTTGCCAACGTGACTCCCAGCTTCTTTCTGTGACCGTTATTGCAATATCTCATCACCTTGTTTCCAGAAAACCTGTCGATCGTCAAGAACTTCCTTCCTGTAAGCTCTGGTTGGAACCCTTCACACTGCCTTCTCATCTTTGTCGTCCCTCTAACACGCGATAGGAGACTACGACATGCCCTCTCCCAACGAGAACGCCGCCGCCTCAGACCTGGGCATCTTCGTGATGCTGATGGCTACATTCTTCGTCATGGCCTTCGCGGCTCGTGGCATCGCTCGCCGGGCACTGTTCCCCCCAGTGCACCGATTCCTCTTGCGCTGGCAGCAAGCGCAGCAACGACAGCAACAGCAGCAGCAACTGCAAGAGCTGGATCGCCAGCGGCGCCTCCACGCCCACCTCGAGGAGGTCCGCTACAACGAAGAGGTCGCCAGAGTCCGCGATCTCATCATTCGGCAGCTACAAGAAGATCCGGAGTATCGGGAATGGGTAGAACAGCTCGAGAGCTATGCAGCCACGCGCCAACAGGGGCCCAGGGAGCAGCAGCCGTTCCAGCCTGCGCCTGGTTCGCTGCTGTACGAGTCCGACAACGAAGACCCCGAGGTCATTCGTGGGGACAACATGGCAGGACTGGACAGGCGGTAGGAGCTGGCAGTGATCTCAACCCGAAGGCGTACTTTCAGACCTGAGGGAGGACGACCTTCACATCGAGGAGGGGTCGACTGAGCCTGGCGTGGTGGTGCCAGGCCTTGAGATACTTGTGTGTAGTGTAGTTCTCTATAGCATTTAGGCATGTTGGAAGTGGGCTGGGCTGGGCGGACACTCTGGGTGGATGGCGACGGTGGCGGTCGTACGTCCTGGCGCGCTGAGTACCTCTTTGGATGGCCTGCTGCTGCTACTGACACTGATTCTGATACCGGTGTCTGGAGAGCCTCAACGTCCCTCGATAGACAAAATGAGAATCTTTGCTTCCCTGAAGTGTGTCAAAACTTGACTCACGTCCATATAGTTCGAAAGAGTGTTCTTTCTACCAGTTTTGTGACAAGATACCTTGAGGTATCCCTGATCCTCTCAATTATGGTGATTATAGTTCAAAGCTTCCCGTGGGCCGTTCGACTTGTGACCGGTGATGTTGTCTGTAGCTTGCTGCCGATGCTAGTGCCCCGATGGCGCACTACGAGCTTCACCGATTCACAACACCACCCCAAACACCGACTTGCGTCATGAGATCGTTCCTTCGTCGCTGTAAAGCCAGTTCTCTTATCTTATGAAGGTCACATGTGTCTTCATCGTGTTCCATCGAATCACCGGTCTGGATCAGCACATCTTGAGCACCTGCCTCCGGCGCCAGCTTCGCCCTCGTCGACGATGCAATCGAAAACACTGCAGAGATGCTCACATAGGAGCTTGTGCAAGAGGTCATCCGACATCAGTCAGTCCCTTGTCCCATTTCTTAAGGAAAGTGCACAATGTCGAGGGTTGGTATGACGCAGGCGTGCCTCCTCGACAAAGGGCGCTGGGGCGTTATGCAAGGTCTCTTTGTATCCTGAAAATGATCCGTATGCGCATCAAAGCGCTATCGCAAAGCTAATGTGTGCCGCCGCAGCTATCGTCACTGACCCACATGCAGCTCCCTTCTTCTCGACCGAATCAGCAGCCCTTGGCGACACGCGCTGAGTCAGCCCAACAAGCGAGCCGGCCGGATATGCTACGAAGCAAGTCGCGGTAATACAGAAAAGTGGGAACGAGATCAGTCCCGAGCTTCCTCGACTGGATCAGAACAACTGAGGCTGGATTTGGATCATGCCGGTGAATCGAAGAAATATCTACCCCGCCCACCTTCTGTCCCTGAGCACCAAAGGCGCCACGACACAATCATGCGAGCATCGATATTGGAGTGCAGGAATTATGGGGACTCGATGACAGCCCTAAGAGGTCACAGCAGCACTCTGCAGATCAGCACTTGCTCCGGACAACGGAAGAGGTGCTCATTCTTCGTGCGTGTGAGCGGACCGCTCCCAACGACCACGAGGGGCAACACTAGCCTCACAATAGCTGTCAACCGTGTTGAGTTGACGAATCTGGTATCAAGAATGCGCTTTGAAACCTCGACACGGTAACCTTGACTTCTTTGCTAGAAGAGTAGCGTCAGACAGAACCAGCCAACATCGACGAGTCCCCAGAATGCTGGCAATATCGACATGTTGAATTCCGGGAAGCCAAGGCAGACAAGCGCCCTCCAAATCGACAAACACTAGATCTGTCGATGCGACGCAAGCGTTCCGCGCTATGTCGCAGTATGGTCATGCTCGCTTCATATCAAGAAGCCTGGACGTCGGGATACCGGGACCGTGACCCGTGGACTCTACACGGCGGATCGCAATTGTTGCGGACAGACTCTTGTTGTATGCAACGAGTGCTCTGTGGTTGATGACTTTGCGACATCGCAGGCGCTCTACGCTCGCCTCAAGCTACAGCATAACTAGGCTGTGCTGCCCCCAGGATGACACGGTGGCGACCAGATTGGAAAAAAGCCTGGCTTGCGACTCGAAACAACAGCTCGAGGTCAATTGCAAGCAGCGTATCATGCTTGAGACTTTTTCTTAGCTTGAAAGCAGCATCATCGAGCCGACCTTGAGGATGAAATTTCGTCCCATTGGAACTCTCAGAACCATTGCCAGCCCAACATTTGCGACTGGAAATTGGCAAATTTTTGGGTCTGGATCTCCTTCACAGTAAGACTGGAGGCAGGGATCATCGCGGCGTAAACATCCCTTGTCTTGGATAATCTTGTCGAGCCGACTTAGCGACACCATGAAAATCTACAAAAGCGCTGGAGGACAGAGACATGTACGGCAACAAGTCTTGTTGCATGCAACATTACACGCTCTCGTCGGTAGGCAGCACCAAGCATCCGACGTTGCGATGAGCAACCACTATGCATTGCTTGACCCATATTGTAGGGAACGCAGCCTGACTTGTTCGAGTCGAGCTTGAATTGAAGCCTCCGGCCAGCATTCTCTCGAAGACTCAGTCGGTAGACTACAGCTAAGAGATTGAAGGCCAAGCTGACCAAAATCATCTTGATACGTGCAAATCAGCGAGACAACCATACAGAAATCCAGGGGGCTTCTCGGTTGCGGTGTTGCCGATTTGACCACTTTTTTGTGTCCTGCAAGCTCGGAGAACTAGGAGGCAGATCTTCTTGCTGAAAGGTTCAGCTACCAGTCCCACAACACTCGAGTGGCGTGCTCATCGACAGTCCAACTTCCCCGCGACGGCAGCCTCGAGCCTCTCTGGCTTCTCCCTGTTTCGAACGTGCTCATCTTGTGATAAGGTCGGACATGGATCAGGTCATGCCGTCGCAACGTGAGTCTCGCTTGGTAGCCTGGGCTCATGAGACTGTGTGACAGGCACTGTTGACGCATAGCGCGCCTCTCTGCGTATCAATACTGGCTGCGAAAAGGTTTGGCGAGATGCAGGATGAATTGATACCCTAACGCCTCCATTCAAGACGATTCTGGTCCAGAGAGGAGAAAGGTCAAACCACAATCAGATGGGGATGCGAGGATCCCGCCTGTGTGCACTTCTTGCTCAAGGGCGCAACAAAGATAGACGCCACAATGCATCCCTTGCTGTGAGTTTTGACCAATGGCGCACGGACAAGGAAGACAGAAGGGCAAGGAAGAACCGATCACCACCAGAGTCGATGGTGTGGACAATAACGGAACCAAAAGATAACGCTGGGGCGCAGTAGACCGAGAAGAGCGGTGCATGGCAGCTCCATAACTGCCACCGCGAGCGCGGCAGCCAATCGCTCGAAATTTCTTTCAAAATTTCAATGCATCAACCGTCGATACCTCCGGAAACGACCCCCGTGACTTCTCAGTTATCGCATTGTCTCAATGTAACGGTCGTACAGCAACCGGACGGCACGTATGCGACTCTTGAGCAGACCCCGAGCAGAGACTGTAGTCAGGCGACCGACGAGCTTCCTTCAGGTATCAATCGGGTACCGATCAGGTACCATTCATAATGTCCCCAGCGTAGCTTTGGGTTTGGTCCTTGTCAATGAGAAGTCACATGACACATGGCCCTCGGACTGGAACATTCGAGCTTCTGCACCGCAGCCAGGTCGCGGAGAGCGGACTGTGTACTCCATACCCGACCAGAATTCATCACTACGGACTATCCCCGAGCTAGATTGCAGGTACTCATATCAAAAACATGTGATATGCATGGAAGGGGCAGGATGCACATGATGGAGGGGTCTGATGTAATGAAGAAAAAGAAGCACAAAAGTAATGAGATGATGGTGTTGAAGATGCGACGTCGAAGGCTCGACAAGGATATCGACGAAAGACACGCGTGAAGAAGGTGGGACGAGACAGCGTCAACGACCCAACAGGAGCGAGCAAATGTTCGTGGGAAACAAGAGATAAGAGAGTACGAACGTGAGGAAGAGAGTGTACGGGGAAGATATAGAGAAAGGAAGATAGAAGAAAGAGAGATGAGAGAGAAAGACGAGGGGGAGAGAGACGAGAGAGAGACGAGAGAAAGGCGAGAGAGAGGCGAGAGAGATTGCGAAGACGGGAGAGAGAGCTGGAGGATTTGAGCTCATAAGCTGATGATCGACGAAGAAGGGTGAGATGCAGAAGCCAACACAGGAAAGACTGAAAACGATGCGGTATTGCAGAACAGGCAAAGATCTAACGGGAAACTTAGGAAGAAGACCTGGAGTGAGGCGAGATGATTTGCTGAAGTAAGTGACGGTGAAAAAGAGAGATAAGTAGAAGCAAGAGCGGAGGTACGCGATGGTAAAGCACTCGATGAGGTACGTGATGATGAGGTATGCAACGATGAAGCAGAAACAGCTGAAAGAAAGAGATGGAGCAAGGAATGAGGCAGAGTAGGAGACGAAAAAGAGCAAGAGTTGAGAAGGGCAAGGGATGAAGAATGGAAAGAGATGCTGAAGTGTATGCGAGGGGCGGGTTTGTGGGCTCGATACGAACAAGCGTTCAGGTAAGCTCGCGTACTCGATGGCTGTCAGTAACTTACACACGTCAGATGCGACATACCTTGATGGCCAGCAGCATCCAGATCCCAGCACGAGATTTGCTACATTGTCCAGGCGATGGCAGTTGATGGCTAGACAAGTTCAGTCGATCAGGCTGTGGTGAGTCTTCAAGCAAAATGTGCATCAAAAGTAGGTGCAACTGCATGAACCGAGTGCCACTCTTCCAAGGAGTGGTCTGGCAATGACACCGGCATCGTAGTCGCACGCGCTGTTCGCTGCTGTACAGACTTTTCATGGCGCACACAAACACGCCGGTGTGGGTAGCTGTTGATGACCATCTCAAACACTGCCGCGCTCGCTCTCAACATCTTCGCCAACATTCGTCGCGCCACGAATCTACTCAATGTCTCCTAACAGCTGACGTGTCAGGGGACCGGTTTGCATAACATACGTACACGGGGCGTGCCAGCTCCGGGTCCCCCCAGCCGCCGGCACAGGTTGCTCATCTAAGCGCGCGCTGTGCCTCAAGGGAGACCGTTCGTGACAATGACCTTTTCTGTAGAGGTTGAACCGCCATCGCCATGTTACCTTTCTGTATGTAAGGAGGCAATGAGATAAGAACGTGGTCGAGATGTGTGAAGAGAGGTTGAGTGCCAACAGCAGCTTTATCGAGTGTTGGAAGTATCGCGAGAAGGAGAAGATTGTCAGGTCGACGCGAACTACGACCAGAAGAGGCGTTGGTGAGCTGAGCAGCGAGAAAGAATTCGATCGATATGAAAGACGCGTTTGTTGAGATGATCGACATGAAAGAGATGGATACCGAGATGCGAGCAACAGAAGGAACGACTACTCCCTTACCGAATAGGCTGTTCGATTTGACTGCTGACGATCGAGACGGTGGATGGGTATGGCTTGTGTGCAACGTTCAGAATCACAAAGCGGCGTCGATTGCGCGGTCGCCACCCGACATGGTCATACTCTCTTTCTGCCACAGCACGAAAAGCTTGACCATTCAGCAAGTACCTTGCGATCCGAAGCCATCACCAGTATTCTTGGGTAACGAAGGACCTGCGCTGGCGGGCATTGACTTGTCTGTAGATGCTACCGTTCAGCTATGTCCTTGTGGTGTTGAGACGTCGAAAAGGCGTTTAGGTTGTCTGATTAAACGTCGTGGTCGAGCTCGAGGCTTCCTTTCTGACTGAAGCATTGCACAAGGTATGTCTCGAGACATGTCGTGGAGGCGGGGCTGCCGCTGCCGCTACCGCAATGGCGGCTGCTCGCAGGTAAAGTCAGCCAATCTGCGAGAGACTCTCATGGTATTTTCGGAACTTCTGGGAACTTACTGCAGTAGGTTTGAGTGCCTGGCATCGTTGAAGAGGCTGCGAAAGAGTTGTCGCTTTGCTGGCAGTCTGCCGGAGGCCCGCAGCCGCCGTACAGGGCTGTAGTAACGACGGCAAGCTTGGTTGAAGCTATCACAGTCGACGCGAAGCTGGTCAAGGCCCTCAAGAAGCTCTTTGGTAAGTAAAAAGGCCAGGCAAGGTCGTGCAAGGCCGATGTGCTCAGCCGAAGGAAGCACGAAGCTTTACCAAAAGGAACATGGAGCTGCCGACACGTCAAGCAGGCATCGCCGAAGAGAACTTGCTCAGAAGGAAGAGCTCCCCATCTCACATACGAGCGCGCCCTAGGATTAGGAGAGGACGGTGGGATGGTGGTGGTGGGGTGGTTGGGTGGAGGCTGCTGTGAGTGAGTTTGGCGACAGCTCACTTGGTGTTGAGTCTGGCGGCCAACCTTCGCAAGTGGCCCTCAGCACCATCCCCAGCAGCACCGCAACAAGGTGGCTGCAAGAGTTCGGAAGCTGCCTGGAAGAGTCAAAAGGGTATCATAAGATAGCCCAAAGCTTTCTAA